TCCTGCCAGCTATCATTCTGTATGATATTTCTATTCTCCATCATGGATAAATTCCTTAAGAAAGCATTTAGTGCCTTCACTTCCTCTTCTTACAAAACTCTCTTCTAAATCTCCTGCAGTCTGGCTTTTGACTTCATCATTCATCTGAACTTGACCTCTCCAAAGTTACCAGTGACTTAGTAACTGCCAAATGAAAGGACTTTTTCTCACTTCTCATCCTTCTTGACCTCTCTGCAGCAATTGACACTATTGATCACCTTCTCTTGGATTTTCTCTCCTCTCCAGGTTTTTATGATGCTATTCCCTCCTGGTTCTCTTCCTATCTGTCTGATTTTTATTTTTATTCTCCTTTGCTGATTCTTCATTCTTGTTTTGCCCATTCATAGTGGGTATTGTCCTGGGTATTTTTTTTTGCTCTATACTATCTCATTTATGAATCTCATCAGGTCTAATAGGTTTAATTAGTATCTTTATGCAGAAGATGCCCAGATCTATATATGTAAATGTAACCTCTCCTGACTTCCAGTCTTACATTACCAACAGTCTATTAGACATTGTAAACTACATGTCATCTAGACATCTCATAATCTTATATCCCTCTACCACCCCCCCCAGAAAAAACCTCTTTCCTCTTTAATATTCCCCTACTATCGATGAGGGTACCGCCATCCTTCATCCTTCCAGTTACTCCAAGCTTACAAGCTCAGGTTCAGCCTTAATTCTTCACTCTCACTCACTGGACTTATCTATTCTGTTCCCAAATTTTGGTTCTAATTTCACAAAATCTCTCATATGTGACCCTTTCTCTCCACTCACATAGCCACAATCCTGGTTCAGGCTCTCATCCCCTTTCAAGCTCTCACTTGGACTGTTGCAGTAGTATTTTAATTGGTTTTTCTGCCTCAAGTCTTTTCTCACTCTAATCCATCTTCCACTCAACTACCAAAGTGATTTTTCCAAAGTGTAAGGGTAATCATATTACCTCCTTTCTTAATGATCTCCTATTACCTCGAAGATTAAATATAAATATAAATTACTCTATTTGGCATACAGCCCAAACTCCTTCCAGCCTTACTATGCTTTCTACACTTTACTGCCCTCCACATACTCTATGATCCAGCAATACTAGCCTACTCAAGGTCCTCATATTTGTTGCTCCACCTTCCGTCTCCATGACTTTTTACTGGCTGACCCTTATACTTATAATGCTTTGCCCCTTCACCTCTGACCCTTGGTTTTCCTATCTGCCTTCAAGACTCAGCTCAAGTCCTATCTACTTATTTATTATGTTTTTTTTTGGCTAGGCGATGGGGTTAAGTGACTTGCCCAGCTAGTAAGTGTTACCTATCTGAGGCCAGATTTGAACTCAAGTCCTCCTGAATCCAGGGCTGGTGCTCTCTCCACTGTGTCACCTAGCTGCCCCAAGTCCTATCTACTTTAAGAGGCCTTTTTCATTCCCCTCTCCTTCCCCCACCACCTCACTGCTGCCTCCTCCTCTTAGATTACTTTCCATCTATTTTGTATATATTTCAACTGTAATTGTTTGCATGTTGTCTCTCCCATTAGAATGTGAGCCTCCCCCCCCCCCCTTTTTTTGTATCTTCTGCACTTAGTGTAATACCTGGCACTTAGTAAGAGCTTAGTAAATACATATTGACAAATTGACTAATGTTTTCCATATGGTTGTCCCATACTGAGCCCTGGTCTTGGCTTCCGAATGCTCCCTAAACTGTTGTTGTCTCTGGTCTCTTTTTGAATCCCCTTTTATCACTGATCTTCTGCCTCCCTTGTCTTTTTGTTGATGGTTTGCCAACACCTAAATGATACTTCTCAGCAAAACCTTGTTTTGATGAGTCACTTAAGAGAAAAGTTTTGGCAGTCTCCTTCTTGAAAGAGCTATCATGATTGAGCACAGGGCATGTGGAGACCCTCTACAATTTGCATGGGTTTCACAATCTTACTCTTTTGTTCTTGCTACCCAGCTTTTCAGTGTCTGGGTTCTGATTGATGGCAGCCCAACTCCCTATAACCATTATCCATTTAGTTTTGCTAGCTGGTTTTGAAATCCGTGTCTATGCCCTGTTTCTTGTAGTCTGGACACTCTAATTATATTATAATGCCTTTAGTCCATTCTCTCTATTGCTAATAAAGACTGGCACATTCTTCTATTCCTGGGTTCCTATAATTGCATCTCTAGGATCCTTGCCTTGGTTCCCATTTCCTGCTTGATCATATGCAAGAAAGGGACCTCTGCCTGCCTGACTCAACAATACCACCTGTCTCCAACATACTAACTGAACACTTATGGAGGCATACAGACCATTTATTCCACTTGACTGGTTTTAATGCTCCAGGCTCCAAACCTAATTTTCTCCACTGGACTTCCATTGTGGTCAGTTTAATTAAATAACTGTTTATGAAATGCTTATGATGTATAATGGGGATCATGCAAGGGTTAGAAATACAAAGACAACAGTTTCTGCCCTGTTGGAAGTTGTTTTCTCTTGGGGGATATGATATGTATGTAACAACATGAATCAGGCACTGTGCTAAGTGTGGGGAATAGAAAGAAAGGCAAAAACACCATCTCTGACCTAAAAAAACTCACCTTCTAATGGAAAAGGCAAACTTTTGCTGTCTACAACTACAAACCAAAGGATATGTAGTATAAATGGGAGGTAATTTCAAAGGGTTGGGAGGAGGGAGGGATAGGACTGAGAAAGGCCTCTTACAGAGAGATGTTGAGATTTGAGCTGCATCTTGAAGAAGTGAGAAGGGAGAACATTACACACATGTGAGACAGCCAATGAAAAAAAGGTGTGGAATCAGAAGATGTAGTGTAGTTCAAGGCACAGCAAAAAGGCCAGTGTTGCTGAATTGAAGAGTATGTGGTGGTGGCAGGGGGAGAGGGGAACAGGAAAAAGTAAAGTATAATAAGATCAGAAAAGTAGGAAGGGGCCAGGTTATAAAGATCTTTAAATGATCAGTAGAGGATTTTATATTTGATCCTGGAGGTAATAGGGAGCCATTGGAGTTTATTGAGTAGGGGGCTAATATGGTCAGATATGCACATTAGGAATATATACAAAATGAAAATTAAAGAGAGAGTACTGATATATGGAAGGGGTGTGTGTGTGTGTGTGTGTGAGAGAGAGAGAGAGAGAGAGAGAGAGAGAGAGAGAGAGAGAGAGAGAGATCAGGAGGCTTCAGAGTGAAGACAATATCTAAACTGAACCTTACAAGAAGACAAGAATTCTGAGAGGTAAAGGTGACGTGAGAGTGTATTCAAAGCATGAGGAAGGATAGGGAGAAGGCAAGGGAGTAAGCATTTATATAGAGCTCTTGCTAAGCTCATTTGGTAGGTAGGTGCTATTATCATTCCTTTTTGATAGTTGAAGAAACTGATTCAAATAGAGGTTAAATGACTTGCCCAGGGTCACAGAGCTAGTAAGTGTCGGAGGCCAGATTTGAATTCAGGTCTGCCTGACTATGAGGCTGGGGGGCTCTATCCACTGCACCACCTAGCTGCCTCACCGTGAACACTTTGCCTCAATGATCAGAGATAGGAGATGGAGAGTTGAGGTTGCAGAACAGCTGAAACATAGAGTTCCTAGGGGAGGAATGCAGCAGAATGAAATAAGTGTGCAAAGTTATGTGGGAGCCAGATTTTAGAGGGCTTTAAATGTTAGGATAAGGAATTTATATTATTGGCACTAGGAAGTCACTTTAAGTCTTTGAGCAGAGAAGTGACTGGTAGAACCTATGTTTAGGAAAAATGATTTTGACAGTTGTGTGGAGCATAGATTAGAGGGGAGAACGAAGTTCTGAACTTTTTTTTTTTTTTTTTGACTGGGCAATGAGGTTAAGCGACTTGCCCAGGGTCACACAGCTAGTAAGTGCCAAGTATCTGAGGCTGGATTTGAACTCAGGTCCTCCTGATTCCTGGGCTCATGCTCTATCCTCTGCACCACCTAGCCGCCCCCAAAGTTCCAAATTTATGGAACTTATATTCAGCCTGCCTATTTGAAACCTGCTTTTAAAAAAATCTTGGTCTATCCCAGCCTGAGCCCTGGTCATTGGATCCAATTTAATAAAAGATACTTTGTAATATCTTTTCTCCTTGCAGCTTGTATAATGAGATGATGGTGACATATAATATATATGCTGTAGTATATAGTAGTGCTTTACAAATATCTCATTTTATCCTCACAATAAACCAGGGAGGTAATTGCTATTATTACCCCCATTTTGCATAGGAGGAAACTGAGGCATGTAGAGGTTCATTGACCTGTCCAGGCTCACACAGCTAGTAAGTGTCTGAGACTGGATTGGAACTCAGATCTTCCTGACTCCACATTCAGTGTTCTATCCATTGTACCACCTAGATGTCAAAGTACTTGTATGACACATTTTTTTTGATTCTCAGTGATCCCAACAGGGATGCCCCTTTCATCTCCAGAACTATAACTTCCATCAACCTTATGAGTTTGCTGGCTGAAGTTCAAATTCCAGCTGAACAAGTCATCGCATATGTCTCAGTCTTGACTGTGGTATTGAAAGTAATTGTATTGGGTTAAAAGATTCTTAGAAAACAAATAGAACAGTTTAGTGGTGTTAGTTCTGCTGCCGTGCCAATTTGATATTTTTGCACTATGAGAATTGCTGAGAAAAGTGTGAAGGTGCCTGAAAAATATAGGACTTTTTTGATTTGTTACTATTATTTCAAATGTGTCATACTCTGAATTATTTTGTGCAAAACTGAATTAGATTGGCATGTCTGTGTGACCCAAATTGGTTCATAAGGTTGGCTGATTGAATATTTGACATGCATTTCCTATGTACTCTTACCAGTCCTAGAAAATTACAGTCTGAAGCTCATATTCAGGGCCCACTGTTTAACTTGATTTATTTTAACAAAGCATTTTACTTAAAATAATTGATTACAACATTCTTCCATTTAGCAATAATACAACATGGCTAATTTTTCTTACAAATGTCAGGAAGAATAATCATTGGGATGCCAAATCAAGAGGCAATGGATGCAATAATTCCAAAAAATTATTCCGAAATGGTGGGAATCATCTTCACAAATAATTTCTCCTATGAGTTGAAGTTTAATTGGGGATATAGGACACCTGTTATGAAGGAACATTTAGACCACTCAGGTAACTTTCTCATTAGAAAATCATACTGATCCTTTCTGTGTGATAATATATTACGAATTACAGTTGAGGATAAATGATAGAAATTATAATATTAACATGCAAGTATAATATTTATTTCATTCATTATCTCAGATATGATGTTTCTTGTCTAAGGCAAAAAATTTCTGTCTACCACAGTGAAATTCAATGAGTAATTGGTTGTTGAAAGAGCACTTTTTCTTGCCAACTCCATCTTTTGTTTTTTAAACACTATAATTTTTTTTTACCATTTTCTTTTTTATTAGGAACTTAACAGATATCAACAAATGAGAACCTTTCAATATGCAAAGAACAGAAAAAGGGGTTGAAATCGAAACTGTGAATACTTATCCATAGTTTTTAAAGTGTATATTTAATTTAATAGTAACAAACTGATGTGCTTGCCAGACTCCATTTTGCTCTCTTCTATGTATATTTCTAATTCTTTTTTTGCTGTTCTTTTCTACTTTTTTGAGTCATTATCACTACCCATCATCTTCTCCCAACCCATATAACCCATATTCCCTTTTACTTATAAGCAATGTGTCTAATCAACAAATTAATTTCTATCCTACTTCTGCTGTTTGACTTTGAAAAAAATCTTCTTTCTGTATCATGGGCTTTGAGATAATTTTTAGATATGTGTACTTTTGAACCAAAGTAAAAGGACTTCACTCCCTATAATGATTAGTTGTGCTTTTCTTTCTCTTAAAGCTCACTGTTTTGAGATGTTTGGGGAAATCACATGTTCCCTTACAAGCTACTGGGAAAGAGGTTTTGTTGCTTTTCAAGCTGCCATTAATGCTGCCATAATAGAAGTAAGTGCATAATTACAGAACCTAATGATTAATATGGATTAGTAATATCGGAAGCATCAATTTTTTGGTACAACAATAATAGCCACCTAGCATTTATATAACACCTGCTATGTACCAGGCACTGTGCTAAGCACTTTACAATCCTAATCCCATTTGATCCTCACATAACAACCCTACAGGATAAGTGCTATTATTATGTTAATTTTACAAGTGATGTAAGTGATTTGTTTGAGGTCCCACAGCTGGTATGTGATGGAGGTCACATTTGAACTCAGGTCTTCCTGACTGCTGGCCCAGCCACTCTGAGCCACCTAGCTGCCTAGCTATAAAGTAGAAGGTTATTCTAGTAGAAAGCATTTTAGATTTGGAGTAAGAGGGACTGGTTTAGAACCAAAGAGTCATAGATTTAGAGTTGAAAAACACCTAGTCCACCTAGGACAGATGAAGAAACTAAGCCAAGAGAGGTTAAATGAATTGCTGAAAGCACTAGTAAATATTGAGCAACCAAATCTCAAAAAAAAAAAAAAGTTCCTTTGACATACTTTTAAGTTCAATCTTCATTATTGACATTTTCCTCCATCACTTTTTTTTTTTTTTAGGCAATTGGGGTTAAGTGACTTGCCCAGGGTCACACAGCTAGTAAGTGTCAAGTGTTTGGTCTGAGGCTGGATTTGAATTCAGGTCCTCCTGACTTCAGAGCTGGTGCTCTATCCACTGTGCCACCTAGCTGCCCCTGCTCCATCACTTCCTTAACTCTAAAGCATCAACCAAACAATAACTTGAACCTTGATTCCATAGTGTTTGCCAGTTTCTGGGATGTAAATGCTCACATTGAGAATGTAATAATCACTCTTGATTTGAGTTGGCTTTAGCTCACCAAGGTGATATAGGTAGTAAGTGGTTGAGGTGGGATTTGATCCTCAGTTCTCTGCCTTCAAATGCCATTGAACTTTCCACTGTACCTTAGTGCCTCTATTTAAGCTAGGCCACTTACTGCCTATGTGACCTTGGGCAGGGTACTTAATTTCTCTGGGCCTCAGTTCCTCATCAGTGAGCTGAAGGAGTTGGAGTGATTACCTCTGAGGTCTCAGCCAGATTTTTAAAAATAGTATTTTATTTTTTCCAATTACACATAAAGATGATTTTTAACATTCATTTTTTTTTTTGGTGAGGCAATCAGGGTTAGGTGACTTGCCCAGGGTCATACAGCTAGTAAGCATTAAGTGTCCGAGATCACATTCGAACTCAGGTCCTCCTGACTCCAGGGCTGGTGTTCTATCCATTGCACCACCTAGCTACACCTTTAACATTAATTTTTACAACATTTTTAGTTCCAAATTTTTTTTCTTCCCTTCTTCCCTTCCCATTTTCCTAAAATGATGAGCAATTTGATATGTCAGATATGTTCAGCCAGATCTTTGCAAACAATCCTATGATATACATGAATGATATGATGTTTAAGGAATGTAGCATGTATGTGACTACTTAAAAAAAGAAAGAATTAAGAGGTTATGCAATTTCTTGATCTCTCATACTGTTCGATATAATGATTTTTTTTGTGTTAACATTCTAATTTAGATCGCAACAAATCATTCTGTGATGGATATGCTCATGGCGGTGTCTGGTATAAATATGAAGACATTACCTTTTATCGCCCAAGGAGGATTTCTAAATGAGATCTTTATTTTCTTCTGCATAATTTCTTTTTCACCATTGATATATTTTGCATCACTCAATATTACAAGAGACAGAAAAAACATTAAAGAGTGGATGACGATGATGGGTCTCCAAAGTTCAGCATTCTGGTAAATTAATAATTTTATCTATGAGTGGCACAAATGAATGAAGTATAGGAACCTGGCTCCAAAACCAGAGTTCTTGTCTAACTAGACAATACACATTTATTAAGCACCTACTAGGTGCCAGGCACTGTGCTAAGCAATGGGGAGGCAAAGAAAGGTCTCTGCTCTCAAGGAGCTCACAGTCTAATGGAGAGACAACCTGAAAACAACTATATACAAACAGAGCTATGTACAGGATAAATTGGAAATCACCAACAGAGGAAAGGCACTAGAGTTAAGGGGGAATTGAGAAATGCTTCTTGCAGAAGGTAAGATGTTATGGGAATATAAAATATTGTTATAATATTGTTATGTGTCATATTAAATTTTATGTAAAATTGTTGTTATAATAGAGTATCATTAATTTAAACTTGCTCTGTTTGTTATTTCTTCATATATACCTCTGTTTGGATTAGATGACTCTCAGATATTTTTTGGGTTGGAGACAAGAAATGATAATAGGATTTTTCTCTATTTCTTTGAGGTAAAGAATGTAGTGCTTCCTGCATAGTTTCAGGAAATGTGGGAAAGGCAAATCCATATTAAAGTGACAGATTAGGAACCTGAATGCTGTCAGCATCTTAGGTCGTTGGAGGCAAGGACAGCCATATTTCCCTTTCAGTTGTCTCTCCCTCAGTGTCTCTCCCTCAGTGGCTCTCCATTGCCAGTTGGCCTGACCTATGTCTGTCTTGCCGCTGGACTCCAATGCTCTGGAGGAGAGAGTGAGGCTGATGATTTCATGTTGCTCTCTGCCTCACTTAAATTCAATTCACTTGGAAGTCAAGATATCCCCCTCATGGTATCATTGGTCCTCTTTGAGAATGAAGGATGAACAGCAATAATCCAATGCCTACCAATATGGAACTGTAGCGTAAGGAAACCTAAGCTTATAAAAGCAAGCAGGCATATAGGTAGGCAGTGTTTATTTGGCCCTTACTGTGTGCATTACCTGTTGTCAGGGCTACCTGTTCAGTTGTTCCCACTCAGAGGACCCGCAAGGAATGATTGAGATCAGCACACGGGATCACCAGTGTAGAGCTGGGAGGGCCTTCAGAGATCATTGAGTTTAATGCCTTCATTTTGTAGATAAGGAAAATGAGGCCCAGAGAAGGTAAGAAACTTGCCTAGGATCACACAGGGAGTAAGTGTCAGGGCCTAGGATTTGAACCCAGGTTCTCTAATTGCAAAACCAATGCTGTCTTCAATAGGTGATGATGTAGGGGATAGGTGTCTAAGGTGAGATCTGGACCCCGGTCTTCCTGGCCTTAAGTCTAGTGCTATCTTCTCTTCCTGCTACCTCTAGTCCAATCCCTTTAAATTTACAGAGGAGGAAACTGAGGCCCAGAGAGGTTAAATGACTTTGCCCAGTATCACACAGGAAGCAAATGACAGAGGAAGGATTTGAATTCAGTCCTGACTCTAAAGTCAGTGTTCTTTCCATTGTTACCTCTAAAAAGATAGTGGCAGGACATTACATATCACAATATTGAAACATTTTTCATAGGCAACCATTTTTAATCAGATTAAGCGCATAGAATAGCTCCTGTACTCACTGGTTCCCATTTCTACATTTCCTCTTATGGAAGTTTTTCTATCTCCCTAGGATTTCCTTCAGGGACATTTAAAACCTATGAGTTTTTCTATTTATTTCCAGGAAAAAATAGCTCTCTAGAGATTGGCTTCATTGATCTGTCTGTGGGAAAGAGTCAGGAGCACAATCTGGCTTGGTCAGATCACAACGGGAGTGATTCCCTGCTGACATCTAGCTCTGGGCTCTGCTAGTTCAAAGCATGCTCAAGGGACTATGTAAGACTTTTTTTCTCCTCATGAAGGAAGATTGTTATTATAGAAGAGTCAGTCCATGACAGAGTTGTTGGTATACAGGGAATTGCCAGCTCAGTGAAAAACTACCTCTACCATGGCAGATCATCACTTTCTCTGTGATCTATAGTCTTAGAGAGTTACTCGGGGTTAAGTGACTTCCCCAGGGTCACACAGCCAGTATGTCTCAGAGGGGGCCCCTGGACCCATGTCTTCCTGGCTCTGTGTCCAACTTTCTATCCATTAAGGAACACTGTTTCTCAGATCCTCTCGTATACATAAGCAAGTGTTCAGAAGTAGTGACCAATTTTTACTATAAACTGAAAATGAGTTGCTAGTGGAGTGGCATTGTGAAAAAAAGCCATCATGATACAATGACATTCATTGATGCTTCAAGGACCTAAGATAATCTGTCTAAAATGTGCTTCTGTTCTCATACTCTGCCAGATGTAGTATGGACCATTTTGAGACATTTTTGTAAGGATACAGGGAAACTACTGGAAGATCTGGGTATAGTGAAAAGAGAGTTAGATTTAGAGTCAAAATAACTCAAAGGATCCAGGTTTGCATCCCAAGCCTGCCAGTTACTTGGGATTTTGTTTAACTACAAGAAAAAAGTTCCTACTGCTATGTAACCTCAGTTAGGTTCCTTCACCTCTCTGGAGCTCAGATTTCTTGACTGTGTCACATGAATTTCCTTATCAATTTGACTAGCTTTAACAAATCAGAAACAGGTTTTATTATACTTAAAATGCGGGACGTCCCACTGGCAGTTGATGAGAAATGTGTCATCCCCAATTTAACAAGAAATATCTATACATTATATAAAACAAAGAAAGACTGCTATTCACTAAAATGCAGGTGGCCATACAAAGAAACACAGTATACTTGTTAAAAGGCAACTTCTATCATTTGCTATGGGAGTTATCTTCTTAGGGTAGCTAGTTACACTAAATCTAAGAAAACTGAGTGTCAGGCTAGACAAGGAAGGAGGATGTTCTCAGGACCCTGGAATCCTCTACCTTTATCAGTTAAGTCTTTTTGTACAAATATGGGAAGAAAATATGCCCCGAAGGGCACAAGCTACCATGTTGGGTTTTGCAGTTTATATGGGGTTATATACAGCAAAATGGTGAGCACAGAACAAAATGGAGTCAGTTATGTTCTTCTAGAAATTAATTTTCAACAAGTATAAAATGAGGGGATTAGGTCAGAGTTTTTTAATCTTTTTTCAGTCACAGACCCCTTTGGCAATCTGGCAAATCCTATGGACCATTTCTCAGACTAATTTTTTTTTAAACAGGTAGTTAAAATGTAGTCTTATGAAAGAAACCATAAATGTTGAAATGCAGTTATCTAAATAGTTTTTAGATTAACAATCCAAGTTGTGAACTGCTGGATTAGATGATCTCTAATGTCTTTTCCTGCTCTAAATTGATGATCTTATACTTCTTTCCAGGTTTAAGATCATCTGGTTTAAGATGAGTCTATGAAAAGCAAAATAAAAAAAAGTTAAATTAAAAAAATATGAAAGAATGGAAAATAGGACCTTTTAGTATAGGGTAGAAAAATTTGGATTGGTGGTTGTCTTGAAAAGAGAAAGTTCATGATTCTTTCATTGTCTCATATGAACAGCATATAAACAGTTTTCACAAGAAGAGAGGAGATGTCTGTCCATATCCACAGAGGAATTAACAAAACAGGCTTAAGTCAAAAGGGTAGAAATTCATGCTAGCCATAAGAAAAAAGGTTTCTGCTACTAAGAGAAATTGTGGAGTCTTTTTCTGGCAGTTTTCAAGAGAAAAATTATTTATCTGTCCTTGAGAATAGATAGTTATTTGATAGAAAAAAGGGAACTGTGATGAAGATGTATGATTCTGTTTCACTGGCAATGTGGAATTTTGGAGTAATGCAATATCTTTGCCTTAGGCTTTCCTGGGGTTTGCTGTATGCTGGCTACATCTTTATTATGGCCACATTTCTGGCACTTGTGACATCTAGTCATCTTGTCATCATGACTGGCTACTTTGTGTTATTCACCCTTTTTCTTCTATATGGTTTGTCTGCGGTAAGTTGCTGAACTACATGTTACTTTCCCTACTTCAGAGTCAACTATTTGAGTGAATAATAACATCAATAAAGGTTGTTAATGGAATCTCCCTTTTTTTTCTACTTACGATTGTTATCATCGACTTCAGATATGAGCTGCTTCAATTCTCTGTCCATTAGTTTTTTTCCACATTCTTTTAAAAGTATAGTAACCAAAAAGTTACATAGTCCAATTGGCGAAGTATGACAATGGAAAATTATTTTAGACAGAGTACCTGGGACTTTGCAGCAATGTATTCCATTATCTTAGGCTGGCTTTAAAAAAACAAAAACATGTTGACTTTTTTCCACATTGTAATTCTAATAATGACATGTATTATACTTGTGGTTAAAAATTGATTACCATTTCTGAATAAAAGGACTCGCTAAACTGTTGCTCAGTGGATAGAGAACTGGATTCAGAGCCAGAAATACTTCAAGTGAGAAAGACTCTGTAGTTATAAGAACTGAATACATGTTTGTAGCAACAGAGGGAGGCTGTCGTATGTAGAGAGAGGGCCAAAGTGTAGGCCAAACTGCCTATCCGTGGCAGTGTGGTGTGTGGCTCAAAGAGAGGCAGAATACATATCTCTAACCTTTTCTCCAACAGAGACTTTAATTCTTGCCAGGAAAGGGAAGTAGGAATTTGGGGTCAGAGGCCACAGCTCTGTTCTCAAAGAATGGGGGTACTCGGCTAGGATTATATTTTCTGCTACCTTAAATATTACTACTCTAGGGGATATGATCAGGTTCCTTCTAACCTCTGATTGCTTTGTCATTGTCGGGCAAAGGAAGACTACAAGTTTTGTATCCGAGGTTTGACCTCTTTGCCACAAAATACTAGCTCCACAATGAACACACATAATGAATCGTAAAGAAATACATGTATCCAAATTATAGCAAAACAGGAATCAGAGGTTTACGTAGAAGAATATACACCAGTCAATACAGAATGAAGGAGCTCTTCCACTGGGAGCAAGATAACTCTGCTTAACCCAGAGAGAGGATCCTGGATCTCACCCAGGGGGAAACACCCCAAAGTCTTTAGAGTAGCAAACTGAATATAGGGACATGATGGAGACTGCTTGCTCCTCTTCCCAGAGATGTCTTTTTCATCAGCAACTTGAAATGAGGTTGCCCTCTTCCATGTCATCTCCTCTCTCAAAGCAGGGAACCAGAAGCACCTGAAGCAACTTGACTTGAAACTTGAAGAGTCTCAAGGGGAGCTGCCCAAGAATTAGAGCTTTCTTGTCAACCCTTTCTGGCTCCTGACTCAGGGCAAGGCATTCATCTCCACCAATAAAGAGAGAGTCCCATACCAATGGGCCTGGGGACAGGGACTACATGTTAATTTTTTAATACAAAGATCATTACATTGTATCACTCCATTGCTATCCAAAGACCAAATTGCCAAATAAGATTATTCTCTTTCAGATAGCTTTTGCTTTTCTTCTATGTGTATTGATAAAGAAACCTCTGCTAACTGGACTGATTGCCTTCCTCCTTACTGTGTTTTGGGGATGTTTGGGATTTGCTACATTGTACAAGCAACTTCCTCCCTCTTTGGAATGGATTTTATGTCTCCTAAGCCCCTTCGCCTTTAGTGCTGGAATGGTGCGGGTAAGTCTAATCTGAGCTATGAGACACCTTCATGCCAAAGGTTGTGATTCTTGACAATTTCCATGCTTAGCCTTCTAACCATTAACATTTTTCCAGTCAATGCTATTCTGACTTTGCTGAAATAAAGAGACCACTTAGATGGTTCATTATTCACACTAAGCAGGACTTAACTATGATCTATACCAGTAGCTCTCGGACTATTTGCTTGTGGCATAGTATTCTTTGCTGTAGAAATCGAGGCATGTGGAACAGTTAAATTGGCAACATTAAGGGAGAGCCAAGAGACTTGCACATGTTCAGTTTCTCTTTAATGTAAGAAGTAATTTTTGTTGAGTTCTTAAGGAGTTCAAGGTCTGATGTTTTGAGGTCACTGGATATGCATAATAGGCAAGGTTGTGTGTGTGTGTGTGTGTGTGTGTAATATTATATTTGCCATACTTTACATTCTGACTAAATAAAATTTATATTAAGCAAAATTATTTAAACCTTTCCTTTTATCTGAGATAATATAATATCCAAAATGTTATGGCATACTTAGCAAAACTCATAGCACCCTTGTGTACACTGGACACCCTTTGAGAACCACTGGTTCTTAAAGAACACTGGTTTACCGTGTGCCTTGTATGTGCATACTTGATACAAATGTTTTTTTGGGGGGAGGGTGTAACAGAACAAGGCCTTTGTAGAGGCAACCTATGCCTCTTTGTGTACTGTGCAATGATCATAGCTATTCCTATCAGGAACTCTGTTTCCCATATATATCCTAAATATCCAACCTGATGGCAGGGGGCCAAGGCTTCTTTAAGAAGAGAGTTGAAAAGGAAGGAATAAGCTTTTATTAAGCACCTGCTATGGGCAAGCTTACTGTGCTAAGTGTTTTACAAATTTTTTTACCCTCCCAACAATTTTGGGAGGTGAATGCCATTATCATCACCATTTTATAGCAGAAGCAACTGAGGCAGACAGAGGTGAAATGACTTGCTTAGGGTCGAAGTTGAACTGGTTTTCTTGACTCCAATACACTGGGCCACCTAGTTGCCTCATAGTTAGATGAGAAGTGCTAATGCAGGGCCAAAAGATACTCTTAGTAATAAATACAACCATCTCTGTCTTGTTTGCTTGGCTAGTCTAGACAGCTAAGTTATCACTTATCTGTAAATATTTAACCAGGTGAGAGAGATGTGATATGTTGTTTGGCCACCAGGTGCCCCAGATCCCTGTGGGTGGCCTACTTTCATCAACCCCCACCCCCAGTGCCATCCTTACCACTTTCACTCATTTGGCCAGTGAAGGACTAATTTGGCGCTAGGTTAAATTTAAGTCTGTTGGTTTGGTTTATAACATACCCCTCAAATAACACACACATACATACACACACACACACACACACACACACACACACACACACACGAAAATAAAAGAAAAAAAAAGTAAATCTCTTCCTAACACCTTGAAGTCCCATATCTGCCTTCCTTAGTCATAGGATTTGACAGTTTTCTGTCGATGGCTATGTGATTTTTTTTTTAACACACAATTGGGTATCAAAAGAAATTCAAGCACACAGAATAGACAAGCTTCAATAGCAGGAGGCAATGTTGTGTGGTTTGGTTAATTTTTTTTTCTCCCCTCCACACTCAGCTGGTCTGAGGAGATTGGAAAGGAAATGGATGGTGAGAAGGTTTAAAAAAAAAAAGAGGTGAAAACCCAGCAGGAGTTTACTCAGCAGGGTTCTGAGGCAACAGGGTAAGAAAGAAACTCTGGCCTGGAACTCTGCTAGTTCTCATTGTGGTGCCCCCAGGTAGCTCTCAGTTTGCTCTGCCTGGTGCAGTGCATCTGCTCCAGATGTTGAACCCCTCTATGTCCTCAGATCCTCTATTCCTCTGCTTCCTTCAGTTTATAGCAAGTCCATGAATAGCCTCACAAAGTGATCTCATTTCCGTTCCTGCTTTGCTTTCCCCTGCTTGCAATCCCTGGGATAATGCACCCCTGTCCTGCTCTTTGCCACATGGTAGGAAAAACACAGGAGTCTGGTTGCAAGCTTCTCCTTATTTAAAAAAAAAAAAACCCGACAAAAATTAAGTCCATGAAAAGTCTATGTGCGAGTCTCTCCAAAAGCAAAGGATGTAGAAACCTGAGAACATTTAGAAATGTATGCCCAACACACATTTCCTAGCTTACTTAGGTCTCTATGATCCCTTTACCATAACCCTCCTGGGAGGTCTTAGAAAGCGTGGCTATATTTTGAATTCCTAAGGGATGATGCTATGTCATTTGTGAGGGGCTGTCACAATGAAGACAGACAAAGTAAGGGATCCCTAATTATGGAAGTCACCAGGACCAGACCATAGAATTAACTAGACAAGTAGGCTATTGATAAAACTGTGAGGGAGTGAGGAGCAGAGCTGTTAAGGTGATATACTGTTTCCCCCAGTTCCCAGGTGGGACTCTGGATAAAGGGAAGCTTCCTTTCCAAATTTTTCCCAGAAATGAGGAGACTGGGAGTACAATCATTTGGGTAGTAATCTAATGATTATTTCTTCCAGTTATATGCTTTTTTAACCCCTACCCTCAATTCCCATGGCTCTCCCAGTCAGTTTGTAAGCTCTTTCCTCTCTGCCCCCTTTCTTCTGGGTCTAGTATTGGCCCCTTTAGGACAGTTATAGCCTAAATTAACTGCTACCCGCAGGAACTGCCTGAGTACTTTAGGGAAAATTACACCCTTCCTGAAATCACTTCCCAGCTGTGGCAGGCACACCTCAGAGGATGGGCTTTGGGATTTGGGGGCAATGCCCAGAGAATAAGAGATCTGCCTCCTCTCTTTTTGTATTTTGAATAGGTCAGAGTGAGTCAAGATGAGCAGGCATATATAGATTGTAATCTGTTTCTCAGAAATTTCATATCTTCTCTTTATCCCTACTTCCAACATGCCTATTTCCCAAACTTCCATTTTACTGTTGAAGTCTTTCTAGTTACTCAAACTACTTTGGTGTTACCACCACAACCTTGGTGTTATTTTTGACCACATATGCATTCAGTTACTAAATCTTAATGTTTTTACCTGCACAATGTTTCCTGAGTCCAACCTCTTCTCTCCACTCACATAGACACCATCCTAGTTCAGAATCTCTTCACCTGCAACCTGGATTATTAGAATAGCTTCCCAATTGGTGTATATCTGCTTCAAGTCTGTCTCTACTTTAAACCACTCTCCATAGAACTGCTAAAGTGATTTTCCTAAAGCTTGTTTGATCATGTCTCCTCTACACTCAATGAAATTGACTTTGGGATCAAATATTCTTTCACTGTTATCCAATCATTTCAAAATATCTATTTTGTGTGTAAGTTTTAAAATGTGTATTTATAGTTCAATAGTATGTATATATATGATTTATTAAAAAATGAAACATATAAATATTGGGTGTGCACATTCAAAACTTTTCTTTTTGCGAATGGAACGTGTGAAGAAAAAAGTTTAGATACCCACTGACATAGGGGTCCCCAGTTACACAGTGGAGTTGGGGCTAAAACCATAATTGAAGTACACTTATTTATGATACCCCATGTTGCCCCAAGGAATTTGTGAGTACTGCAGAGTGATGGAAAATAAGCTACACTAATGTGATGTTTTAAATTAAAACCCAATTGCATAGTCAAAAATCAAACCTGATAAATGCACAAGATTGATGATTCTGACATTTGCATAATCATTGGAAAAGCCAGCAGTGGACTATCAGTTAAATATTTTCAGGAGTTTTTATTTTCCCCTATGTCATTTACTTTTTTTGGAACACTGACTTGCTCTGTGATTAGGATTGCTAACAATGAAAAGTTCATTTTAACTGATTAATGAAGTTGATTGTAAAATCAAACTATAATTCCTGTTACTGACAACTTTGATTCTGTTTTTCTCTTTTAATTTTTTGTTTGTTTTGTTTTCAGATTATCCTCCTGGATTATGACTTAAGAGGTTTTACCTTTCCTGATCCTTCAGGAGACTCATATCTAATCCTAGCAATATTTTCCATATTGCTTTTTGATATTCTTTTCTATTTGGCATTGACGTTGTATTTTGACAAAATCTTGCCTAGTAAGTATGAATGTGGTTACAATTCAATTTAGATTAATTTCAAAACTTCACTTTCTTTCAAAGTGTTTTCTGAAAATTTGATGTTTCCACATATTAAGAAGTATTTTCCACTGCAACGGGATGTTATTATCATAGATAGAATGATTTCTCAATTTAGAGCAGGGTGGATCACCTTGAGGAAATTGCTAAATTCTTGTTTGTTTGGTTTTTTGAGGCAATTGGGGTTAAGTGATTTGCACCAAGTCACACAGCTAGAAAGTATTATGTGTCTGAGGCCAGATTTAAACTCAGGTCCTCCTGACTCCAGGGCTGATGCTTTATCCACTGCACCAACTAGCTGCCTCTAAATTCTTTTAATTATACCAAACATCTCCTTGAAACAAAGGCCTGTCTTTTTAACTCCAGTATTCTACTGACGGTGTTGTAAAATTAACAATGATAATAAATAATAATAGCTAACATTTACTGTGCTATAATTATTTTTTATAATTATTATCTCATTTGATAATAATAATAATTACTATACTATAATAGTGATACAAATGATGTATAAATAAATATAATATATTAATGCAATGTGATAAAATAAGTAAATAATGTAAATAATAATTATAATTATAATTATTTCTTTTTAATTATCTCATTTGATACAGCAATCCTAGGAGGCAGATGCTATTATTATTATTATTATCATTTTACATATGAGGAAACTGAGGCAAACAGAGATTAAATAACTTGCCAAGGTTCACCTAGCTAGTAAAGTGTCTAAGGCCAGATTTGAACTCAGATCTTCCTAACTCCAGGACTAGCACTCTATCCACTGTATCCCTTGATGGCTCAGTGTTTATATGGCTGAAAGTCATGGAGTGCTATAGTCTCTGAAGAATGAAAAAATGAGCAACATGTAGTCATCTAGGTGGCACAGTGGATCGAGTAGCAGGCCTAAAGTCAGGAAGACTCATATTTCTGAGTTCAAATCCAGCTTCAGAAACTTGTTGGCTATGTGATGGGCAAGTCACTTAACCCTGTTTGCCTTAGTTCCTCATTTGTAAAATGAGCTGGAGAAGAAAATGGCAAATCCAGTATCTTTGCCATAACCCACAAGTAGTCATGAAGAGCGGACATAACTGAAAAATGACTGAAATAATTTAGAGGGCAAGAAAGAGGTTTACAGTGGGTATAAATAGGCTGTGAGGCAATTACAGAGGAGAGGTAGAGTAAAAGATGTTAGTTGTATGAACAAAAACCAAGATGGACTGATTTCATGATGAGGGTGAGGAATAACTGATGGACAGCTTGTGTCTTACATTAATATCTTCCAGCAAACTCTTGGACTTAGCGAGGGATGAGATCAAGGAGGGTTGACCTTGGCAGGAAGAACCACAACTTTGTCAGAGGCTTGTATGAAGGAGCAATGAATGGCAGTGTGTGTCAAGGAGTTTTGAAATACAGAATAGGGGAGAATAGGAAACTAACATAGATGGTGTCTATTTTCTCAATAGAGTAGGAGGGAGGGAAGATCTTTCCTTGAGAGGGAGGAGGCAAAAAGTAGTGAAAAAGGCTTGAGAAGATTTGAAAAAGCCATCATTATTTTAATATTCCCTGCAATTAGGCAATAATAAGTAGATGACTATGCTGCAGAGAGGGTACAATTGAGTTTACTTATAATCCCAAGTCCCAAATGGATCTGCACCTTCATTGATGTGGTATTCCCAGCAGTGGTGTAGATTGCAACCCCTCCATGCTAGACTATCCAATGTGGCTCATGTCCATTCCTCCCATAAGTCTGCTGCTGGGCATACACCCCAAGTGCTAGGAGGTTGCATTACTTTATCTTGATATTGTGATCATACCAAAAAAGTTGTCCATCAGCTGTCCCTCATTCTTCCCATGTGACAAACTTACTTTCTTATTTGTTTGTACATATATTTGATGACAACCTTTAATGACAGTTCTTCCTAATTCCTTGTTTTTAATGTATTGCAGACAGCTCACACTCACTATGTACCTTTCTACTGCCCTTTAGGTGATACTCAGTTTCAATCTTTGGAATGTTTCATGACTCACAATCATATAAAAATATCTGTAAAATATTAGTATTTAAAATGTAGGCCATTGTTTCAGGGAGAAGTTTGGGAACCATTGAAATAACTGCAATTTCCTTAAAGCAATCCCTATCCTTACTTCTCTGTCTCCTTTGCTTAGCAGGGCATCAAGCACCCTCTGCTCCCTAAGCAGATGAGTGCCCTCCAAAGCTTTATCCTGATCTTTCTTCTCTTCTCTTTCTATCTTCTTTCTCTTTATGGTGTAGTTGATAGAGTTCTGAACCTGTTGTCACTGGACCTGACTTTGAATTCTTCCCCAAACATTTATTTATTGTGTCACTCTGGCCCAGTCACTTAACCTCTCAGAGCCTCATGGACTCTGATAAAAAAATGGGCATGATAATAATATCGACTTCACAGGATGTTTCCTGAATGCTAGTCTTTATATCACCAAATGCCTACTGACTAGTTACACTTGGATGTTCCATAGCAGCACAAACTCATCTTGTCCAAAATGGAGCTCTTTGTCTTCCATGCTATGTTCACTTCTCCTCCAAAAGTCTGTTTCCATTGAGGGCACATCATTTTGTCAGCCTCCATCAAATTGGGAAGACCCTCTGTGGGGTATCTGAGGGCAAGAATCTTAAAGGATGAGAAGGTGCAGTAGTTACTGCCTCCAATCAGTGGAAAGAATGAGCATATCACTGAGGCTAATGATCCATTGAAGTATAGTAGGTTAATCAAGGAAATTTCTTTGATGTTTAATCAGCTTACAGGGCACTGAACCTTTGTTTGGGACATTTGATTGACATCTCCCCATTCAGGGCATGGATGGGATGTGCCCCTGACACTTTGTTAAGAAGACAAAAGATAACTCCTGATTAGTCTCTGGGACTAGGACTGCCTGGCACCCTTTTACTTTGGCTTAATCAATTACTATTCACCAAGGACTCTTAAGTTGCTTTTTCCTTCCACTTCTTTTTCTAAGAGAGTACAGGAGATCCAGGGAAGAGGCCTTATCCCATCTTCAACACTACCACCATGATTAATGAATGGCTTAAGGCAGAATCACATGGGAGCTGCATGTACTAACCTAAGTCCATATAGCCCAAGAGGAGAGTTCCCAGACATGTTTTGTTTTTCTTCCTGCCCTCTCCCCTCACTCCCACTCTTATTTCAGGTGGAAACCAAAGACTGAAGAGTGAATTCTTACAGCCTAAGTGATGGCTACAGATGGAGGAGGAGTAGAATTTCCAGGAAGAATACATATGTATTATTATTACTTAAGTGGTCCTAGAGAGAAAGTCAAGGGACTGTTCAGTTGTTTCAGTTGTGTCTGACTGTTCGTGACCCCATTTGAGATTTTCTTGGCAAAGATACTGGAGTGATTTGCCATTTCCTTTTCCAGCTCATTTTACAGATGAGGAAATGGAAGAAAAAAGGGTTAAGTGACTTGCCCAGGGTCACACAGCTAGTAAGTGTCTGAAATCAGATTTGAACTCAGGTCCTCCTGACTCCAGGCCGAGACTTCCATCCACTATACCACCTATCTTCCCCATTTACACCAATTACCCTAAAGAAATATATGGGATCAAAAGGAATATTAAAATAAAAAGTTATATGTTATGAGATGTGAGAGATCAATATATGCTACTTTAGTAGAGGCTGCTTTTATTATTGTGATTTGACACATCCGATATTTAATTCTGTCCCTATTAGATGAATATGGACAGCGGCAATCTCCTTTGTTTTTCCTTAAGTCTTCATTTTGGTTCCAAAAATGGAAGGCTGTTCATGAGGTTCTGGAGAATGAAATCAACCCTGAGCATTACTCTGACTCTTTTGAACCAATATCACCAGAATTCCATGGAAAAGAAGCCATCAGGTAAATATTTTTTTTCAAGCATACAAATTAACACCACAGGCTAATAAGCTAACCAGTACACTACAGCCAGCTTTAAATGAAATTTTGAAGTATCCATGCTATATCTTTCTTCTGAACTGGTCTCCTGAAAGCATACTTGGTGCTTTCCCACCCCTATTTCAAAAGAAAATTTCTCTAAAATGTATGTATTTTAACATTTAAATTTATTTTATCTGTGTAACAGTTCTAAGCACAATTTTACATTGACCATGATTATAATACATTTTCTTTCTATTCAACTTCTGCCTTTTACCTTGGTTCTTCTTTTCTTCTACTCTCTCTTGTTTCTTACTCTGCCTCCTATTTCTTTTTCCTAAACTAACTTTTTTTCACTTTTCTCTTCCCTTCTTCTTCTTCTTTTTTTCTTTTTTTTCTTTTAACATACAGCTTTAAGGAAATGAAATATCTCATTTGGTAGTGTTGTCTTTTTAAAGTGCTTTTGGGCAACTCTAATACGAAATTCTTCTAAAGTGGCTATTACTCCTTTTCTTCAAATTATAAAACTGAACCTGGGGAAGACAGGGCACTCCTTTGATCTTCTGTGGCATAAGAGGTATGGGATCCTTCTGATCAGTGCCCCATTAAGGGATTGGATGATGCTGACAATACGGTCTTCTCAAATTGAGACAAGTTTTTTCTTTTTTCAGTTTTTTGAGGACCAAATGAGTGTTTCAGAGGCTAAGAACCTGGACATGTTCTTTTACACTGTCAGTTTTCTCCCAATATTTATCTATTATATGATTCCTGGGAATAGAGGGGAATTTGGGGTTATCTCTTCCCTGAGACTCATTTTGAAATAATGGGGTTCCTTTGGACACAGGACCTAGAAGGCTAAGATGTTTTTATACCTTACATCTTCTGTGCCCTCTACCTCCCAACTCATCCCTCCTTCTTATCTCTAGCTGAAGGTTTCTTGAGAGGTAAGATCCCCAGGGGCCAATCAGTGTTTAGTGGTTTCTTTGCTTCTTTATTTCGACTGTCTCTTCCATTCTATATCCTCAGAAGTGAGAGGTTGAATATTCTGTGCTTTACACTGAGGATGGACAAAAAAAAAATCTCTGTGTATATGAAGACAACAATAAAACCATATTGGGCTGTTAAAACAACAGTAACAATAACTTAATGTGTGGAGAATGATTAAGAAAATGTGAAAAGCAGACCAGAGGGAAAGGATAAAGGAAAAATAGATGGAAGTGGGCAAAGAGGCTCACATTTCCTAGGGCTCAAGCTTTCTCAAATACTTAAAAGATGAATTTATGTCTCCTGTGTTCTACAAAGCCCTCCAGGACTACTGCAACCCATATTAATCTCTTATTATTCTGAACAACTAAGTGATGAGTGCACTTATCATTTAAATTATACAAAGTAGAATATAAGAATTTAGGAATAATAAAATGGACTTTTATCTTGTCGTATCCTCTTATGTGAATAATTGTAAGCTGATTGAGAGCAGGGACCATTTCTCACACCTCTCATCTATCTCTTATGACATTTAGCACAGTTAGAGGAATGAAGTAGATATTCCTATTGATATGTACAATGTTCTCCTGGTTCTGCCCATTTTACTCTGCATCAGTTCATATAAGTCTTCCTAGGTTTTTCTGAGAGCATCCTGTTCATCATTTCTTATAGCACAATAGTATTCCATCACAATCATATACAACTTGTTCAGCCATTCCCCAGTTGATGGATATCCCATCAATATCCAATTCTTTAATGCAAATTAAAATCAAAAGTGTGTCATGTGTATATTTTGCTATTTTTGGGGGGGCAGCGCACTAACTTTGGAGTTTGGAAACCTTGCTGCAGAATTCTCAAAATACCGCATGTGGGAAGTGCAACTTTTGTTTAGTCTGCCTATCTCTTAGATTATCTCTGAATTATATTATTTATACTTCAAGTTTTTGGTTAGTATATGCTCTGTGATCATGAAACATTATTTACTTTTCTTTTAGAATCAGAAATATTCGAAAAGAATATAAAGGAAAACCTGAAAAAGTAGAAGCTTTGAAAGGTAAAGAGGAAAATTTCATTATATATAATGTTATATCAACAGTTGATTGCTTATATAGATTTAAATTTTTTCTCTTCATAAGGAATAATGCAGGCACCACAAGCATTACTCCTCATTCCAACTTATATATATATATATATATATATAGATATAGATATAGATATATTTACCTTCTTAATGAATTATAACCAACTTGTTTACAAAAAGAACATTTCCATCTCTGAAACATGTGACATAAGTAGGATATGAAGTTCTGAACCCTTTTTAGGTTTCCTATAGAACTATTCTCTAACTTTAAAGCTGTCCTTTTTACCCAGTTGTTTTTTGTTTCTTTTTGGATGGTGGGATAGTTTGTGTAAAGTACTTTTAGCCACACACTAGTTTCTTATTGACAACTGGGTGGTATAGTCTATAGAGTACCAGTCTTGGAGTCAGAAAGGCTTAAACAACTCTTTTGGAGTTTATATCTTCTGTCAAGAGCATAACATTAATGCATACTATCTCAGACACTTACTAGCTTGGTGAACAAGGGCTAGATAATTAACCTCTGCCTTCCTCAGTTTTCTTATCTGTAAAATGGAGGTAATAATACCATCTACCTCTTAGGGTTGTTGTGAGGTTCAAATGAGGTAATATATGTAAAGCACTTTGTAAACCTTAAAGTGCTATATAAATGCTAATATACATACTATATATACATATATACAATATGTAATTATATATAATTTTATTAATAGAGATATAATTTATATATAATATAGATATGAGATATGTAGTTTTATTATAACAACTAACATTTGTAGAGTGCTTTATAAATATAACATAAAAATAAACATCATTATATATGCCAGGCGTTATGCTAAGTGCTTTATAAGTATTATCTCATTTGATTCTCACAATAACTGGGAAGTAGGCACTGTTATTATAACCATTTTATAGATGAGAAAATAGAGGCAAGCAGAGATGAAGTGAATTGCTCAGGGTCACACAGTTAATAAGTGACTGAGGTTGGATTTGAACTCAGGTCTTCCTAATTCCAGGTCCAGAGCTGTATCTACTACACCATATACCAATGAGAATAAAGCAAAAGTGAAATCCCTTTTCATTTCAATTCAGCAAACATTAATGGAATCACCTACTATGTGCAGGACATTGAGCTAGGGGTACAAAGATAAAAACAATAATATTTCTTGTCCCTAAGGAACTTCTACACAAAATAATGAGGCAGGAATTTTTTTGGATGTCAGGGAATGTCACTTAACAACTGGTGGAGGTGGGTGGGAACAGAAAAATCCATATGTGTGTTTTAGCTTAACCTTGAAGGGAGTTAGGGATTCCAAAAAGCAGAGCTGAAGAGGCTGGGCATTCCCATTCTTGCTGAAAGCTTTAGGAAGGCGTGGAGGCAGAAGATGGAATGTGGCTGGTAGGAAATTAAAAGTAGGTGAGTGACTGAAATGTATTACGTGAAAGGGACAGTAATAATAAAGATAGTTTGGAGGTCAGTTGTGAAAGACTTTAAAGTTCCAAACAAAAGAATTTGTATTTCATCCTAAAGGCAACACAGAATTCAATTCAATAAACATCTACTAAACACCTACTGTGTGCCAGGTACTGTGCTAAGCACTAGGGATACAAAAGAGGCAAAAGACATTCCCTGCCTTCAAGTAGCTTAATCTAATGGGAAAGACAACATGCAGACCAGTATATGCAAAGCAAGCTAGATATGAAATAAATAGAAAATAAGTAACAAGGGAAGGCACTGGAATTAAGAGGAGTTGGGGAAATCTTCCTGTAGGAGGTGGGATTTTAGTTGGGATTCAAAGGAGGCCAAGGAGGTCAGTAATTGGAAAGGAGGAGGGAGATCATTCCAGGTATGAGGAAAGACTAGAGAGAATGCCTAGAACCAAGAGATGAAGTGTCTTGTTTTTGGAACATCTAAGAGGTCAGTATCACTGGATCGAAGAGTAAGGGATGAGCTTCTTGAGCAGGGGAGTGACGTGATCAGGCCTCTGTTTTAGGAATATTAGTTTGGCAGCTGTGTCTGTAGGGCAAATTGGAGTGGGGGCAAGGGAGAGTGGTGTCAACCCGACAGAACCAGCCTCTAACCTGTGGGTGGCCAGAGCTGAACAGCACAGGTTAGAGACAACAGAGTCAGGAATCAAACAGAGGTTTAACTTTAAAGTGAGGGCAATGGCTTGCAAGCAAGAACATATGTGCTGGGACCCTGTCCCTAGTGGGGGAGACCCGAGGCAGCATAGGGAGATCTCAGTACTTACACCAATGGTTGCACAGTGATCTGTAACCCTGACAATGAGGGCTAACGGTGACGATGTGACCAGTTTGATTTATAGCAGGGCTTTATGACTGGAACGTGGATATAACAGGTGCTTGTCCAAGCTCAGGGAACAACTGGTGCTGGTCAAAGCAATACAATAATTATATGATTTTGCCAGAGGGTGAGTGCAAAGGACCGTTGTTACGCCAAGCTTGAGGCACAACTTGCTTTCTGGGCCTTAGTTCTGGAAAAACAGGATGTCTGATTGAACACGGATTAAGAGGATGGTGTGAGGCATAGGAAGGAAATGACGATGGTAATGATATGAGTTTAAATTTTTCTTTTCTTTTTTTGGGGGAAAGCAATTGGGGTTAAGTGACTTGGCCAGGGTCACACAGCTAGTGAGTATCATGTGTCTGAGGCTGGATTTGAACTCAGGCCCTCCTGACTCCAGGGTCAGTGCTCTATCTACTCTGCCACCTAGCTGCCCCAAGTTTAAAATTTAAAATGTAAAATGTAAAATGCTGGGATCTTTCAAGTCTATCTTGTCCAAATACATTTATATCATTGCTCACCAAGGCATTAGGGCTCCCTTGTCATTAAATGGCTCTGACTACAGGCTCAGGAGGGTATTGGGGTCAATGTTGTGGGAGTCTGACCTCTAAAGACAGGGGTCAGGATCTTTTTTTTTGTCTTGGCATCTTTACCCCTAAATTCTAGTTATTTATACCTTTTACACCAGAACCCTTGGGAATATCAATTAAAACTTATATTTGGTTTATGTCAAGGGCATACTAAAAAGAGTATGAAAGTGTTCAATGTACAATGCAGATTACGTATGGGGCAGCTGAAGCTTAAATGTTTTGGCTCATTAAATAATGAGAAGACAGGACTCATTGGAAAAGACCTTGATGTTGGGAAAGTTTGAAGGCAAAAAGAAAAAGAGACAGCAGAGGGATGAGAGGGTAAATAATGTCATGGAAACAACAAACATGAACTTGGACAGATAGAAGGGCCTGACATGCTATGGTGCATGAGGTCACAAAGAATCAAACATGAGTGAATGAATGAATAATAAATTGATTTCTTCTTCACAGAAGATATACTAAAAAACATAAAAGACTACCAAGAATACATTGACAGAGTCATTATTTTAAAAACTATTATTGTAGTGATAATAATAGTTAGCATTTAAATAGTGCTTTAAAGTTCAGAAATCCTTTACAAATATTATCTCATTATATACTCACAACAACCCTTGAAGGTAGATATTATTATTATCCCCATTTTAATGATAAGGAAACTGAAGCAGATGGAGGTGTAGTGGTTTACCAGGGTCACACAGCTAGTAAGTGTATGCAGGTTTAAACACATCTTCCTGTGTCTAGGTTTAGTGCTCAGATATTAAAACATGAAACATTTTGAGGAATTGCTAAACAACCATTTCATCGTCACCTTATTTCTGCCCTGTCCAAGCAATACCTTTAAAATTTACATCTTCTGGCAAGCAAGAGCATTGCTTTAATACTTACTCTTGTCAGTGGTCATCTTCTCCTCCAAGAAGAAAGTAATTGTAGAAAACCTCCCCCAACTGCCAATCAGTTCTGACTGTGGGACCTAGGAGCTCTCAAACACATAAGGTATATATCCAAGTCTAGAAACATCCATCTCAGGATGACTATTTGGTCACTTGTGTTCAGGTAAAAGAAACAAAATAGATGAGGCATTTGTGGGTCAAAGGTTCAGGCAGGCCTTGTCAAAACTAGTTTTCTTAAGGGCATATTTGAGCAGTTGCTGTAACTTTCAGGGAAAGAGAGACCTATCTTCCCCACCTCACGGGAAATCTAAGAATTCCAAACCTTCTATACAGTAGAGAGGAAGAAGATATCAAGAATAGAAGTTGTTTTCCTGTGAAAGTCTACTGAGTGAATAGCTGCTCTTGACTCAGTGGTCAGTCTTTTTTGTTATAGCTGGCACTTCAGGGGGCCAAGGGATTGTTATGCTATCCCAAAGCCTGAACTGATGTTGAATACATGTATCCCCAGAAGTAGCCCAAAGGAACTGGGATGAGCTCTAACTTTGTTCTGTTGCAAAACAAAACAAAAATGGGAGAACATCAGAGAAATGCAGAGTGAGTTTAGCTTGTCCTGTTCCAAATTCCTTTATCTCCTTTTTTCCTCCACAGTCCCCTACTGCACGCCGTCTTCATGCCCAAGCCATACCTAGTGGCCTGGAAGACATAGAATTCTGTGTCTGGTTCTAACATGTCAGATAGAAGGTAGATTCTTCCTGTTTTAATTTCAGGTTTACTACTGGATATCTATGAAGGCCAGATCACTGCAGTACTTGGTCACAGTGGAGCTGGGAAATCCACCCTGTTAAACATTCTTAGTGGATTGTCTGTTCCAACAGAAGGTGAGAGAATCATTTCCCAAACGAAGATTGACTGATAAATCAAGACATCATGCAGGAGCCAGTAAATAGCATTCTCCCAAAGTAGATGCTTGCCAGAATGTATTAGAAATTTCTCTAAGCTGTACTTTTATTGAGTTATGCAATCTTCAACTGGAAAAAAAAGTGTTTGCTATTTAACAATTCCATGAGGATGGCTATCTTCAGTCAGTGGGTATCTCTGTGAAAATTAACATTTGTTTAAATACTGTTTTTTTTGTCAATGATGTAATTATCAGTATTTATAAAATAACTCATCTTTTAAAAATCTAGTATTTAAATAATCTTAATAACTTAATATGTTTTAGAAATTGATATGTCATTTTCACTTGATTATGGTGTAAACAAAAGTATGAACAAAAGTAAAGCAAAGTATATTGTCACCCAGCTATTAACTTGTTTTTAATTTCTGATTTTAGGTTCAGTTATAATCTATAATAATAGACTAAACTTTATCCAGTAATTGTCACCTAGATATTAATTTGTTTTAACTTTTGTTTTCAGGTTCAGCTACCATCTATAATAACAAACTCTCTGAAATGGCTGACTTGGAAAAAATAAGAAAGATCATTGGTGTTTGTCCACAATGCAATGTTCAACTTGACTTTCTTACTGCAAGAGAAAATCTCAGACTGTTTGCTAAAATAAAAGGAATTCATCCACAGAAGGTGGAGCAAGAGGTAGATAAGGATGAGAAAACTGGCTAGATGAATCCTTATTCTGGACTTATTTCTGTTCTATCATTTAAAAGCCATTAAATGTACAAAATTTAGAAAGGGAAGTCCTAGGAAAGTTCCTTTATATATAATGAATAGTAAATAAAAAGTAGTTCACCGAAAGCATTTTGGTTTTTTGAATTTAATATCCTCTCTTGGGTAGGTACAGCAAATTTTAACACAACTGGAAATGAAAAATATTCAAGATACCTTTGCAGTAAATTTAAGTGGTGGACAAAAAAGAAAGCTATCTTTTGGGATCGCCATTTTAGGAGATCCTCAGGTAAGTGGTACCAGACTTTCAAATGACTGAGACTGATGTACTTGAAACTATTAGTAATAATTCATGATTTTTTTGTTATTAGAAATAATCAAAGAGGGAATAAATAGCAAAATTGATTGTATGGTTTTTAAGTTCACAGCATCTCCTCTCCATCCCCCTCCCAACCTAATAAATATCTGAGGACTGATATAAAGCTTAAAAACATACATTTTAAAGATTGTTTTCTGAAAGAACTTGTACATGGAATGAAAACTACATTGTCTTACACATAGTGCTATTAACATTTAACACGTGTTAAAGTTTATTGGCATTTAACATGTGTGAGACTCAATTTAAGTGTTTACATGAAGATTCTTTTACATGTGTTCTCCCTTTACAGGTCTTGCTGTTGGATGAACCAACTGCTGGACTGGATCCCTTTTCAAGGCACCAAGTATGGAATCTTCTAAAGGAAAGGAAATCAGACCGTGTGATCTTGTTCAGTACCCAGTTCATGGATGAGGCTGATCTCCTTGCTGGCAAGTCTTGGTTTCCTTTCACTATTATAATCAGGAATTGGACAGGTCAAAGAATGACAGGCATTACCTAAGTCTTTGTCTGTACTGGTAATCAAAGTGAAATGGAAGAAGAGAGTCTTGCTTCCAATCCGTTTATGTATTTTCACTTATCACAGTATTTTTACTAATAGCGAGATTTCATTCCCACTAATAAGGAAATTTGATTCCTACCTCCTAAGTTGGAGAGCAATCATATTGAGGTATCCAGATAATACTGAAGCATGTTCAGTTGAGAAATAAAGATATTTCACAAGTATCCAAAGAAGAGAGCATGGCAAGGTTGAATTTTTTTTCCTCAAAAGTATTCCAAGTAGTCAGAAGGACATGCCCAAGTTTAGAATGTTTCACCTTAACTGGGTTCCAGGTTCTACTCTACATTTAAAACTTTAAACTGCAATCAATATGTTGAATGTAGAGGGACTATTATTTTTTTGGACCTGTGAATTACCTCTGGAATAACTCACGGAGGGAAAAAAGCCCTAATCTAGATCTCATTTGCTTCTTTTTGCTCAGATCGGAAAGTGTTTATGTCCAATGGGAGGTTGAAGTGTGCAGGCTCTTCGTTGTTTCTGAAGAGGAAATGGGGGATTGGATATCACTTAAGGTACAATGCTTATGGGAAGTGTGGGTTCAAATCTGATGTAATCATATGTAAGGCAGGTATTTGATGGATTTTTTTTTAAAAGATGTAAACTAGAAATGAGAGACTCCTTTTGAAATATGAAACACATAGTTTTTAACAAAATCGATTTTTATTGATATCTTCAAATTTTGAAACAGCTAAATTTCTCCTCTGTATTCTGCCTCCCCGTCCAGAAAACCATCTCTTATAACAATTTTAAAAAAGGGGAAAAAAGTAAAGCCAATCAATATATTACCAAAAAAAACAACCTCTGACATTATATTCAACATTTCATACTGCTGGTCCTTCCTACCTCTGCAAAAGAATGGGAGAGATGTCTTTGCATATCTCTTCTGAGTCCAAGCTTGTTTGTAATTTTGCCACATTCAATTTCAAGTTATTTATTTTTTAAAGAGCATTTTATAACTGAATCTATACCAGTATTAAATGTATTTTAGCATATTCACTTTCAAAATTGTATGCATTTGTAGTTATTTTGAATAAGATTTCTCTCCTATTGATACTTAGATGTTGTAGTTATATAGAATATAGAAATATATAAAATATAGAATATTGAAATGATACTAGTTTTGTAAGTTTATTTTGTAGCCTGACTTTATTGAAGGTAGTAATTACCTTAGTTAGTTTCTTCCATGATTCTCTAGGATTTTTAAATTAAACCACCATGCTATAAGCAATCTGTTAAAGTTATATGCTCTTTGTTTATCTGTGCATCCATAATTTCTTTCTCTTGGCTTATTGGTATTGCTAGCATTTCTAGAACTATGTAGAATAGTGGCTGAGTAAATGGGCATCCTTGATTTACTCCCATATGTATTTGCAAAACTTGTGGCAAATATCTATTCACATGATGCTTACTTTGGGTTAAAGATGGATACTTTCTATGATATTGAAAAGGATATTAATATACCTATGCTATTTTGATTTTTTTGAAAGTTGATATTGTACATTGCTAAAGGCTTTTTGTATGTTCATTGAGTTAATAGTTTGGTTTTTTTGTTTTAATAATTACATTTATTGTTGAAAGTTGAAATACTCTTGTATACCACTGGTATAAATGCAACTTAGACGTAATGAATAATTTCCTGGTTAAATTGCTGTGATATTTAAAATAATTTCATTTAAAAATATGAGTTGAGTAATGACACTCACCTATAGTTCTCTTCTTCTCTGATTTACACATTAGAATTATACTTGTCTCTTAAAAGAAGTCCAGTCTAGTGATCTTGGAATTTGAGAATAATTTGAATAGCATTGATATTAATCATTCTTTAAAACAGTAATCAAATTCTTCTATAAATGAATCAGAAATATGAATTTTTTAGCTAGTTACATTTCTTTTTCTCAGATTTAAGATATCTTTTTGGTGTTCTTTTAGAATTCTTTATTATGTTTTTAAAGATAATCCTGTGTTTTATATTTTCAGTTTTATTGGTATATAATTCTTCATATTAAGTTCTGAAAGTTATTTTTATTTCTTCTGGTTTACCTTATATAGATCTTGCCCACTTACTGCTTCTTTCTGTCGTGCTTCACTTTTTTTTTTTAAAGTATCAATTCATCAGGGAGATAATAATGATAGAAGCATTTCCTCATGGAAGAAATTTCCATGTGTCCCAAATTGTGTGGTCTAATCCTTTCTTCATGTTCACTTTATTTCCCATGTACCATGCATCTCTTCTTTGGGTACATACTCTCCCCCGCTTCTGATTACTGATTGTCCTTAGAACTTTGATTTCCCTTCTTCTGTGGTAGGTTATTGTTTTTGGATGCACAGTCCTCTCAGAAGTGGTTTCTCTGTGTACCAGCTCCCTGCAGATTAAACTCCTTATAAGGTTTGTATCTCCCATTATAGAATATATCTCTGCTTCCATGGAAATGCTCTTCAGTGGAACCTTATGCACCCAAATAGTTGATATCTTTTCTTTTCCTTCTTCTTGTTTCAATCTTTCTTTTGTTCACCTCACCCACTCTCCTCTAGTCCACATTCTTGCTATGAAACTTTTTGAGTTATTTTCCTTATATTGTTTACCTATGGACTTGATTAGGACACTTCATACATTCTCCTCTATCCACTACCTTGCCTTTCTCTTTTTATGCACCCTTCCACTTTGCAATTTAATGCCACCAAAACACTCATTTGTCTATGGGGTGGTGGTTATAATTTGTGATAGTTTAGTCCATGGTGCTTCCGGCTTGCTCCTCTGTCCTTTTTTCTTCTTTAAACTCTGCTTTTATTTTTATCCACTTGTGTACTTTTAGAAAGAAATCTCTGAATATTCCCTTTAATTTCTTTTAAAACACATAGGAGTCTTTAACTTTCCAGTTTTTTTCTTTTAATGGTTTCTAGAAATGGAGGTAATTTATTTTATTTCATAGTTATATTTAAATAATAAGTTGAACAATCTGATCACATTTGAGTTTTTTCCCCCACAAGAAAGCTTCAACTGCTTGTTTTTTAACAAATGGTCATTTTTTTTCTCTATAAACTCATATTTTCAGGGTATGTTATTTGAGGTTGCATCTTGAGCTTCTTTGCTTTTTGTAATATATCATTCTATTCCCTTCTATAGTTTCCAGTGTGTATTGAACAGTGCCCTTTCCTTTATATTTGAATATCTTTCTACTGATCACTTGCAGAATTTGTTGTTTGTCATTGGAATTGTTAAATTTAATCATTTTATGCCTTAGAGTTTGGAGTGTATATATTTTATATTTTTTTCTGGAGGTATCCTGTAGGTTCTTCCAATTGATGTTTTGTTTTCTAGACAGAAATTCTGGGCAGTTTTCTGATGTTATTTCTTGCATTTCAGGTTTTTGTCTTGTACTGGTTTTCTGGGAGGTCTAAGTTATTTCTACAAATCCTGTCTTCTAGATCAATGGTTTTTGTTTGCATAGAAATCATGTGCACTTTTAAAACATGATTGTTTTTTGCTTCTCTTCTTCCAGATTGTCCTTTATTTTAGCATATTTGTATTCCCAGTCTATTGTTCTCTTTTTTACTTCTTTGGAAAGATTTGCCCTTATGGATTGAGGTTTTTCTGTTTTTTAAATTATTTTTTACTATTCAGGCCATAAATTCTGTCATTTGATCCCTTCTAGCTTCTCTAAAGATTTTGATTTCTCTTTAAAGAATTTTGAAACATCCTGCTACAGTTATATTATCTTTAAGAAATCCATAGGTTCTGTGTTTCATCAGGTGTGGGCTCAACTTATTTTGTTGCAATATTTTTTTTAAGAGAGATTTGTAACTTTTGAATATTTTGGTATTCATCTTCTCTCCTAATTTTAGTATGTTTTGTGTTTATTAGTCTGATTGTGATCTAGTTTTTAAATTGAATTTTCTTCCCTTTGAAATATTTGGCGCCTTTAAACCCGTTTCTCACCCCTTCCGCCCCCACCCCGCATTATTCTTCTATTGCTTATTTTCTGACTTCTCCTTCGAGTGTGTTTACCCTTGGGCTTAACCATAATGCTGTCTCAGTCTCTTCCTACATTGAGTGATTTGCTTTTCACTAGCATTGGTCCTTGTTCTAAATAAATTCTGGGGTGACAGGACTGGCCCCAGTTGGATTTCAGTCTCCTTTCCTTAAGACCTATGCAGTCATACACACTGGCCCCCAATTCTAGTTGTTTAATTCTCTGGCTGGGCTGAATCAACATCTGCTGCTTTTTTAACGGCTCTGGGAGGGATGGGTGAGTGTTCTAGGCAGAGCTGCTCCATTCTTATCTTATTACTATTTTCTCTGCCAAGGAGAATGACACAGTGTACATTTAATTCAAATTGTTAACACTAAGTGCCACTGTGCTCAATAAATTATCTTAATAGTAGTAGCATCGAAGAAAACTTCCAATGACATATATATTTTGCTTCATTTTCCCCCCTGACATCAGTTTGCATAGGAATGAGATATGTGATCCAGAAAGAATAACATCACTTGTCAAACACCACATCCCTGATGCCAAATTAGCAGCAGAAAGTGATGAAAAACTTGTATATACATTACCTTTGGAAAGGACAAACAAATTTCCAGGTAATTTACTACATGCATATAAGACAAAAAAATTAAAAAAAATTATCAATATTAATCTATTAGTTCCTGACATTTTATAGGTTTGGGTTTACAAGGTGCATGAAACTGGTTACTTACTAGAATTACTGTGCCAGAAATTCAGACAGTCTGTCACTAGATGAGAAGAGGAGCATGGGAAATGTTATCCATGGTCTATATACCAAAGGTTCTCATAGATGTGGTTATACAAATATGTGAAGGATCACAAATATGTGGAGAAGTATTTTGGCAGTGTGGAGAGCTCCTGACAAAAAGACTCCCTCTACCTTCACAGATCACAACTCATCTATTACTTAAGAGATAAGTCCTAGTGGGTTGTTGGAGACCAATGGAGTTTAGGAGGCTTGCCTAGGATTACACAGCTAGTAAGTGACAGAACAGAATTGGAACTCAAGTCTGGCACTGTATGCATAATGCCATGCTAAGTCTGAAGGGCCTTGGTAGACTTGGCTAACTGAGAAAACATATTAAACGTATTTCTGCGTTTAATTATGCTTTTACTTTGAGAATAGAACTCTTTATTAGAAGAACAAAGCACAAATATTAGCTAATCATTAATTAGGAAAATTTTAAATGTGATAAACAATTTAGAGCAGAATTCAAAAGTTATTGACACTGAAGTACAATTATATCCTAAACTTATAATCATTTTTATTAATGTAAAATAAATGTCAATAAAGTCAACTTCAGTCATTGATAAATCTTAATTCTTGTCCTTACATTGCTTTAAATAAAGTCATTTAACTCTCCCTTTCACTTGTAATATCTTAATATCCAATCATTATAAAAAGTTCTCCTGTTAATTGAATTTAATTAATTTTTCATTAATTGAAATTAATGGTCTCCTTCAGGGTTTTTTAATACCTTTACCTAACATAAAGGGTTATCTTAGGGACTATTTCATGCCAATGCTAGGAAAGATTTTAGGTTATTTTTCCTAAATTTCTGTTCAGGGAATCAGAAAGAAAAAGAATGGTCAGAGCCTCATATACTCTGCATGCTTTCTTTTTGACTATCCGTATCTGCACTAGAGATTTTTCGCCACCAGATGACTCTTAAATTATTATCTTTCCCTTTTGATGTTAAAAATTCAAGTTGCTTCTAATTTGTTTGTTATAATTGCCCTCCAGCCATCATTAAATTAAAACTAAATACCTCTGTTCTTCAGATATGTTTTTTTTTCTTATTTGAGCTTAGTCTTAGAGAATTCTTGGCTTTTATCATGACAATTTTTAAAATTAATTTTTATACTTTGTTTTTACAAATAGACATTTCCCAGCAGACACTTAATCAATACCCCCTTTCTTTTAACATAGAGTTCCTTCCTGAAAACAGTTTAGGAAAAGTTCCAAATAGCTGATTGTGATTTAGACTGATAGATAGGTACTTAACCTTTAAAATACATTTAAATGGAATCTAAAAGGGATTTAAAATGAGAAACAATTTTTTCAAGTGGGAAAATAAGCATAGTGTCTGAACATCTGAACAGAGATTGACAATAACATAGGTGATTTGAAGGATAAAACTACTTAATTTGAAAAGTTTGCCTTGGGTGAATGTTTTTGCATGTTCAGATTATCACAAAAGTTATTTCAAATCATTCTATGGTATATAATTTTGAAAAGAGTAGTATTTATTATCAGACAATAACTGATTTTACTATTTTTTAAATCTGTAATTCTTTAGACCTTTGCAGTGATCTGGATAACTGTTCTGACCAAGGGATTGTGAACTATGGTGTTTCTCTGACAACTTTGAATGAAGTATTCCTACAACTAGAAGGAAAAACAACTGATGAATCAGGTAAAATAAAAAGAATTTCAGTCTCTTTTAGGAAAATCGGTAAGGAAGTTATATATATAATCCACTATACATAAATTTCTTGGCAGATTTCTGCCTAGCGCACATACTATTTCCCAAATATTGTTGGGCATGTTGGGAAGTACCATAGTTGTTTTAGAATTGGATCTAAGCAATATTGTAAAACAGGTAATTGTCTTTAGTGCTATTCTATCTCCTCTTTGAACAACTTGCTTCTGTTCTGAATATCTTCCTTCTCTCCCTTGACTTTTAGGGCACTCATCCAATGTCCCAGTGCCCCCTCTAATCCATAGCTGTCATGTCATAAAAAATCTAGTATTGATAACAGATATTTCAATGTTAAGGATGACAAAGACATTTGAATTTTTATGTGGGGTATAAGGTAACAGGAGGAATCACAAATTGTACGTTAGGTATCAGTGACAGAGGAGAGAAATGAGGAGGTGTCTGGGGACAGAAGAATAGTTTCATTATCCTTTTAAAAATCACATAATAGTAAAAATTAAAAATAGCCAACATTTATCACACTCTAAGATTTGCAAAGTGCTCTCTATACATGATCTCATTTTATCTTCACAATGACCCTTGGAAGTAGGTGCTATTATTATCCCATTTTACAACTGAGAAAGTTGAGTCAGATAGAAGGTAAGTGACTTGTCCATGTTCTCACTGTTATTAAATGTCTGAGACAGGATTTGAATTTTGGTTGAGCCCCCTATCCAGCATACCATCTAATTCCTATTGCCACAATTATGTCTTAGTCTAACTCTAATCATGATATTGCTTTTTGAAATCAATAAGCATTTATTAATTAGTAACTGTGTGCCAACTGCTATGTTAGGTGCTGGGATACAAATACAAGCATGAGAGATATCCCCTGCCCTCAAAGATCATACATTATAATGGGGGATAGAACATGTTAGCAAGTGATTAAGTGTAGAATGCATACATCTAACACTGAGAGCAGCTATATCTAGGCCCACAGAGGTGGGGGCAATGTGCCACTGCCTGTCCTTCTAAGAGGACTGTGCATGTAGTTTGAACTGAATTTAGTCCTAAGCTCTCTATTTTCACTGTCTTTATCTCATTAAGTCTTCTATTCTGGCATCCTTGGGCCACTTTTACTTATAGTAAATTAGATTATCAGTCTAGGGCCATGGGTATAGGGCCACCCCAAAAAAGGTACAATATAAATTAGGTATGACACAGGTAACTTATTACTACACACGAAAGGAATGTTAAATACAGGACACTCAGAAGCATACTTTTGACATCAAGAAACACAACATTATTCAGTGACTTATAACTACTGTTAAAAATGGCCAGAGGTTGATACTTCAGCCACATCAGAACATAACACAACTTGTAGGACTGCTAATTAGGGATCTTACATTTCATCTCAGATTGATACTGTCCAAACAACTGCCAGTTCATATCTGGTAAAATGGTCAGGCTTACGTCAATCTTCCTCTTGGTGTATGTCCTCTTAGATTCAGAAGATAATCCTATTGTTAGTGACTGTAGTTCAAAAACCTCCAGATCCTTCTAACTCACAAAGTCACCTGCAAGTCTGGACATAACCATCTTAAGGTGGCTACTTAGTCACCTAGTCAGGAAAGGAAACATAAAACAGATAAATGCAGCTGGGGTCCAGGTGCAAGCTAACTCAATGGAGTCTCATTGTCTTAGTTTGTTTGGTCACAGCATCCATGATATTGGGATAGAAAAAGGCCAGCCCTTTCCTACCCCTCACTAAAAGTCCTCAAATTATGTGCTGCTGCCTAGAATCAAAGCCATGAGGATAAGATGGAAGTTGTCTCTTTTCTGACATCATATCCCATCCCTTGACATTGTCACAGTGGATGAGGATGGCATACAGAAACACTACAAGCATGCCATACAGAAACAATAAATCCTCTAAGCCCTGGGCCTCTTCATGGCTAGAAGCAGACCTCAAACTTCTGATATAGTTCACTAGAACTGGGAAGGGCCATTCTGATATTGGTCTTCATTACATGCAAAATACATACAAAGTTATTTCAGAGGACAATAACAACTGGAAGAATCAGCAAACTCTTTTGAAAGGAGCTCATTGTTTCAAGAGGCAAGGTAAGAGTCAAAAGCATTGCAGGCATTGAGGACAGCCTTTGAAATGGCACAAATACATTTGTTTTATTTGTAAAAACCATTTTAAATTTAATGTAATCCAAATTATCCACTTTGCACCTAACTTTGTTCGCTCTCTCTTCTTTATTCATAAATTGTTTGCCTATCCACAAGTCTGATAAGTAGTATTTCAAATTTTCTTGTAATATTTCCCTTTATGTCCAGGTCATGTATCCATTTTGACCTTATCTTGGTAAATGGTGTAAGATATTAATCTATGCCCAGTTTCTGCCACACTGCTTTCTAATTTTCCCAACATTTTTTTTACCAAAGAATGAATTTTTAGCCCAAAATGTTGTCTTTATACCTGCTAAGTACAAAGTTATTATATTTATTTGCTGCTATAATGTTTGTTCTGTTCCATTAGTCTACCTTTCTATTTCTTAGCCAGTACAAATACAGGAGATTGAATATTATGTATGAGGAATAGCAAGTAGACTAGTTTTTCTGGGGCATAGAGTGTGTGAAGGACAGTAATGTGTAATCAAACTGGAAAAATAGGTTAGACTGTAGCTGCTATGTAGCTGCTACTCTAGCTAGCTACTTAGCTAGCTACTCTAGCCACTGGAGCAGACTGTTAAAGACGTTAACTATAAAACATTTTATCCTCCAATTAATAGAAAGCCATAGGAGACTGTTGAGCTAGAGAGTAGTCAGACCTGTACTTTAGGGATAACAATTTGTTGACTCTGTGTAGCATCAGGTCCAGGCAAGAAGTGATGAGGTTGTGAATTATTACAGGCTCCCCGAACTTGAGAGTTGCAATGGACATCAGCAGCTAGTTTATCCAACTCATACATGAAAAGATTCTCTACTCAAACATACCATACCCATGGTTGTCTAGCCTTAGCTTGAAGATTTCATAGGAAGAGGAGAGTACAATTTCTGTAGAGGGTTCAACATTCCAATTTTGAAAAGTTCTAATTCTTAGATACATACAGCATCCTTTAAGCACATAAGCGCTAGTGTCTGTTAAATGCCAGGATACAAATACAAGCAAGCAAGGTATGGCGCCTACATTTTAATGGAGGAAGATAACATATAAAGGGGAGCTGGAAAAATGGAAGGTAGGGAAGCCAGCATGGTGTGGAGATGTACAAGAAGTGAGGTAGAGGGCTAGATCCATCAAGATAAGGGGAATGCCAAAAAGTATAAGTGAGTACAGAATGGTCCCAGGATCCAATGTTCTCTTTGAGATTAAGTGGAAATGAAATGGTTCAAGTGGAGAAGATATAGCATGGAGATTCCCAGGAACAAAACTTCTTAGAAAGTTTTCCTTGACATTAAACTTAAATTTACCTCTTTACAACTTTAAACTGTTGCTCCTGGTTCTGCCCTCTGGGACCAAATAGAACAAGTCCAATCTTTCCTCCATGTGATAGCCCTTCAAATGCTTAAACTCAATTATCATGTCCTCCTCTTAGTGCCCCCTGAGTCTTCTCATCTCTAGTCTTAATATACCCAATTTTTTTTTTCAACTGATCCTTGTATGCAGTGGACTCAAATTCCTCACCATTCTGGTCACCTTCCTTGGAATATTTTCCAGCTTTTCGGTGTCCTTCTTAAACTGTGGTGCTTGAAACTAAACAAAATACCCTGGATAGGGTCTGATGAGGAAGAGTACAATGGGATTACTGTCTCCCTGTTCGTAGAATGCATGAGTCAATACAGCTGAAAATTGCATTCTTTTTTGATTTCCATATCACACTGCTGACTCATCTTGAATTTCTAATCCACTAAAACATTAAAATATATTTTTTTTCAGAACAACTTCTGTCTAAACATACCTCCCCCACCTTACACTAGTGAAGTTAATTTGTTTGCCCAAGTTAAATACTTTACATTTATCCCTATTGAATTTCATTTTATTTGATTCATCCCAGTGATCTAGCCGGTTCATACCCTTTTGGATCCTGACTTTGTCATCTAGTGTGTCCCTCTCCATTTTATATCATTAGCAAATCTGATGAGCATGACATCTATGCTTTTTATTCAAGTTATTGATAAAAATATTACATAGGGCTATGCAAAGATCACTGGCATATTCTACTGGAGATGTCCTGCCATGTTAATACTGATCCATTAATAAATAAATACACTTTGAGTCCAGCCATTCCATCAGTTCCAAATTCATATGATTATATTATCATCTAATCAATATCTCCCCATCTTCTCTACAAGAATAATGTGAGATACATTATGTAAAGCTTTGCTAAAATCTAAGTAATCTATATCCAAAGCATTCTCCTCATCTACTAGTTTAGTAATCCTGTCAGCAAAGGAAATGAGGGTAGTCTGGCATGACTTGCTCTTGATGTAGCAATGCTGAACCTTTGTAATCACTGTTTCTCTTTCAGGCTTTTCCTCAGCCTTCTTATTGATGATCCATTCTAGAATTTTCTCCAGAATCAAAGTTGAACTCACAGTTCTACAGTTTGTGGACCCTGTTCGTTTCATTAATTTGAAGATGGGAACATTTACTTTTCTTTTTTGTTGTATTAATTTATTTTGATTTATCAATAATCACTACCATACACTTTTGAGTTTAAAATTTTTCTCCCCCTTCTTCCCACCACCCTTCCCAAGACAATGCACAATCTGATATAAGCGATACATTTACATTAAAATTAAGCATATTTTCACATTACTGATGTTGTAAGTAAAAATTAAAATCAATAGGAGGAACCATCAGAAAGAGGAAACAAAACTCAACAGAAGAGAAAAAAATAGCAATTCAACTTCCATAGTTCTTTCTTTGGATGTGGATAGCATTTTCCATCACAAGGTCTCTGGAGATGTCTTAGATCCTTGTATTGCTGGGAAGGGTTAAGTTTATCAATATTAGTCATCACACAACGTGGCTGTTATTGTGTACAACGTTCTCTTGGTTCTACTCACTTCACTCAGCGTTGGACCATACAAGTCTTTCCAGGTTTTTCTGAAGTCAGCCTGTTCATCATTTCTTATAGCACAATAGCATTCCATCACATTCATATACCACTACTTGCTCAGCCATTCCCCAATTGATGGGCATCCTCTCAATTTCCAGTTCTTTGCCACCACAAAAAGAGCTGCTATGAATATTTTTGTGCGTGTGGGTCCTTTTCCCATTTGTGTGATCTCTTTGGGATATAGTCCTAGAAGTGCGGAACATTTACTTTTCTCCAATCAATTGTGCTTTTCCCATTTTTCATTATCTTTCAAATATCACTGAAAGTGGCTCAGTAGTCACATCTATCAATTCTTTCAGGACCTAATGATGTCGTTCATCTGGACCAAGTAACTTGAATTCATCTAGGGCAGCTCAGTGCTCTCTTACTTCTCTTGGGTAGCAACTCTTTGTTTGTCATGTTCTGTCGTTTTGTTGTTTTCAGTGTCAAGGTCATTCTCCTTTGCAGAGGAAACAGACACTAAATAAGAATTCAGGGGCTCTGCATTCTTTCTCAAATAAATGAAAGGAACAGTTATCACCATCCCATCTACCTTAAGTAAATTTGCACTTCTATGGTCTTCTTTTTTTCTCGCATGATACAAGGAAGCAAATGAATAAACAATAAATTTTGACAGCCTAACCCCATTCTAAGCTGCAGGAGAGACATATACCAGCACTGTCAAATCATCACAAGCTCAAGAACTCCAGGAAGAGCAGCGCTACCTAGATCAATGGTCTTGCTTCCAGCCTGGCCCTCAAAGCCATCAGCAAGGCAAGGCCCCTTGTGAAGAAGGGATCTACTAGCCCACCATCACTAGTACTGTCATTGATAGACCAATTGCCACTGATAGACAGGTAATCTTAAGATCCATAGGAAAAACAGTACTTTTCTCCAGTCACCCTGATGACTGTACCTTGTTTCCATTCTGTCTTCTCTAGCCATCATCCAGGGAAGCAGTTCTTGAAAACATTTAACCTGTCAATTGCTTTTAAAAGTGCTGCAGCTTCTATATCCTTAGTAGCCACAGCTACTGAAGTCCTGGAAAAGATAACAGAATCTCATTCCAGAATACATGGCACTTGGTACCAAAGTTTGGTGCATTTTGGTTCAATGTCAGATACAGATATGATTTTATCAATGCAAAGATATATTACCATCTGTTTTGCTACTATACTCTAATGACCATGGGGTCTTTCCTTCTGACTTGCAGCAGTTATATGCATTGTTTCTCTTTATTATTATATGAATTCCTTCAGATTAGAGAAATGCTTTTCTACTAGTATTCCCAACACTTACCACAGTGTTTTGCACATAGTAAGTACTTAAAAAGCTTTTTTCATTCATCATTCTTCACACTGTTTTTATAGGGCCTTTTATTCATTCTGTTACCTGACTTTGCTTTTATCTTCAGTATATTTCTTTTTAAAATTTAAATTGATTAGTGAATTTCTTGTGCATCTGCTAAAGTCTTTTTAGACATATCCCATTTTCTTCCTCATTGAAATTGTGCCCCCTGTGTCTTCAGAATTTTGTTTTGGAGCATCTTCCTCCTGAGTTGTTTCTCCTGAAGTATTTGAATCCCTGGGATCATACTTGGCTTTTTAAAGTCCTAACTAAACTTCCACCTTCTATAGGAAGCCTTTGCTGATCTCCCCTAATTCTAGTGCCTTCCTTCTGTTGATTATCTTCAATTTATCTTCCATTGAACTCATTTGCATATAGTTGTTTGGATGTCTTTTCCCCCATTAGATTATGAGCTTCTTCAGAACAGGATTATTAGTCTTTTGCCCTTTTTTTTTTCATCTCTAGCACTTTGCATAGTGTCTGGTAACTAGTAGGTGCTTAATAAATGTTTATTGACTGACTAGTTGGCATATATTTCTTTCCTTACAAATATGCTTTCTCAAAATCTATAATTCACCATCACACTATGCCCAAATTTCCTTTACAACAATTAGTATGTGTAAGTAAAAGGAAGGGGACAATTCTGAGAAATAGTATGATGAAAGAATACACAAGACAGCAACTTAAAAATGCTGATCCTATGAATCTGAAAGAATTAGTAATTTCCCCAAATAGTTGTACAGACTTTAAGGTCTGTAAGGGAGCTTAGATATAATGTAGGCCAGTCTACTCCATTTTACACATGATTAAACTGGGGCTCAGAGAAATTAAATGTTTTGTTCTTGGTTGTTTAGTATATAAGAGGCAGAGCCAGGATTCAAACCACTGTCTTCTAACTCCAGCATTTTTTTTTGGCAAAGCAATTGGGGTTAAGTGACTTGCCCAGGGTCACACAGCCAATAAGTGTCAATTGTCTGAGGCTGGATTTGAACTGAGGTACTCTTGACTCTAGGACCAGTGCTCTCTGTGCCACCTAGCTGCCCCCTCCAGCATACAGGCTCCACTTGAGAAGTAATTTGCTAATTTGTCAGAATTGAGCTCTCTAAATGAAATTTATGTGCACATAAAATATCTGAAATAAAAAAAAATCTTCGGAGTCATTAATTTCTTTTCTTCTTTCAATTACTATGAATCCTCTAAACACTTTTAATATTTCTAAAGAGGTACCTGAAATATACTTAAAATAGGGATAGGAACTAGAATTGTGATTTCATCATCATAGGGAACTCTAGATTGAGAATTTTCTCTCTTCCAATACAGATCAGCACCTTTTCTGCAACTTGTATGGTCTTAGAGAGTTGCCTGCAGCACCAAGAAGCTAAGTGATCATGCAGTCAGTATGGGTCATAGGCAAGACTTGAACCCAGGTCTTCTAACTCTAAGGCTAGTTCTTTGTCAACTACACCATGTTGTCTCTCTTTTACTTATAAGGTAGCTCTTTATCTTAATTTTACTTATAAGCTCTTTATCAATGGATTTGTTTCCATAGATTCTGGCATTTGGGGACAGGATCAAACAGAAATGACAAGAGATGCTGGGGGTTTCATTGAATTGGAACAAGCCCTGTCTTCAGTTCCTGAAATGATCAATGGGATGGCTCTGTGGAGGAAGCAGGTCTGTGCAATAGCAAGGATTCGCCTATTAAAGTTAAAGCATGAGAAAAAAGCTTTCCTGTGCCTGTGAGTATCAAAGAACTTCACATTTGTTTGGCAAATACATTTAAAACAGATTCAAGCCTAAAAGGAAGGAAAATCACACAGGATCTTCTAGCTGTCTATCTATATCTCTTTCAGTCTCTCTATTTTATCTATCATCTTTTTTAAAAAAATTGAATAATTTGCAAAAAAAGAACATTTATATTTTTAATATTTTAACAGAAATGGGTGTTGCATTTTTGTCAAAAACATTTTTTGTACCTATTAATACAATGAGATTTTTGTTATTTCTAGTTTGTTATGGTCTATCATGTTTATAGTTTTCCTAATACTGAACCAACCCTGCAATCCTTATTTGAATACAACCTGATCATAGTATGTAATCTTTTTGATATATTGCTGTGGACTCTTTACTAATATTATTTATTTTTTACTTGAGTATTCATTAGGGATATTGATCTATAGTTTCTTTTTTTTTTTCTCTCTCTCCCTGGTTTAGGTATCAAGACTATATTAGTTCACATATGGAATTTGGTTGGATCTTTTCTTTTCCTACTTTTAGAAACAGTTTATGTTGCTTAAAGACAACATCTTGTTTTTCTTTGTTATTCGCCAGAGCACCCAACACAATGCATTATACATAGTAGGCACTTAAGAAATGTTTATGGAACAAATGAATAATGAATCCTAGAACCTCAATATCCACCCCTATCCCTTTCCTTTTGTACCTGGAGGCAAAACTATCTATAAGCTAGGGGGTCCCAGTAAGTTTTAGAAAGTTTCAGAGGTAGATGTTGTTGTTTGGTTGTGTCTGACTCTTCCTGACCCCATATGGGTTTTCTTGGCAAAGATACTGGAGTGGTTTGCCATTTTCTTCTCTAGTGGATCACTTTTTGTCAGAAATGAATACTTCCTGCCAAAAAAGTAGGACTGCTCAGCCACTTATGTTTAACACAATTGATGCTGACCCCACTTTCTCCTGTTACATTTTACCCACGACAGAGTTCTCAAATCTCTCTCTTTTGCCATTAGCTTTAGTCCTGAGTGTCCATGTTACTCCCATTTTAGAGGCCCCATGATTAGCACCACCATTTCATTTAGCTACTTAACAACAGATTAACTTTAGCAAAGGAATATTTACTTAAAAAATATATCAAGAAAAAAGTAAAAACTTTTTTTTGTTAGCATCTCAGGGGCGTAACCACAAGGATACCCAATCTGGACACTGAGTAATTGGGCTCACAGTTCAGTTCAGTTCCAATGTAACATTAGTCCCACCAAGTTTAACTCCAAAGCTGGATATTTAGGAGTCAATACTGGGTAACTGTAACATCTGGCCTGGATTCCTGGACTCCCAGGTCCTCATTGCCTGCATTTTGAAGTCATTTTGGAGACACTGCCCTCAGTACTTGGAATAGAAAAGAATTAATGAAAAGGTCAAAGGCCTAGGACTATTTCTTGGGATTACATGGCCTAAGGGAAAAGGGAAGAAGGCAATTCTCAGATCCTCCCCCCTTACCACATGGTGTGAAAGAAGGCATTCATTTTCAGATAGGAATACCACCAAAAACCACTTGACTTTCTAAGTCACCAGCTTTAAAGACACTGACCATTATGGCTATACTAACAGTGAAAAAAGGCTGCTGTTATCTATGTGGAAGACCAATGTTGACTGTCCACAAGTACTCCAGGCCTCTCATCTTTTGGGACCAGGTCCCTAGCATCATCCATGTGGATGACACAATCTTAGGCAATTTAAGCATGTGCCAGATCTTCCTTAGATGTGTACTACTAGATTATGAATTAAAAAAAAAATCTTCAGAGGCTCCTCAGTATAGGTTTTGTTTTTGTTTTTTCACATTGCCAGCTCTGACCCTGTTCTGTTGTTTCCCTTGGGAATGACCTCTGACATGGTCCCATATTTCTGTTTCACAAAGGAACTGCCCCACCAGACTAGGTGGGGATCTGAAATGTCATTGAAGCAAGTCAAAATTATAAAATAATGTACTTTTCCCTTTGTGTCTTTTTACCTTTCTTCTATATTTGTAACTAGCTGATTTATGATTTTAGACAGCACAATAATGATTATGGAATAGGGATAAGGACAAAGTCTGTGATTTCCCTGATAGTGGGAACTCTCTGGTGAGGAAACTCCCTCTATTAATTTAGGTTGGGAACTTTTCTGTGTTTTATAGAATTAGAGGTTGTTTAAAGCTCTGAGAGGTTAAATGACTTGTTCACTGTCACATAGCCAATATGTGTCAGAAGTAGAATTTGAATCCATGTTGGTCTGGCTCCAGAATCAGCTCATTATTTACACTGCCATGCTTCCTCTCTTGGTGATTATGATTATTATTGAATGTGTTGGATGAACTCATGTTCTTATCAATTTTTATTATATCAGCATGTCAGCTAATTCTAAAATAATGTGTTAGTTGCATGATTGTTTCTGAACGGAACATGCTTGAATGTCGTACAAAACAAACACTGCCATCCATAACATCATTTTTCTTCTATTTAGATTATTGGTGTTTGGAATTGGTTATTTCCCTTTCATTATGGAAAACATACTGTATAGAATATTTCGTCAAACCAATTCTTGGGGAATTTCTCCTAACATGTATTTCCTTTCTCCTGGACAACATCCACATACTCCTCTCACTAGCCTATTGGTTGTCAATAACACAGGTAAAAAAAAAAATATATATATATATATATATAATATGCATAATATATACACACACACATATATGCATGTATATGCATATATATGTGATTGACATCTATCCTGTTTAATTTACACTTAAGAAATAATAACTGTGAAAAAATGAAAATATCCATTCTCATTCAGCATGCATAAAATATCACTGATGAGGCAAAGGAAAAATACTTATTTAACTTTTGTCCTGGTATAGGGCGGGGTAAAGTTAAAGCACAATGGATCTGGGTTATGATTAGTTATATTTTCATATTTCACTTGGTTCAAATCTCTACTCAGATACCCAAGAAATTCTCTTGTCCAGACAGACCCATAGGCAAGCTCTGCTACTAAAGGCAATCATGTTAGTCATAATATGTCAGAGTATGGGTTTATTAGGAAAGCTGCATTATTATGTTATGTAAATAAATGGTAGCACTGCCAGATTCTATAGGATTTCCCCAGCGTCACTTGCAAGAGCAACGTGAGAGTCTTTTTATGCTTACAGCCCTTTGTTAGACTATACATTGCATCTGCCTTACAATCTACAATGCATCTTTCAACTGTAATCATTGGTTTCTACATCTGTTTCTATAGTACTCTCTTCTGCTGCTCTCAGCTAAATTCTCCTCCTTATTGCCTCCTGCTTTCCTTGGCATCATCTCTCCTGTCCATTAGTGGGACCTACCACTCTCTCTGGGTATCTGGTGCAAATAAGGAAAGGCTAAAATTTTCTCTCCCAGTATGGTAGGAGGCTGTATTTCTACCCATTGTAACTTTCTCTACAAATCTCATTAACTTTAGCCAAAAGGTGTTAGGTCAGGTATTATCCTTTTTCATGGATTATCTCATCTATATATACAGAGACTCATCAATTGAAATTCCTTTCAGTCCCTGCATATACTGTAAGACTTACTCAGAAGCATGTTCTTTGGGTTCCCCTTCACAAAGTTACCTCTCCCTTTTTCCTTGTAGCTTATTGTTTCCCATTTCACTTGAAATTACTGCAAAGTCTCAGATGCAAACCTAGGGCCATGACGTTGGCTTTAAAAATATTTGGATAACTGTATTTCAATATAATTGATTTCCTTTGTAATCTTAAATGTTTTATTTTGTGCATTTAAAAACATTATTCTGAAAAAGACAATGAAGACTTCGCCAAACTGCCAAAGTAGGTCATGGTACCAAAAAAGATCAATAACTTTTGCTCTAAAGTGACCTAAATTCCATTCTAATATGTCTTCTAATCCTTGAGATCAGAGATGGATATCCAACTCCGAAAGGACAATGTCTTATCTCTTCTGTGAATCATAAAGACTTTGATAAGGGATAATAAGACATTGAATGTTCCCCAACTCGTATTCTCAACACATTGGATAGGGTTATTCAAATCACATTAGGAAGGACTGTCTCTAGGCAACAATCAAAATGTACATGCCTTTGGCATAATTCTCCCAAACTGGTTGGGGGTTGGGGGTAATGGCAAACCTTAAGAGAGAATAGCAGCCTTCTAGGAAAGTGTGGGAGGCAGGAAGATAAGCTCAACTGAACCAGTTACATAAACAATTTACTATAATCTGGGGGAAATGATGGGTCTTTATAGAAACAAGTGGAATTAAAGTCTTCTCTAAGATTTTCAGATAATGGAAAATAAATAATGATAAAACACAGAGAAATATAGTATACAAAAAACATTTTGACAGCTATATTCAACTGAACTTGCAACTGACCAAATTAATAGGACAGAAAGATATGTAAATGCAAGTTAGATAAATGCTATTTATTTATAGCAATAGAATATTTCTGGGTCACAAATTCCTTTCTATATCCATTATTGAAATTTCATTATTTACTGGTCTCTGTATGAAATGTTTGTCTGTACAAGGATCACAATGTTCGCAATAAACCTTTTTACATTCTAGGAAAATTGATATTTCTATGTATAATAGGTTGATCAAATCCACTTAAACTGTGATGAATGTTAAAACAAAACTATCTTTTTGGATACTTTTTCATGATTTGATCCTGTCTTCTTTTATTTCCTACATATTAGGGTCAAATCTTGAAGATTTTGTACATTCATTGAAGCGTCAGAATATTGTTTTGGAAGTAGTTAACTTTAGAAATAAAAATGGTATAGAAGATCCATCATATAATGGAGCCATCATAATCTCTGGTAAACAAAAGGTATGTTCTCTATTCCTCTGTGTGTATATATGTGTGTAAGTGTGTACGTGTATATGTGTGAGTATGCATGTGTTTAACTAAAGGGTTTCAGCCAGGGGTGGGAAATCTGCAGCCTTGAGGCTACATGTAGCCCTCCAAGTGCTTAGGCGCAGCCCTTTGGCTGAATCTAAACTTCACAGAACAAAATATCAACACAGCAGTTCATCTGATTTATATTTTATTAACTCAGACAAAACAAACACCTTTGTCCGTTTTTAAAGACGATAACATATTCTGCAATTTAAAAAAAAAACAAAACCTTGTGAGACACTCTTGTCCATAACAACAGCAACCATAACAGTAACTACCACCATTACCACCTCTAAAAATCCAGCCCATCATCCATTTCCCAAAGGGAGTGGGCCTTGGCCAAGGCAATGTTAGAGATGCAAACTAAGGTGATACATAGATACTACTTTATAGATACTAAAGGGGCTATTATGGTAGCTGGGAAGGCCTGACAGAAATACTGAAATACTAGCAAATTGGCCTATGAAGATATTTATTGGATTAGCACCTTAGTCAATGTGAAGCAATTGATCCAAGGAGTTAAAGAAATAGGTGAATTAGAGTTACAAGTTGATCTTAGACAAAACCATTTCAACGATCAGATTTAGATGAAGGATAGCCGACAGGTAGGGCACTCTGTGGTCTGATGCTATAGGAAGGAACAAAAATCAGAACTACCCATACCCCACGTGCTAGAAAACACTTCAGTACAGATGGTGTTCCCCACTAAAGCGAGCAAACTGTGAGTATGCTTGAAATAAACTGAAGACGTGACCGTTTCCATTATATGTCAGTATCTTATCATAACAAAAATAGAAACAGATATTATAGGCAGAAACTTCGTATTGTTTTTTTTTTGTTTGTTTCTGTTTTTTGTTATTGTTGATGGTACCCTCAGCTCCAAGTCGTACAACAAGGTATTACTGACAATAACACTAGGTAAAGTTTATATCAGAGAAGTTAGGTGCCACAGTGCCATAGTGGATAGAGTGCCTGACCTGGAGTAAGGAGTGTTGGCCTCAGACACTAGCTCTATGACCTTGGGCAAGTAATGTAACCCTGTTTGCCTCAGTTTCTTCATCTATAAAATGAGCTGGAGAAGGAAATGGCAAACCATTCTAGCATTTTTGCCCAGAAATCCTCATGAAGAGTTAGACTTGACTAAAACGATTGAACAACAACATTTATATAGTGCTTACTATGTGTCAGGCATTGTGCTAGGCACTTTTCACTTATCGTCACTTTAGATCCTCACAAGAGCCTTGGGAGGCGGGTGCTATTATTACTCTAATTTTGTAGATGAGGCTAACAGAGGTGAACCACAGTTGAACTCAGGTCTTCCTGACTCCAAGCCAATGAAGCACAGCATAATCATAGGAAAAATTTCATTCCTAAGCCTAGGCTAGGCTTAGGATCCTTTTATTAAGGGATTTCTTTTGGGGTGGGGGGTAATGTTAAGTGACTTGCCTAGGGTCACACAGCTAGTAAGTGTTATGTGTCTGAGGCCGGATTTGAACTCAGGTCCTCCTGAAGCCAGGGCCCATGCTCTATCCACTGCCCCACCTAGCTGCCTCATCAAGGGATTTATTTAATGAAGTTTGGATTCAGTCACAGGGCCACACTTGAGGACCTAGAGGGCCACATGTGTGGCCTCAAGGCTGTAGGACTCCCACCCCTGCTAGCCTATCAATCAATCAATAAATTGATTGATAAAATATTAAGAACCTACTATGTGCCAGACACAGTGCTAAGTGATGGGGATTCAAAAAGAGGCAAAAAACAGTCCCTGTCCTCAAGGAGCTTACGATCTAATGAGGGAGATGGCATGTAAACACACACAAGCACATATGCACACATGCACACACACAAACACAAAGCAAGCTATATATGAAATAAATAAAAAATGGTTAAAAGAGGGAAAGCATTGAAATTGAGAGGTGAGGGAAGGCTTTTCATAAAAGATGGAATTTTAGTTGGGGCTTAAAAAAAGTCAGGGAGGTGACAGCTAGGTGGCACAGTGGATAGAGTACCGGCCTTGAAGTCAGGAGGACCTGAGTTCAAATCTGTCCTCAGACCAAACACTTGACATTTACTAACTGTGTGACCCTGGGCAAATTGCTTAACCCCAATTGCCTAAAATTAAAAAAAAAAAAGTCAAGGAGGTCAGTAGTCAGAGTGAAAGAAGGAGAACATTCTATGCATGGAATACAGCCAAAGAAAATGTCTACAGCTAAGAGTTGGAGCAGTAAGGAGGCTAATATCATTGAATCAAAGAGTATATGGCAGGGAGTAAGGTGCAAGAAGACTAGAAAGGTAGGAAGGGGATAGGAAATGAAGGGCTTTGAATGACAAACAGGATTTTTTATTTTTTCCTGGAGGCAATAGGAAGCACTGAAGTTTATTGAGTAGGTGGGGTGACATGGTCAGACCTGTGTTTTAAGAAAGTTACTTTAGTTGCTGAATAGAGATGAGATTAAAATGAGGAGAGACTTGAGACAGGCAGACCCACCAGCAGACTATTGTAATAGGCAATGTGAAGGAGGAAAAGCTGGAGAATATGGGAAAATTTAAAATCTTCACTTAATACACGAAGTTGCATCAAATAATGAAGTGTACGACAAAACCGATGATGATGTTGAAAATGAGATGAACATACTTTGTCTGGAATTTCAGAATTCTGTTTTTGAGTATAATGCTATTAATGATAACTTTCCAGTAGATCAATTACACCTGAACAGAATAATTTATTTAAAGCTACTGTTTATTGTAGCCATTATTCATTCTTCTACAATATTGGATAAAAAGTGTAAAAATACATCTGGACCTGGGCACAGTAGGATTTAATGGTGGTCATTGCTATGGCAAGAACTGTAGGAAGAAAGTGGAACTATCAAATGATACTCCTTTAATTTAATTTAATTAATTAAATTTAATGGCATCATAGTTCTGCTTAGCCTTAACTATTACTATAGCTCCTAAATAGAACCAAGTACGACTTCTAAATTAATGGAGTAAAACCAAAGCATCTTATTAATTGCCTAATGTACATTGGTGACATCAAATTATTGGGCTCCACTACAAAAACACTTTAAACAGTGTTTTCATCTCTTAGAATCTTTTCCCAATGATATCAAAATGTCACTTGGTCTCAATAAGTGTAAAATTCTTAATGTATGCCAAGGAAATGTAGAGACAGAAAGAATATTTTTGGAATAAGATACCATTTCACTGAATAATAGTAAAGCCTGACAACAAATACAACCATTGGATTTATTAAATGAAAATCTTGATGAAGTGTATGAGGCATCTAAATTCCAAAGGTAGAATCAAAAAGCCCTCCTTGAGTGAAATTCACATGAACTTAGCTCACAGTATTCTGACAAGGAAGAGCTGAATAAATAGTGGTCTGATTTGTTTATGGAAATTTAAAGGTTTATGTTGGAAGAAATTACAGAAAGGTTGTCCCTTAATAAGCTTGGACTTGGGCATGAATACAGATTATACAGGGAATTGATAGAAACTGTGTAATATGCAGCTTTAGACCGTAAAAATTTAATACCTACTGTACAAGACATGACTTGGTAACTAGAGCCCTACATCACAAGCTCGCTAGCTTTCATTAACTAATAGATGACAAATCTCCATATTACAACTACAGACCTTAAAATTGCCTGGATAGCTAAACCAATAAATTTTATGGCAAATGGAGCCTCATCACAGACATATTTATTACCTGCAGTTGGCCAGACATAACATCAATACATAAAAGTTAGGGAAGTCATTTTAAATAGATGCTGCCATACCAAATACTCCTAACCTCCAAGCTCTAAGAAATGAAAAGTGTTCAAATTATAGGGACTTTTCAGAAAAAAAAAATAAAAATTATGTGAGGATAGGACAAAATACATATTATCTCCATCATCCTGTCTGTTACTGGGGTTAAATTGAGGATGAATTTATATTTTAATACTTTTTGTTCAACTTCATTTTTTTTTTCTACTTGAGCAATAGTCCACAGAACACTAAATACAATGTAATAAAAGCAGGTTAATTATTTGTTCCACAGCTATTTTTATGTTCACTCTGTCAAACAAAATTATGACAATTTTTCTTAATAACAATTTTAATAATAACAGTAACTCACTTTCGCATATCTTTATAAAGCACTTTCTGCACAACAATTCTGTAAAATAGGTCATATATATCATATTTCTGAAGAAAACATTTTAATGTTTGAATAATGAATTAGTTAGATTTCAACCTTATTTCCCGAACTCAAACTATAATAAAATGTTTCAATTTGTTAATGCATACTGTTACTAGTAATAGTTACTACCATTGACTGATAAAACGTTAATTTTATCTGCTAAAATATCTACTTTGAAGTGTGTGAAAATAAATCACCTAAAACGTCTTCTACATAATCACATATATATTAGTAAAAATACTAATTTTTTTCAACTTCTATATGCCTTAAGCAATGAAAAGAATGTAAACAGGTATTTAAAAGGTAAATTTGCTATGGCTAATTCTATAATTGGTTTATGTTAACATTACCTAAATTCTCAGTACCAAAATGAGTGTATCTAGGAAAATAAAAGTAATGTGTAGGTGGCAAATTAATTTGTGGGGATTGTTTATATTTATTAAAATAATTATGCCCCAAGTTAAATTTCTCATTTTAAAAAATTCATTCTAGATATTATCTCCCAGAGCTCCAGATAAATTTTAAGACAAGATTTTACTGAAACAATGGCAAATCAAATTGTAGACATGCCACTATAAACATTAGGAGCTGTTTTTTCCTCTTAGGATTTTTACTCTATTCGGACAATGAGGTGTAATTATCAACCTTTTGCAGGTCAGAGATACTAATCTCTCATTTGTAATAGAAAGCCTGGTATCTGAAGCCTTAGGCAAAAACAATTCCTAAATTATTTTAAAAGACTTTGTGTATATACAGCATAATAGCTGAGGCCATTGACGTTGGAAGGTCATACCTTATAGTTTCTTCCACTCATATCTAATTTCTACTCGGAAAGAAAAGAGGAGAAAACAAATTGCATTAATTTCTTCTCCATTTCATACTTCAGTTTAATCTCAAGGAAATTCAGAAAAACAGCAACTTTGCACTGAATTCAATACAATGATAGCAAATTATATTTTAAAAATAAAATAATACTTAGCTTGCCAATACTGTCCAACCACAATAACTGAAAAAAATCCAATCCATCATAGATCTAGCCTTTCAGTGTTCCTGCTGGATTTTTTTTTCTTTGAAGAAAAATTGATCAACTCCTTAGATAAGGAAAAAATAGGACAAAAGTATCAGAATTTGTTTTATAAAATATTTTTCTCATTTTAAACTAGAAAGTCACTTTTCTTATATTTTTTAACTGGAATTGGACGGACTTAACCACCTCTTAAAAGGGAGATTTTGTAATATTTTGTAGTAGGGGGATTGGGTAGTATCTTCCCTATGAAATTCAAATCTACTTTCATGGCAAAATATTGCCATCTATTGGACTTTTAGGATATTGCTACTAAAGACCATTTAAGGCAGTATGACCTTAACTTTATTTTATGGAACCCTGATGTTTCTAATCATATGAATAGGAATTTTATGAGAAAATTTTAGGACTGGATAGATTTTTTCTAAGATATTAAATGTAAAGGTAATTATATATGAAATTTCATGAACAATAATTTTTTTATGAAAATAGGTTAAATTTCTTCTGTGTTCCTTATAAGTTTTTTTTTCCTGATTTCTCTTTATTCTAGAGACTTTATAAGTCCTTAACATTGTCCCACTCTGATGAATAGTTAAGATTTCCATCCTTGTATTTTTAGCCTCAAAATGTTCCATGACTCAATTAGTTTGGGAAGCAGAGATTCAAAATATGTTGTTTTTCTGCATACATATAAAGTAGCCGTTATTCCTGATCAACATTCGTTGATAGTTTCAAAGACCTGAATTCTTGAACACAAATAGGGTATGTTGCTAAATGTTGTTAATGCCAACATTAACCTCATTCAGGGCCTTAGCCAGAACATGATGATTTATAGTGTTTTCATGTATCATACACCAAAAACTTTGCTTTAAGAGCTCACATTTATCATTCTTAAGCATTACAGATTTTCAGTTGCGTGCAATACCAAGAGGCTGAACTGTTTTCCTGTTCTCATGGGTGTTATTAGCAATGGGCTGCTTGGAATTTTTAACCCATCAGAACATATTCAAACAAAGAGGAGCACATTTTTTCACGTAAGTATAACAATGCTTCATTTATCCAGCACTGTCGGTAAATATGTTTTAAATAGTGACTTTTCTAGATAAATGAAATCTTTATTAACCGTGAAGTATTTTCCCCCTCCTTATTAAGAACTTTTAGTGGAAATCTTTTCAAAATGTATAATGTACTTTTCTACTTTATTAAAAAGAGTATAGTAAACATAATTTAAATTTTTCATGATTACTTGGTTAATTATAAATCACAGGTTCCAACAAATTTAGGGTATGAGAAGACTTTAGAATAATCTAATCCAACCTTATTCTTTTAAAATTTAACTTTTGTTGATTTAAAAAATTCTTATTTTGTTACCCTAATTTCCCATTATATCCCTCCCACTTTCTCTTCTAGAGAGTTATATCTTAAAAGAAAGAATTGAAAAAAAAATCAGTTTGGTGAAGCTAACCCAACAGATCAATAGAATCATATATTATATATATATATGTATATGTTTATATACATATGCATAGATACACACACACACACACACACAGTCCCTTATCTTTGCACAGTTTAGTGACTTGATAGATTACATTCCCAAATTGCTTTCCAGAGTAGTTGGACTACCTCACAGTTCATTAGTGTGTGCCTTTCCTCCCATAACCATTCCAACATTTAATATTCCCCCCCTTTTATTCATTATCTTTGCAAATCTGATGGCTGCTAGGTGGAACCTCAGAGTTAGGTTAATTAACAAATCCTTTGACCATGTTTCTACTGAAGATTCTCTTGTTCTTATATATTTGAATTAGTCACTTAATCTTTATTTGCCTCAGTTTCCTCCTCTGTAAAATGGGTATAATGATAGCACCTACTTCTCAGGGTTGTTGTGAGGATAGAATGAGATAGTAATTATAAAACACAACATAGTGCCTGGAACATAGTGAGCTCAATATTATCATTATTCCCTATTATATCTTGAATATATAAAGATACTTGATACAAAGATTTCCCTACCATTATTATTTTCTTTCTTAATTTCCCTCACATTTATAAAGAAGAAGGTGGTAAAAGAGAAAGAATATGATCAACATCAGTGATTTCTAACAGAAGTGATCTGCTTCTCTTCCAGTGCTTCTCTAGGAGAGTCACTTAACCTTTCTGATGCCCAATTTCTTCATCTGTAAAATGGAGAAAATAATAGCTCCTACCTCAAAGGGTTCTTGGATCAAATGAAATGACTTATGTAAAGTGTTTCACAAATTTTTAAAGTGTCTTATAAATGTGAGCTTATAACTTATAAATAGTAATATTACTATTAATTTTGATTTTTAGTTAGTCTGTGATTGAACTTTTCTAGGTGAGTTGTTTTTATACAATGTAGCACAAAATAAGTGCTTTATAAATGCTTGTTGACTGATAGCAAACACCTTACTTTTAATTTTATTTTTTCAGTCTTTTGATTCTACCCCCCAATATTTCTATCTTATTGATTTTCTTTGGTCTCTTCTAATATTTAAGCTTGACCACTTTTTTTCGAAGATGTTTATTCTCTTTTGAATTCTTTCCTCTATAAATAAAATTTCTTTTTTTTCTTGCTTTATTTCTTCCAAGTATTCATGTATTCCTTGTGGAAAATTTATTTTTTTCCTTTGAGTCCCTCTTTGCAGTTGTTATGGAATTATGCTCTTCTTTTAGGTTGGATTTTTGGATACCTCTGGTTCTATAATATTTCTTTATAATGGTTGGTGTCTTTTTCTTTTGACCAAGGAGGTCAAAAAAGTAAAAAGAAAGTTCTCATATATACCAAAAAAAGTGACTTGCCCAGGCTCACACAGCTGGTAAGTGTCAAGTATCTGATCTGAGACCAGATTTGAACTCAAGTTCTCCTGACTCCAAGGGTGGAGCTTTATCCACTGTGCCACCTAGCTGCCTCCTGAGCTAAGTCTTGAAGGAAGCCTAGGAAAAGGTCAGGTGATAGAGCACTCCAGACATGAGGACAACCTTGTATTGGTCCAGAACAATAGCCATAGGGATGGAAGAATACATCTGGGTGCTGATCATGTGATTTTCTCCCATTCTTGGGCTCTAGCAGGGTATTTAGGTCAACAGATAGGATCACTTCTCCCTCTTTAATTTTCTTAGAATGCTTTAATCTGAATCTTTTCTCTGTCCTTATTACATTCTACCTTATAGCATACATATTTATGTACATATTATAAGCTCCCTATTAGAATATGAGTTCCATAAAGGCACAAATTATGTTGTTTTTGATTTTTGTGTCTTCAGCACCTTGGAACAGTACCACGCATGCGTGAGAGCACAACTGTGGTCATTTTTGGTTCCTGAATTTATTCCTTTTGTCTTTATGACTTGGTAAACCTCTGTGGAAGGAGGATGGAGGCAAATGTGATCTCTGGGTGGCTGTGTGCATCTGCAATCACATACTTAGGTTGCTCCAGAGCCTAGGCATGGCACTTATGAGAAAGGGGAGCTGAGAGAGGATAAAATTTGTGAGAGTTGTGTGATTGGTTCTACAGGCAGAGCTCCTTGTTTCCATTGGTAACAGAGGTGAAGCCTTCTCATGTGAAGCTGTTTTTTACCCTTCTTCCAGTCTCTTCTGTACTGAAGCCTCAGCTAAAATCCTACTTTCTACAAGAAGCCTTTCCCAATCCCCCTTCCTGTTAATACCTTCCCTCTGTTGACTATCTCCTTTCACCCCTATTTTGTTTGCACCTTGTTGTTTCTGTTTTGTCTCTCCAATTTAGGCTACAACTCCTTGAAAGCAGGGACTTTTAAAAAATTCTCTAACATTTTAATTACAGTTCCTGGAACATAGTAAGTGCTTAATCAATGCTTGTTGACCTGATCTTCTCCAAATGTAACACTTTTTGGACTTTTTGATGGAGAATAAGTTGTATAACTTTGATTGTTTTTACTCATTTCAATAAAAATTTAATAATTATTTATAGTTTTTCTGATTTACTGCTCACAATTTACTACCTTACAATATTTATTCTTCACTTTTCAGGATGATGTCTCCATAGGAGTTGGTTTTATGGAGGCATCCTTTTTCTGCATGTTTATTGCAACCAGCATTTCTCCTTATATTGCAATGGGCAGCATCAGTGATTATAAAGTAAGCACGAGTAACTAAAACATTTTTTTTTTGCTAATTGTCATTGTAATATTTTATATGCATTGATTTTCTCTTTAAACAATCTATTAAAGTTCATTTATGGAACACATGGTCCAGCTCTCATTTACATCTTTCCATGGGTGTGATTAACATTGTTTTAAATAGCTAGATGAAGAGTTTACTAGTCATCCGATTTTTAATGCCGAAAATTCTCTCTACTTGAAAACTACAATAAAAATATACCATCTTCAAAAGGAATCAATTTACACAACCCCATATATTTATTCATGAAATTTCTTGAACTGTCACGTATCCATTTTCCATCCCACAGAAGTTCAAAGTTGACTGACCTATTGAAATTCAATATCACATTTAAGAAAGATTAAGTGACTTTTCCAAGGGCACAAAGGTAATTAGTAGTAGAGTTAGATCTAGAGCCCAAGTCATCTGATTCACAGCACAAAACTTCTCCCCACTATATAATTTATCTCGTTGTAGGAGGAATGTCTCAACCCTTCTTAGGCTTGTATGGTACCACCAAAAGAAGCAGCATTACGAGGTCTAGGCTTCATGGCATGCCACGTGGCAACACCTGTGAGATCCCCAATTGCTGCAGCATGTTCATGGTTTGCAAGGGTGGAGCTCTGACAACAAATCACCAGGGGGAACTTCTGAGACCTGCGGCTAGAGTAACTGGTGTTATAGTAGTAGTAGTAGTGTAACTAGCTTGAGTATGAAAAATTGATGATGTTCTTTCCCCTGTCATCGAAGAGGGATTTTCAGAGACTAACTGGAAGACATGGCCACAATGGCTCATAGAGATCTGGAATGAGAAAAAAGGGAGTTACTGAGATCATGCTGAGCAGTGCAAGGACCTGTATTCAAAGAATGCTTTTAGACCTGCCCAAAGTTCCTAACATTCATTTAGGGAATAAATGAAAGAAGAGCTTTCACTTTCAATGTCCCGGTAGGAACCAAGAGATCCATGTCAAGCAGTGGAGCAAAGTAAAGGAGTAGGGAGAATAGAAGAGACACACAGTATGAATTTTGTTCCCACAATGCCTTTGATATCTCTCTCCATTTCTGCATTCATATACATGAGCATGATATTAGTTCAGCCAGAAGTGGCCTCATAACAGGTTTTTCTTGCCTCCTTTGTCTCCTTTCTTTGATATATCATTCGTTTGGGTGGCATTTTCATTCCCTAATATGTAAAGTGGACCATGTCACATACCTCCCACCCTCTCCTCAAAAACCTCTAATAGTTCCCTGAAGGTTAAGATACAAACTCTTCTAGAATTTAAGACTCTCTAAAAACTAATTGCAATTTACCTTTCTAGCCTTTGTTTACATTACCTCTTGGACTGTATCTCATTCCTCATTTTGTCCTGGGCTCTCTGTGATTCGATGAAAGTCATTCCATTATGCCTAGTATGTACTTTCCCTTAATCTCCAACTATTGAAATACTTTTGTTTTTTCCTTCAAGGCCAAGCTCAGATACCACCTACTCCATGAAACATTCTATGATCTCCCACATACTACTACCTCCACCTCCCCCACTGCCATCAGTCCTGGCTAAATGTGATCTCTTCATTCCTCAGCACTTCACATTTCCCCTAAGTATTTCTCTCCTTTTTTTTCTTGCCCCTGGCACTTTCTACCTTGTATCATACTTATTTGTACACACGTCTTATTCTATACCTCCCTCCTCAAGATTATAAACTCTTTTGAATCAGTCATACAGATTGGTCCATATAATATGTCTAAGATGTATGGAGCATTATTTTAGAAATGAACATTTTTTAGAAATGGACATTTTTATGTCACTGACATTGTTAACATTTCTCTAAACTTCAGTTTTCAAAACCAATTTGTATCTTTCTGTTTCTCCGTCAGATAAAAGCTCAGTCCCAGCTATGGATTTCAGGGCTCTACCCATCAGCATACTGGTGTGGGCAGGCACTGGTGGATATTCCTTTATATTGCTTGATTCTCTTTTTAATGTATGTCATTAACTACCTTATAAATAATACAGATGAGGGCTGGCCAACAGTTTTAATCCTGTTTGCTCAGGTAAGTCACAAAATTTATAGAACAAAGAAATTTTCATTAGAAAGTCTATGACTTAAGACCTGTACAATCAAACAAATGTTCAATAATGTTTATTTATCATATAGGAAATAACTGGAGCATGCTTGTACTATACAATTATCTTTTTTTAAAAATCAGTCAACAAGTTTTTATCAAGTGCCTATTATGTGTTAGGTATTATGCTGACACTAAATACAAAGACAAAATGGTTTCTTCTTTCAAGCAGATTACATCCTAACAGAGGAGACAAGATGTAGGTATAGACAGAAGCATGGATAAGGAAAGGATAAAGAGATTCTAGAGGAGAGAATAGAGTAGAGTGAATTAGTTAACTAAATGGTAGAGACTGGGAAGTGAGGAGAGTGTAATTAGAATAGGAGTAATGGTCTAGCAAAGTACTGAGGGGTAGGGATCATGGAAGCACATATGTGCATGGTAAAATCAAGAGTGTGACTATCCTGATGTGTAGCTGAGTTGGAGCAGCAAAGTAAATCATGGCAGTTGAATAAATTGATGAAATGGGAGATTATGGTATTTGAAGAAAAAGCTTGTATACTGAAGTCCCCTAGTATATGGGCAAGGTTTGGCTGGAAAGGAAGACTACAAACCAAGTATTGAATTGAGAAAGGAGAAAGAATGACCTGACAACCAGTAAATAATCGCCGCCATGATCTGGATTGGGTGACAAATATGTATATTGTAACCATCAAAGGATGAGAAATACTTGAGTAATGTTGGCAGAAGTGAAGTCTGGAACTGGCAGTAGGGAGCAAGGAGCATTCTGACATACCTCCTAACCCTCCAGAACCAGTGTGTCATATCAGAATCAAGTAGGAGAGAAGACGCAGCTTCACTTGGATGATCCTGAATTGCTGGCCATCCATTCACAGATAGGCCTCTGTGATTGCTAGAAGATACGAGGAAATTAAGAAGCCTAAAAAGAAAGGAAGCTTATTAATAATAAAACTAGATTTCCACCTGGCACAGTGGAAGGGGCATATAGATCTGGAGTGGGGCATTGGAGACATAGGGTGGAGATGAATGGGGATTAAAGAATAGAAAATAGGATTTGGGGAGTTAGGTTTTGAGGTTTACTCATAGTTAATGTGTGATTCTGTGTTACAGTGACTGGGATGGTAGGGTGGGGAGGAAGTTTGCTAACCACGGGGGTAAGTATCTGGGGAGAATAATCATTCCAGGTCTTGGAGTGGTCTCCGTGCCTCCCCACGTCTGTCTTGCAGAACTCTTCCTGGCACATAGTTCTTAGAATTTGGCAAATTTGCCTGGACAGCATTTGCCTTTCTAGTACTTAATATACTTTTCTGTTAATTTCAGATCCTGTGTACTGTTGGTTATGCAGCATCTGTTGTTGTCTTCACATATGTGATTTCATTCATTTTTCGTAAGAGAAGAAAAAACAGTGGCCTTTGGTTTTTTTGCTTCTTTATTGTAAGTACAGAACACACTATATATTAATTTCATTTTTTTACCTACAAAGCTAAATACTGTCTTTTTATATTTGCAATGAACTGTACAAATTAATATTATTTCATAAAATGTTTGTATTACAGTTGGATCATTTTACAGCCTCTGATTTCTATCTATATCTTTACCTATTTCTCTTGGTATCTCTTCATGTCTTGGACTCTTTTGTTTCATTGAAAAGAATAGAATCAGAATTTTAGAGAGCTATACAAGACTTGAGAAATTATCTAATTTAGCCACTTTTTATTTTAAAGACAAAGAAACTGAAAAAAACAAAGACATTAAATTTGCTTGTCCAAAGCCATGAGGATGGCTAGTGAAAAAAAGGTTTAGCATTCCAAAGTCTTTAGAACTTGAACCAAGTGCATCACACTTTCTTTTATGTCTAATTGTGTAAGAAGTACTCATGTTGATTTATCATTGATTCATCCTCATTGGTTCATCCTCATTGATTTATACTCATTTATTCATTCTCATTTTGCAAATCTCTTTATAATTGGGCCTCCAAAGGAGCCTGGGACAATTTGCATGTTTCTGTATAAGCATAAAGATGATTCCTAATTGGAAAAGGGAATGTTGAGTGTAATGTAACACTGAGTACTTGTATAAGGGATGGAGGTGGTGCCAGAACTTTTTGGAAGAAAAATATGTATTTTAATAACCTCTTCAGAAGAGACCCATGGAGAGAGAAAGAAAGTCTTTGGAAGATGAAGATGTGTAGGGGAAGCCAGCTCCTCAGTATGTCTCTGATTTCCAATTTGTCTCCCTATAGATTTTGGAGACTTTCCCTTGGGTTAAACCAGACCCTCTCTTTTGGTTGGACTGAGATGTCATCTCATTCTCATTCAAAGAATTTACCCACTCATGTATTTTCTAGTATATTCTAAACTGATTTCTGCTTTTGTGTACTTGGATAAATAGGTTTATTTGTGACCATTTATGATGATTTTTTTTTCTGTAACCAGATTTTATGGGAAAAGGGCAAGTAAGGAGCTAAAGATTAATGACTAGATAAATATAATTTTCTTGTGGATGGGTTTCCACATGTAAGCTTTGTGTAAGTGTAAAAGGTCCAGGAAAAGTCCAACTCATGCTCATTTTACCAAGTCAGAGTCAAAAAATAAGCTACTTCTCTGATCTCTCTCCTAAAAATTGCGCTCAGAGAAAGAAGGAATGATAGTGAAACAACCAGAGTATTTTGCTAGTCTCCTTGCAATATCAGAAGAAAGTGAAGAAATTTTCTTTTTTTTAATTTTTATTAATTTATTTTGATTTATCAATAATCACTTCCATATGCTTTTGAGTTTAAAATTTTTCTCCCTCTTCCTCCCCACCACCCTCCCCAAGATGGCACACAATCTGATATAGGCTATACATTTACATTCATATTAAACATATTTTCACATTAGTGATGTTGTAAGTAAAAATTAAAACCAATAGGAGGAACCATCAGAAAGAGGAAACAAAACTCAACAGAAAAGAAAAAAAATAGCAATTCAACTTCCAGTGTTCTTTCTTTGGATGTGGATAGCATTTTCCATCACAAGGCCTCTGGAGATGTCTTAAATCTTTGTATTGCCAGGAAGGGTTAAGTTTATCAATATTAGTCAAAATGAAGAAATTTTCCAGCATTTGGGTGGAACCCCCTATGGCAAAATTATAGGAGGGTATGAACTGGTTCACATAGGATGGGTAGCCATGTATGGTTTGAGTTGTAATCTGCCCCATTAAAGTCAATGTCCAATTGTATTTGAGGAGTTTTCTTTGCAAGTTAATGCAAAGGACTTCTACTCTAGTTCCTAAAAGATAAGTATAGACAGCAAATAAGACTCATGCTTTTGGTTGAAAGTCTACGAGGCACTGGTATCAGTGGTATATGATTAGTGTAATAGCCTTCAATTTCTATTCCCCACCCCCCAACATATTTCATAAGTCCACAATCATAGGGACCAGCTAGATATATAACTTAAAACTATCTCTGTGGATGGGGCCCCAGAGTAATGCATATATTATAGTCAATTTACAAACATTATCTGTTATAGTGGAATGATAAGTTCCCTTGAAAGTAAGATGACTATAAGAAAATTAGGCTTCTATTCCAGAAGATGGTGGTGGCAGGATCATGTTGTCAGGGAGCTCCAAATATCTTGTGGAAATGAGGAGTATGAATATCTAAATGAAGCTCAGAGGACATGATAACCAGGATGGAGATCATCTTATAGATAATAGGCTGAGAGCCCTTAATCATCTGCCTATCACTTTAATACCAACATCTCCTTTGGTTGCAGGAACCACTTAGCCCTTGCAAAAATCACATTGGTTTATTTATCATAATCACAGCCAAAATGTGAAGCATGCTACTTTTGAAGCAGAACTGTAAAAGATAAAGATTTCTCAGAGTCACTTCATACAATCACAGAATTTGAGCATTGTAAGGGAACTTGGTGGCCACTGAGTTCAATCCATTACAAAAAGGAATCCCCCTCATAACAAAAAGGAATCTCAACTATACTATACCCAACAAGTGGTCTTTGAATCTCTCTTTGAAGAAATGGAACTCACTATCTCTTTAGACAACCCATTCTTTTATGGGTCAGGGCTAATTGTTAGAAGTTTTTCTTGGCATCTTTCCAAAATTTGCCTCTTTGCAACTTTCACCTAATGGTCTTGCTTCTACCCTATGGAGCCAAACAGAGCAAGTCTGATTCTTCCTCCAGATGATAGCCCTTCAAATACTTAACTGCAGCAATCATGTCTTCCTTCAGTCTTCTCTCCTTCACGCTGAACACAACCAGTTACTTCAAACAACCCTCCATTGGCAATGGACTCAAGGCCCTTCACCATACTGGTTTCTCTGTTCTGGGGATACTTTCTGGTTTATCAGTGTTCTTACTGAACTACAGTACCTGGAACTGAACACAGTGCTCTAGATGTAGATTGATGAGGGCAGAGTACAGTGGGATTATCACTGCCCTGTTCTTTGGAGCTATCCTTTCTTAATGCAGTCCAAGATTACATTAGCTTTTTTGGATGCTATACTAAAATATTCAGGTCTTTTTCAGAACAACTGCCATCTAACCCAGGCCGTCCTCATATTATATTTATGAAGTTTGTATTTGTGCCCAAAAGTAAGATTTTACATTTATCTCTATTGAATTTCATCTTATTAGATTCAGATAAATGTTGAAAAAAATCACCTGATCTTTTTGGATTCTCGCTATCCTGGGATTCTTCTTTATGGCTGTTTCATCCCCATCTCCAAGACACATCCTTAAGATCTTTCTACTTACATATCTAAAGTGTTAGCACTATGGCATTTACCCTTCTCTCCATTCTCTTCTGCTATCTTTAGTACTTCTCATTTAGTTCAAAGATACCCCCAGGGAAGTACCATTTTCTCTTTTTATGGTTTTATCAACAGTAGTAAATTTAATCAATCAATCAACAAGCCTTTCTTAGGTGACTGCTATGTGCCAGGCCCTGTTCTAGGCTCATGGGATACAAATACAAACAATAAAACAATCTTTACTCTCAATTTGTATGAAGGAGGTGAGGAAATCCTTAAACCACAGGAACTGAAGCAGCTTAGGAGAAATTAAGCCCTTCTATGAAATGAAAGTTAAACTAATGTGGTATCTTCTCTGACAATGGTTCAGAAACTCCCCATATTTAACTCTTTAATGTAGTTTAGGAATTTTTCAATGAATCGATGTTTATTAAGTACCTATTGTATGTAGAACTCTGCTAACTTCTGAAAAAAATAATAGCAAAAGTTAATGAAAAGGTCCCTTGATTCCAGGATGGGACTACGCAATAACTTCTGCCTGCTTTAATATTTTCTAACCAGGAAGAACCTTTCAGTTCTTGTCCTACTCTATTCTACCTTACACTACTCTACTGATGCTGCCCAGGAGTAGGGCTGCCACAGTTGTCTTGTGTTATAAGTAGCTCTCACACTTCTCCAATCAATCTTACCAAAAAAGTTGAAAGGTGATGTATCCCCCAAGCTCAAGTCTCAGCTTGGCACCTCTGCTCAGCCTCAAACTGTTGGGTCACTGTGCCCCATTCCTATACCTAGGCTTACGTCATATCCTATGTAGTTATCCTGGCTCCTGGCTCTGTCCCTGTCTCTAAGCCCTGAACTCTCCTCTGGAGGTCCCCTCTACCTAAGTCTACCCTAACCCTTCTCTTTGACTTAGTGCCTCCCAAAACTTTGCTCTGCTGCACTAAGACCTTTGCTTTTTTTTTTTTCTTCCCAAGGTTACTCAAAGCTGTTCCACCAGATGCTCGGAAATCTCCCCTCCCCCTTCCAAAGAATATGCCTCTCATTTGTAACATTCTTCTAGTGGCTTCTGTTCTATCTGATGTCGTGTATTCATGGAGTTATAACTTTTTTTAAATTATACATTCATGGAACTAATTAATGATACTAAACAGTATATGTCCATTTATACTCTGTAAATAATTGAAAATAGTATATAATTCTAACCTATTTGCAATTTTCTTTCAGATCTCTATGTTCTTATTTGGCATCCTATTTTTAAATAATTTTGATTTACTTATCATGCTCCCTTGCATGATATTAGTGCCTTTGTACACATTGGTTGGCTGTCTAACACTTTTTTATGAGGTAAGCAATGCTATTACTTGTACTAGGATATGGAAATATATGGCCATTTGAAAAAGCTTTGTTTCACACGGGGAAATATGCATTTTATAAAATCTTATAATTTTATAAAATATTGTTTTATTCTGTCTAACTTTGAGCAAGGAATGATGTTAGAAGAGGAAGGGAATAAGCATTTATTAAATGCCTGCTATATAACATATACTTTAAAAATATTATCTCATTTGGACAGCCCTGGGAGGTAGGTACTATTATTCCCCTCATTTTACAGTTGAGGAAATTGAGGCAAACAGAGTTCAAGTGGCTTACTCAGGGTCACATAGCTAGTAAGTTTCTGAGGCTGGATTTGAACTCAGATTTTCCTGACTCCAGGCCCAATGCTTTATCCACTGCATCACCTTAGTTGCTTCACCTAAGAGACATATGCGGTTTGAAGTCTCCTAACTTAATTAATTGCCTTTTCTTACTTATAAGACTAAGCTCAAATACACCTGGAAAAACTTTGATGGTATATGCAGATCAATGGAGAATCTATTTTTGTCTGTAAGGAGGCAAGAGTACAACTAAATAATCTCTTCACTAACATAGTTTCAGTGGCCATACACTTGTCTATGGAGGATTAGCCTTACCAAAAGGCAGCGTGACTGTCCCCTATTCCATTGTGCTTTCAGGGACACTAAGAAGTTTGCATTACCTTCTCCTTATCTCTGCCATACCCCTCTACCACCACTACCACCATGACACAGACACCATTTCCCTGATGTCTAAAATTCAACATTTAGAATAAATTTATTCCTATGGTTTAAGATTTGTTTTCCCTTGAGAAGGTGACATATTAAGGCTCATTAGTCATAGAGTCACAAAATTCTTAGTTGAAGCAAAATTTATTACTCATCTACAATGCACCAAAAAGAAGTCACCCAACCTAGCTTACTTGGCTTAGACAATCAGAGTGTTCAGGAGGACTAGCACATCTGGTGTAAGGGCTTACTGAGCCCTTTTCAAGGCTGCTTACCCACTTTTGGTGTTAATTGGATTCATCCAGCTCTTACCTGTGGCTCCAAGAAGCTATGTCCTGTCAGCCACACCCTTAATGGGAACAGTTTGTTCCAATGGCCATGAAGGTTGCTGAAGCAGGTTCTGTGGAGAGCTTAGGGTTTGGTCAGGCATCAAAAACACCAAGGTCATCCATTGCATCTATGGCTATCACCAGCTGTCTTGACTTTTGTCCTGCCGCTGGACTTTGATGACTCAGGAAGATTAAGGCTGACAACTTTGTGCAGCCCTGCCTCACTTTAATCCAATTTATGCCCAAGTCAAGACACCACTCATGATGTCACTGGTCTTCTTCGAAAATGAAGGACAAAACAATAACTATGAGCAAGGCATTGTGCTCAGCACTAGGAATCCAAAGGCAAAATGAAAAATAGTCCCTGCCCTCAAGGAGCTTGCATTTTATAGGGGTAAGGAGGAAGTGTATTCCAGATATGGAGGGGCAGTAAAGAAACTAGAGAATGGAAGATGAAATGCTGACATCAAGAAACTTGTTGGTTAATTTGACTAAATTGTAAAGTATATGAAGGGAATATTTAAAATAAATTCAAATAAATAGGCTTGGGCTAGATTGTGAAGTGTTTTAAATGCAGGAAGATGTGACCTCAAATGTGACCTCAGAGACTTACTAGCTGTGAGACCCTAGGGAAGTCACTTAACCTCTGTTTGCCACAGTTTCCTCAACTGTAAAATAAGTATAATAATATCACCTACCTCCTAGGGTGTTGTGAGGACAGAACAAGATAGTAATTATAAAGCACTTAGCACAATGTCTGGCAGATAATAGGTACTTCATAACTGTTAGTTAATATTATTATTATTCCAAGTTGAGGAGCTTATATTTTGTCTTAGAGATATTAGGGATCCACTGAAGATTTTTGAGTGGGGTAATGACATGTTTAGCATGATGAAGTAGAAAACATACTGGACTTGGAGTTATGGGACCAGGGTTTGAATCCTGTATCTACTACATACTACCTCTATGACTATAGGCAAGTTACTTAAACTCTCTGGGACTCAGTTTCCTACTTTGTTGAAAGTGAAGGCATTGGACCAGACACTGTCTCAGGTCTCTTCTAACTATGGATGTATAATTCTTTGAGAACTCCTTTAAGGTTATTTCCTAGCTTAGAAAGTTATTACTAGATTAGAGAGTTACTATTAGCTGGTAGTTCAATTAAGAGACTGTTGTAGTCCAAGTAAAGGATGCTGAGGGCCTAAATTGTGACTATGAGAAAAAAGAGAAGAGGATGAATTTAGAAGATTTTATGGAGGTAAAATGGGCAAGAAATAGTTATTGGCTGTAGGAGCAGAGTTTCAAACCTGGGTGACTGGAAGTATGATGATACCCTCATCAGAAATAGAGAAATTTGGAGGAGTGGGTTTGGGGTGAAGGGTGGGTAAGATAACAAGCCTTTTCTCAGAATGTCTCAAGTTTGAGATGTCAGCAAGACATCCAGATAATATCCCACAAGCAGCTGGTTAATTTGGATGATAATCAGGAGGTAGATGATAACTAGAAACATTGATTGGTATGAAAAATAATTTGCTAGAGGTCATTACTGAATCCATGGGAATTGGTGAGGTCACCAAGAAAGATTGTTAGAAAGTAAAGAGAACAGGACACAGGACAAAGCCATGGAATACACCAACAGGAAGGGTATATAACATGAATGATTATCCATTGAAGGGGACTGGGAAGGAGGAAACACACAGGTAGAAACCATCAGTAGATGACAGTGCATTATTGAACTGGTTAACTTTAGGGTCAAGATTGCAAAGGATCTAATGTGAGGCCAGAGCAATAGTAATGGACCAGGAGAACAGTAAGAATGACTTGAATTCATGGCAAGGATAAATGACAGGGTTAGAAGAAATCAGGCAAAGAGAGAGGTGGAAAGGTGGGAGGCAATGGTCAAATGAAGGAATTTCAGTGCTGTAGATCCTAGAGGTGCTTGATGGTTAGATCAAAGGTATGACTATTGCAGTGTGCGATTGAAACTGAGTAGAGATACATGTTGCGGAAATTGAGAAATTTGGTGAACTGAGATGGCAGACTGTTTATGAAGGATACCAGTTTATATGTTGAAAATCCAACTATATGGCCTTGGCTTGAAGTAGATAGGAAAACTGTTAACCTGGTACTTAATTCTTTGAGGAAAAAAAAAGGGAAGTGAAAGTGGCTCATAGATAAGTGTCACTACATTCTTAGGGTGATAGAGTTGAAATCTCAAGGAGGAAAAGTTGTTAATTGATGGAAGCAGGGGGAAGTTCTTTAACTGAGAGTAAGGAGCAATTTGTATGGCTATTCTTCCTTCTGACCCAGCATATCTAAGATGGAAAAGAGAGAATGTAAATACAGTGAGGTGGTGGTTCAAGGAAGCCAGTTTTCAATGAGTGCAAGAAGATAGGCTTGTCGAGGAAGAGGTTTAACATGAAGGGAAATTTGATAATGACAAAATGGGGATGCTCAAGTGTTCAATGGGAGCATGAATGAATTTATCAAATTATTTTCTGACGTATCTCACAGCGGAGATATGGCACTCAGAATCTTGATAGGAAGTGGCATTATAAAGGTAGAAAAAGGCACAGAAAGGGGAGAGTAGGAGCACCAAGGACAAACCTCACCTATTCCACAATTTTAGCCAGGGATAGCCTCACTTTCCTCATTATTTCAAAAGTAAATGTATAATGCCTGATTTAATGGGAAGGAAGGAAGGAAGGAAAGGGGAAAAGGAAAAGGGGAAGAGATAAAGTAAGTAGAGAGGGAGAAATTGAAACTAACAAACAGACTCATTGAGAGAACAAAGGAGTGTACCATAGAGAAGACTCTTGCCTCCACTTTTGAAGAATGCTTTTTTTCTAGAACACAGAGAAAACTCAAGCAGAATAAGGGAAGGAATTTTGCTATGTATCTTTCTTGTTAATTTAAATATAATTGACTAACAAATGAACTTCCATTTGGCCTTTTTTTTTTTTGACAGCTCTCTTATAGCTATTCGAAAAATTCTGATCACCATGAAGATGAAATAAATGGAGTCAGTAAAAGCAGCCTCTTAGTACTTTTAATAGTAAGGAGAACTTTCTTTTGGGGTTTGTATTTATGGGAGGAGGCGAATAATATTTACCAAAAAAAACTTGGTTTTATTTGAACTATGTAAAGCTTGTAAGCTTTTTGCAAATGTTTTAAAATCCATGTGGATATATATTGTGTCCTAAATTTGTAAGATTTTTGTTATTCATATATACTTTATAAAAGACAAAGCATTCCCATTGCCTTCCACCCCAATTATTTAGTCTCACTAAAATTCTAATGTAATAACCCATTTTAGCATGGAAATGACCTTAACTCTGTGATGCTATGCTAAGTGGAATGAGAGCTCTAGGAAAGACTTTAAATATGGGATTGGTGTTGTATGAGGTTTAGTGTAGCTAAGTGTAACTAAGTTTGTTATTAGGTTGTTCTCTGTATAATGCATTTCTCTAAGAACATCTAAAATGAGTTGCTTTCTGCATTGGTGGAAGGGGTATCCATATTTACTTAATACCTCAAAAATATGTGACTTTGTAAATCCTTTTGCTCTTTTATCATATTGTAACTAATGGTGGTTTTCTTTGTTTCTTGCTAGCCTTATCTTCATTTTATCATTCTCCTTTTTGTTCTGCGGTTTCTGGAAATGAAATATGGAAAGAAATCAATGAGAAAGGACCCTGTCTTCAGGTAGACAAAAACATTTACATTAATTTAAATATTAAATATTTGACTATCACATTAAGCACAAATAATCCAATTAAAACTATCTATTGGATGCCTATTGGGAACAACTAGGGGGCAAAGTGGATAGAGTGCTGGTCCTGGAATCAGGAAGACTCATCTTTGTGAGTTCAAATCCAACTTCAGATACTTATTAGCTATGTGACCCCAGGCACATCATTTAACACCTTTTGCCTCAGTTTCCTCATCTGTAAAATGAGTTGGAGAAGGAAATGGCAAACCATCCCAATATCTTTGACAAGAAAACCCCAAATGGGGTTACAAAGAGTCAGACATAACTAAAATGACTGGAGAACAACATTATTGGGAAGCCCTGTGCAAGGTACTATGTTGGATATAAAAGAAATATAAGGAATGGTCCTTGCTCTTGAGGAACTTAAATCTAATGGAATAAAATTCACTGATAAAAGCAGAATAATTAAACCCTAAAGTATGTGGCACTATGACTGGTCAGTGTTCGAATCAGTGAAAACAGAAAAAAAGTTCCATAGAAGTGGTAGAATTCGACTCAAGAAATTGAGCAGGAAGAGAAAAAGACTTTTTTTTTTAGGAAGGTGGTCACTGCAAAGGCATGAAGGTGAACATTGATGAGACATAGATTATAGGAAAATTGAATTAACTAGTCTTTCTTTTTTCTTTCCAGAAAACTCTTAGTGAAGCTTTAAGCTATACATATAAAAATACATACACATAAATACACACACAGCATGTATAACTATAGAGAGAGTATATATAATTATGTATAGAGAGATACACATATATAAAGTTGCATAAAGTGCACTCTCTCTCTCTATAAAGCTATATACAAAGCCAAATATAGGTACATATGTAAAGCATATATACATACACACAAACACACACATGATGGCATCTTGGCTACAGAAAACAGAGGTTCCCAACTTATGAGAAACACACTGAGTTATATATGTTTAGAGAACAATCTCATGGAATGGCTCGTCTTTCTGTAGAATAAGTAAATAATGTTAACATATTTATTATTGTATTTAAAATGTAGATTCTGTAGATTATTAAAATATAAGCTATGTGTCTGGACATCCCGGGATACCACCCCCCATCCCCTGCCCCAAACCCAGCCAGTAAAACATTTCCTTAATTCATGAACACAAAAAGCACAACTTCTACAATGTAGGAATCTGTGACAATTTCCAGTGTCAAAGATGAGGTGCCACTGGTACAGAACAGTGGTCTCTGCAACTTTTTTGATATCCTTCTCCTATTGGTAAAAGTTTTGAGCATCCTCCATCATATTTATCTATAAATTATATATAGGTACCAATATATTGTGTACATTATAAAATATATAAAATAGAAAAGTATGAGGTAAAGGTACATTAAGCATTATTTTTTATTTTTAAAAATTAATGATATAAAATATTTTGTTCTACAAAGCAATGTGATTGAATAAGCTTCATCAATTTTAAAAAAATCCTTGTTTGTGGGGCAGCTAGGTGATGCAGGGAGTAGAGCTCTGGCCGTGGAGTCAGAAGGACCTGAGTTCAAATGCGACCTCAGACACTTGACACTTACTACCTGTGTGACCCTGGGCGAGTCACTTACCCCTATTGCCTCACCAAAAAGCAAAAAAAAAAATTCTTCTTTGTGCTAGAGGGTATGGAAGACTTATAAATAATAGTTAGTAATTATTCAGTTAATTTGATCTTTCTAGCTAGCCAAGCAGGTGAATTTCTTTTTAAAGATAATTTAAATTGAAATATACACATTATAACAATGAAAAGATAGGTCATAATAATCAGTAAACATAATATTTCTCTGGGTGTAGATATTCATCATACAAAATAAAAAAAACAGAAGTAGATTATCTCATTTCAACTAATTAAATAATTTGCTGTATATATCTATTTTTTATTCTTTATCTGGTCATACTTATTTTCTTACTCATGTCTGGATATTTTATATGCATGAGGAAATCCAGAAGGCCAATTTAGCTGGCCAGTAAAGTGCAGCAAGGGGAATAACGTATAATAAGGCTTGTAAGGTTGGTTAGGGTCATCTTACAAAGGACTTTAAATGTCAAATAGGGGATTTTGTATTTGATTGTATAGGAAATAGAGAGCTATTGGATTTTATTGAGGATGTATATGTATTGGGGTGGTAGCATAATATGGGCAGAACAGATCTTTAAGAAAATCACTTTGGCAAGTATATGGAAGATGAATTAGAATGGGACCAGAGAGGGTTCCTAAGGCTAGGCAACCTATTAGAAGGCAATTGCTATAAGTCTAGGTGACAGGCAAGGAAGGCCTGGGGCAGCTATGTGGAGCAATGGGTAGAACATTGGGCTTGGAGTCAGGAAGGCTTATTTTCCTGAGTTCAAATCTGACTTCAGACACTTATTGTTTCCACTTGGGCAAGTTACTTAAACCTGATTGCATCAATTCTTCATCTGCAAAATGAGCTGGAGAAGAAAATGGCGCAACACTCCAGTATCTTTGCCAAGAAAACTCCAAATGAGCTCATGAAGAGTTGGACACAACTGAAATGACTGATCAACAATAAAATGAAGGCCTGGGTTAGGGTGGTGACTATGTGAAGAAAGAAATTACAAGCTTTTGCAACTGATTAACTATGTTGTGTCTAAAAGTAGAGTTATAGATGTCACTGGAGTTGCATATCTGGATTACTAGAAAGATAGGGGTGCTCTTGACAGAAATAGAAAAGTTCATAAGAGGGTTGGGTTTGGAGGAAATGATAATGCAATGAGATCTGCAACTCATTCTGTCCCACCAAAAACAAAGAAGAAAGAATGGAATTCTTATTGACTGATTACTGCCTTAGCAGAGAGAGTTTGCACTCTGAAGAGTGCCTGCTGTAGCCACAACATAGACCTGGGGAGCAAGAGATGGATGTACTAGGGAGGAAGTAGATTTTCCCAATGGTACCTGAGCAACTGTTTCCATGGGTGCCTGAATCTGGGTTAAGTTACAACTGACCTCAGGAACTAGAGGGAGAAGTTTGGAAGGTTGTACAGTGGCAAAAAGGGTAGAGTGGGGGTAGAGTTGGATTTTATTAGATGAAATGTTGTATTGGTATGATTGCATTGGAGACTAGTCCCATGATTTGCTGGCAAGGGAAGGGAAAGGAAAAGTGCTACCATTTTCCCACATCCCAGTTGTTTGACCATGTATCTCATGAGCTCATATCGTGGTTCCAACTTTTGAGACCAATAGTGTAGAGGATGAAGGAAAAGGAAAGTTAACGATTGAAAATATTTTAGGAAACTAGAAGAACATAGTGGTATCACCAGCAGAAATGGGCTAGTTGAGAATGGAAATTGGTTTGGTATGGGGCAATGATGGAGTGATGAGAGGCTTTTTGTTTTTTGTTTTTTGTTTTTTTTTTTCAGTTCAATTAAAGGAGCACTTTATTGGGACTACACTTTTCTTGATACTAGTTTTTCATTTGAAAATCATTCACCACACAGCTGCCAAAATTGTTATTCAGTCATTCAGTCATGTCCAACTCTTTGTGACTCCATGGTTCATAGCATGCCAGGTCCTTCTATTCTCCACTATCACATGAAGTCTGTCCAAATTTGTATTCGTTATTTCCATGATACTATCTCTCCACCTTATCCTCTGTGTCCCATTTTCCTTTTCCCTTTAATCTTTCCCAACATTAGGGTCTTTTCTCATCTTCTAATTATGTGGCCAAAGTATTTTAGCTTTAGCTTTAGTATTTGACCTTCCAGTGAATAACATAAATTAATTTCTTTAAGTATTGATGGATTTGATCTCTTTGTTGCCAAAATAATTTTTTTTTGTAAAGCGGAGAACTGACTATATTACTCTCCTTAAAAAACAAAACAAAAAAAACCCAAAAAACAAAAACCAACAACACTGGGTGCTCTAGGATTAAATTCATATTTCTATTTTTATCATTTAAAGTCCTTCACAATCTTGGTTGTTGCTTTGTTGGCTCATTGACTTTTCCATCTGATTATATGTTACTGCCCATTCACACCCTTTGTGATTCAGTCAAATGGCTGTACATGACACTGTATCTCCTGCCTCCATGACTTTCCACTGATCATTCCCAAATCTTGGAATGTTCCCCCTCCTCATCTCAGCTTCTTCATATCCTTAGTTTCCTTCAAAGTGCACCTGAAGGTCACCTTCTACATGAAGCTTTTTCTGATCTCCTCCCCCTGCTTCTCATGCCTTCACCACCCCCCCAAAAGTGACATTATATTTAATAGATAGATGTTCATTGTTGTTCAGCCATTTTCAGTCATGTCCAACTCTTACATAAATACTATATATTTATATTTGTACATGTTGTCTTCTACAGAATATAAGCTTCTTGAGGGCAGGGACTGATGTTTTTGTCTTTGCATGACCATTACCTACCATAGTGCTTGGTTCATAGTAAATACTTAATAAATGCTTTTTTGGTTGGTTGATTGATTGATCTTTATGGTGTTCTCTGTAGAATTTCTCCAAGAAGTAGTGAAGCATTTCCAAACCAAGAAGAACCAGAAGGTGAAGATGAAGATGTTCAAGCAGAAAGAGCAAGAACTGCAAGTGCATTGGCTGCTTTAAACCTTGATGAGGTAAAATAAAATGAGTAGATATTCCTTAAATTGTTTATTTTTTCTTTATATATTAATTTATTCAAGTTTACCTAGATTTTTCATTTGGAAAATCTTATTCATATCTTTTGTTTTTCACGATCTTTATTTCCACGTATGTTCCCATCTCTGCCCATATCCTTTTTGCTTAAAAAACTGTGCCCTGTAACAAAGAATAAAAACAGAAAAGAGAAACTCAAGAACTATCTTGTTAACCAAATATGAATATGTATGCTGTGTTCCACATCCATAATCCCCTGCCTTTGTAAATAAAGGGTGGAGATATATTTTCTCATCTCTTTTGTGGGGCCAACCCAACCAACCTTGGTTGTAAAATTTATGTAGCATTCAGTTGCAAGTTTTTTTTTTCCTTTCCATTTACATTTCTGTGGTCATTATGCACAATTTTCACAGTTCTGTTTACTTCATTGCATCAGTTTATATAAACCAAAGACATATTTCTCTGAATGCTTCATATTTATTATTTCTTATAGTGCAGTAATATTCTATCACATTCATATACCACAATATATTTAACCACTCCTCAAACAATGGAGTACATACTTTGTTTTCAGCTCTTTGTTACCATGAGAAGTGCTAGTTTGAATATTTTTGTATATATTGGATCAGATGTGGAGAACCTGTGGCCTCAAGGCTACATATAGCCCTCTAGGTTCTCAAGTGTGGACAAACTTCAAGTTTGGATTCCATCAAAGGGCTTTACTTGAGGACCTAGAGGGCCGTATATGACCTCGAGGCCATAGGTTCCCCACTCCTGTAGACTTTTTCTTTTTGTATTTATCATTCTTGTAGTATATGTCTAGCAATGTGATCTATGGCTCAAAGGGTATGGAAATTTTATTCACTTTCTTAGTATAATTCTAAATTACTTTCTGAAATGGTGAGAAAAAATCACTGCTCCACCAACAGAGTACTTGTATTCCTGCATCACTTCCATAATTGTTTATTTCCAATTTTTGTCATCTTTGCCAATTTTATGGGTCCGAGATGAAACCTCAGAAATGTTTAAATTTCTGTTTCTTTCATTATTAGTGATTTAAAGCAATTTTTCATATGACTGTTAATAGCTTATAATTCTTTTGAAAACTGTCAATATCTTTTGACTACTAGGAGATTACTTTGTCTTGAAGATTTGAATTAGTTCACTATATATCTTGGAAACTAGATCCTTATAAGATATATTTCACAATACGAATTTTCCCCTCAATCAACAGCTTTTTTTCTTATTTTAGCTGTGCTGAGTTTGCTTGTTCAAAAGATTGTAATTTCATGTCATTGAAATTACTATTTTATCTTTTATGAGTTATTCTATCCTTTCTCTGATGAATTCTTCCTCTAGCCCTAGCTATTGATATCAAATTTTTCTAATTTTTATATTGTGACTTTTGCCATTCATGTTGCATTCTGAACTTATTGTGGTATTTGGAATAAGATGTAGTTCTAAACCTAATTTCTGCCAAATAGCTTTCTAGTTTCTTCAGCAGTTCATGTCAAATTAGAATCCATCATCAGGTGTTTCAGAGTTTATCTAACATGTGGTTATTGAATTAGATTGTCTCTGATTCTTTTTAACTAGTTCCAAATAGTTTTGATGAATAAATGCAACATGAGTTCTAGAAATACTATTCTCCTATTTTTTATTCATAATTTCCCTTGAGAATATAGATTCTTTGTTTTTCTAAATGAATTTTGTTACCATTTTTGTAGGTCTAAAAGTACCCCCACCTTGGTAGTTTGGTTAAAATGAAATATGTCTTTAAGTCAAATTGTCATTTTTATTATCCTTGCATACCCCAACCATGAAGAGTAAATATCCTTTCAATTACTTAAGCCATTCTTTAATTCTTTAGTTTTATATTGTATCTGGTTTTTTTTAAATATGCCTCAACAGGTTGATCCTCAGATATTTTATGCATTTCATAGTTACTTAGAATGAGATTTCCTTTTAAATTATTTTCCTCTGAATTTATTTATTTGAGGGAAATATGTATTCTCCTTCTTCACTGAAGTTATTCATTATGTCAGTTATTTTTTTTTCCTAATTCACTGGGATTTTCTAAGTAAATCATCATGTTGTTAGCAAAAACAGAGAATTTTTTTGTCTTTGCCTGTGTTTATGCCTTTAATTTCTTTCATTTGTCATGTTGCTTTTACTAGCATTTCTAGAATTATGTCAAGTAGAGGAAATAGAAGGCATCCTTGTGTTTCTTTTACATTTATTGTGAAAGCTCCTAGTATTTCCTCATTATAAATTAAAATAGCTTTTGGTTTTAAATAAATGCTTTTTTATCATATTGAATGTAACCCTCTTATGCTTTTTTTTGTACAGGTTTTAGTTTAAATGAATGCATATATTGATATGATCGTGTACTTTGGGCTTTTTTGTTTTTGATATAATTAGTTATACTAATTGCTTTTCTTAATTTTCATTCATCCTTACATTCCTAGTAATAATTCAATTTGCTTAGAGTGAATATTTTTCTTTTTGCTGGGACGTATATCAATGAAGTCTTTTTGCTAGAATTTTCTTAAAATTTTTGAATTGATATTTATTCCTTATCTTGGTCTATGCATATTTTTTGTTATAGGTATTAGGACTTTATCCTATAAATGGAATTTAGTATAAATATTTTATTTTTCAATTTTTGAGAATTTGTTTAACATAGGCATTAATTGCTTTGTTAAAATTTGATAGAATAGATAGAATTCACTTGTAAATCTATCCAGACGAGGGTCCACTTTTGTAGTTTCTTAATGGCTAATTTTATTTTATTTTCTGAGAATAGGTTGTTTAAAACTTATTTCATGTTCTCTTGAAACATTTAGATGGATAATTGAACATGTTGTTAAGTAGAGTTGATCTTCTGCTAGCTTTAATTTAAAAGTTTACTAATTCTTCTTATTCTTACACATATAAAAGAACTCTCCTTGATTTTGAGTAGGTCTTCAGAGCCACTAAAATGAAGGGAGTGAAGAACAAAGAATGTTTTTTTTTTCTTTTTGAGAAAAAAAAAATTGGCAAGTACAGTCATACTTGCAGGATCCAAATAACACCTTGTGAATTGAAGGATTTGAAAACCATTTGTTATAAGGAATGCTGAGTACGAATTAAATCTGGCTAACTTTTTCTTATACTTAGATATTACAATGCTTTAGTCAAACTGAATTGAATGATTCTTAAAAGCTGCACATTATGGTTGTGTAAAGATGGGCAGCTTTACACAAAACATAACTGCTATTCCTTCATAAGGGAGGAAAGATATGCTCATTGATCCATAAGTACACACAAATAAAAATGACACGCCTTTTTAGACATGAACAATATGTTGATTTTTTTGTTTCACTATGCTTATTCACATAGTAGAAGTTTAAAGTGGTTGCCTACCTCCACAAGAATCCTAGGTGGGGTAAGTCATCCCTTTACCTGCTACTGGCCCATTTTCCTTATTCATTCTTACCCAGGGTTCTAAGGTAATAAAGGGGTATGATCTGATGCTTCCACATTCAATACTGTAATAGCAACATCTTTCTCATTAAATAATTAGTTTTGTGTCTCCATCCCATTAAAAAATTGCTGATTTGATATACTGGAGAAACCTATTTGCATAATCATTGGTTCATCTCTTTTTCTGTCAACCCCTCTAATCATCTAGGCTTAAATAAATATCAAGGTAATTAGTTAAATTATTTACTAATCTTGTAATAATCAATAAAACAGATATGATTATTTGTATTTTTTTCAGCTGTGAAGAAGATCACAGGCTGTCACCTCTTACCATCATTATAACTAAATGCCAACTTTTTAGTTTTAGAATGACAGTCCTGCTACTCAGTTCTCTCATGTTAGCACAGTAAAAGTTTCTTTGCAAGATAATAAACTGAGACCTTAGGAAGGGGGTTCTCTTAATTCTCTTTCTCTCTGTAATTCACTCAGTCTTTCTTTAGCCATGACAGGAACTGTCTTTCCAAAATGAGAATTTAACTGTTTAACCTCAAGAACCTCTTGAGGTTCTATGGCTGCCTAAAAACAGTATCTTTAGTCTCCATGGGAGAAGTTATCAACATCAGTACATTTGTTAAAAAAGAAGGGCTTCTGGGGGTTCGAGAAACGAGGTTGGGTTCTTGACATCTCTGCAGCATTTCAAAGTCTTGATCACCTCTCCTCCTGGATATTCTCTCCTTTCTGGATTTTCACAACACTGGTCTTTGCTGATTCTCCTATTACCTGTCCAACTGCTCCTTTTTAGTTTCATTTACTGGTTCATCATCCATGTCATATACCCTAATAGCACCAAGGTTTTGTCCTGAGCCCTCTTCTATATTTTTCTATACACTTTCTCAGTTGGTAACCTCATCATCCCCCATGGTTCAATTATCATTTCTTTATCTTTCTTTCTTTTTTGGGGGGGGTGAGGTAATTTGGGTTAAATGACTTGCCCAGGGTCACACAGCTAGGATCAAGTGTCTGGTCTGAGGTTGGATTTGAACTAACGTCCTCCTGACTCCAGGCCTGGTGCTCTATCTACTGCACCATCTAGCTGCCCCACAATTATAATTTCTATGCAAATGACTCCAAGTTCTATGTAATCAACTCTAGGCTCTCTCTTGAGCACCAGTCATTATGAACTAGATGTCCCATAGCAATATCTAACTCAACATATCAAAACAGAACTAATTACCTTTCCCCCTCAAATTCATCACTCTTTGGAACTTCTCTATTTCTTTCACAGGTACCATCCTTCCAAAGTCACTCTGAACTAGAATCTGAGCTTCATTCTTGATTTCTCATTCTCACTCATCACACATATCCAATCACTTGCCAAACCATAAGTAGCAAAAGTTTATGGTTTCATATACAATTCTTTTTTTCTTTGTATGTTGTTCATATTTATCTATGATTGTTAAGTTAATAATAACAAACAAAAGAAAAAATCAATAAAGAACAATGTAACTTCTAAACGTGCATTAGGACCTTGCAACTTAATTACAAATTTTTTTTTTTTTTTTTTGGCGAGGCAGTTGGGGTTAAGTGACTTGCCCAGAGTCACACAGATAGTGAGTGTTATGTGTCTGAGGCTGGATTTGAACTCAGGTCCTCTTGACTCCAGGGCCAGTGTTCTATCCACTGTGCCACCTAGTTGCTCCTACATTTTTTTTTAACAACTTAATTACATGTTCCCTCAATGCAAAATATGATTTGTACCGTAGTTTGTAATAAAAAGGGGGCTATCCGAGATAGTACAATACCCTTCTGAAATTTAATGAGGCACTATCTTTTTCAGAAACCAGTCATTATTGCCAGCTGTCTGCGTAAGGAATATGAAGTCAAGAAAAAAATCTGCTTTTCAAAGAGCAAGAAGAAACTGGCGACAAGGAATGTTTCTTTCTGTGTTAAAAAAGGTTAGATATATTGGTCCTTTTTACAAAATACTTCTGATATTTGAGGTTTAGAATGTCTGAAGAGAAAAATGGTGGTGGTGGTAGTATGAGTGAATGTTGGAGGGCAGAGTACAGAAGCTTGTTAGCTATCTTAAACATTAAAAGAGTTCACGTAGAAAAGAGAGTTTGATCTATTCTGATAGGTCCCAAGAGGAAGAAAAAGGAATCATGGTAGAAATTAAAGGGAGTCATATTTCAGTTTAACATAAGGAACTTCCTAAGTCTTAAATCAGGATAATAACTGAGCCTCTTATTTCCTTGGCCTAGCAAACTCCCAGATGAGGAAATTCCTTCTACCTATGCAGGTCAGCACTGTCCCAAATGAGAATTTTCTAAAATACTGAGTGATTAATAGTCTTTTCCAAGGTCATATAGTTAATATAGGGGTATCTAGGCTATGCTGTGGGTAGTGCTGGGCCCAGAGTCCGGAAGACCTTGTTCATATCTGTTCTTATAAACTTATTAATTATGTAACATTCAGCAAGTCATTTAACCTCTGTGTGCCTCAGTTTCCTTAACAGTAAAATGGGAAGTTTAATGGAGCCTACTTTACAGGGTTATTGTAAGGATCAAATAAGGTAATATTTGTACAGTGCCTGTTGAAAAAAACACACTATTCCTTGGGTTAGGAAATCATCATATCTATGTGGATAATAACATGTGGATCTATGTGGATATCTATATAGATCAAAATAACATGATGGATTTTATGAACTTGATGTCTATTCACAAAGAAACTGACTAATGAATTCAGAATGCTATCAAATTTAAAAACTATCTAATTAGTGGAGATACAAATTATGAAGATTGGGAGCCCAATTTCTTCCAGGTGAGGTTCTGGGACTGCTAGGACACAATGGAGCTGGCAAAAGTACATCTATTAGGATGATAACTGGGGAGACAAGACCAACAGCGGGAGAGGTAAGTGAAAGAAACAGAAGGAAAATACTTTGATAATGACCAAAAGAGAAGATTTAAAATATTAATGATAATCTTTTATATAAATAGGTTCTCTTACTACTGTTTTAGAGTAGTTTGGATAGTAAATAGGTGGATAAGTCAATTGACAGATGACTCCCATAATACCCACAGCATTTAATAGAGGGCAGGTTCTACATCTCCTTTAGTAGGTGGAAAGATGTTAAGAAGCATCATCACAGGACTCTGTTAAGATAAAGACATATCCATTTGTATCTACGTACAATTGGGATTTCCCTTTCAGTGAATATTGTTTTCATTGTTTCCTGAGGTAAATATTAACAGAATTACTTATTGAGCATTGACAGGAAGTATAGCATTGTGTAAAGTCCTGAGAACAATAATAACATTTGCATAGTGTCTTTCAGTTTTATGAGATTTCCTACACACTATTTACTTTTGATACTCACAACCCTGTGAGTTAAATGGGATTAGTATTGTTACTGTACATTTTGTGCATAGGGAAGAAGAGGGAAGTGAAGTAGAGAGAGACTTTACCCCTTGTCCTAGGTCACATGGCTAGCAAATGGTGGATCTAGAGTCAACCTCAATTCTTCTTGTGATCTATCTTACTACCTACCAATAAAAAGAATGATTAAATGATAAATTCTTCCAGAACTTATATTTAATATAGGAGAGAGTAAATACATAATCAACAGAGATATTCTTGAACATAAACAAGAAGAGCAGTAATTTGGGTGCTGTATTAGTAGTTAGAAAATCATTGCTGTTAAAACAGAGAGGTACCATGAAATTTATTTTAAACGAGACCAGAAAAATGGTTTTCAAGAATAATGGAAAATAATGCTTTCATTCATGAGGGAGAGTCTAACAAAAGCCTCAGAGATAGAAAAGCAGTGCTAGTCTAAGTAAGATTGAACAGTAAGGAAAGTGTTTAGTTTGGTTTCATTTTATTTTTTGCTTTCTTCTCTATGGGAAAATAAATCACAAACCGCATGGAAGTAAAAAGCATTTTAATTTATTCACTTTTGCTTTTTGTCCTCTTTGAGAAACAGAAGTTAGTTTCTTATTTTATTTGTTTATTTTTCTTGACAAATTTGTATTTGAGAGATGAGTGAATTGGAGTACTCTTTCCTTCCCATGGCCATGTCCAAGTTCTATCTCTACCACCATCACTTGGTCACCTCTCCTCCATATTTACCACCCAATCAGGATTTCAATTGTTGTTATCTACTGAACTCCAGAGGGATTTCTCTCTCTGTCTGTCTGTCTCTGTCTTTCTCCCTCTGTCTGCCTCTCTCTCTCCATGTATATGGATATATAGAGATATACATTCTTGTTGTTGTTTAGTAGTTTTCAGTCACGGCCAACTCTTTGTGAACCACCTTGGGGTTTTCTTGGCAAAGATCCTGGAGTGGTTTGTCATTTCCTTCTCCAGCTCATTTTTCAGATGAGGAAAATGAGGCAGAGTTAAATGACTTGCCAAGGGTGACACAGCTAGTAAATGTCTGAGGCCAGATTTAAACTCAGGTCTTCCTGACTCTAGGCCTGGCTCTGTATTCATTGTGCCACCTAGCCACCACACATATACAGACATGCACACACATAGATAGATAGATAGATAGATAGACAGACAGATATTCCCACGTTTAGCCTAGCCTCCCAGTCCTTCAACTTACTTATTTCCCATACTCCACTTCTTTACCTCACCTCAGTTACACTAAGAGATGGTCATACTCTTGAACTTGCCATCACTCTCAAGTGTTCCACTTCTATGTTCACGAACTCAGAAATTCCTTTATTGATCATTATTTGTTGTCCTTCATCTCTCTCTGCCTTGTGACCCTAAATCATGTTCTTCATTCTCACTACAACCTCCAGTCTCTCTGGCCCTCAGTTCTTTCCCAGGCCACATCCCTAGTGGCTATACTGTCCTCCCTTCCCCATCCTGATCCCTTGGGGAACTAGCTCAACTTTGTGTTGTCTTTCTCTCTCAAGTTACTTAACCCCCTTAACACTGATCTTTCCCTGCAAAGCCTCAGACTTGGATGACTCACACCATTTCGTGCCTTTGCTCCTACTTATGTGCTGCTGAATGAAATTGGAGAAAATCATGAAACTTTGCTGACTGGATCTGCTATAAATTTATGCTATCTAATCTCAACTAGGCCCTTACTACAGTGAGGCAATCCTACACTTCCCTAATTGATTCACTATTGCACTCTCCATAGAATCATTTCTAAACCTTTTTGTCCTTTATCAAACCTCCCTTGGTTGCCTCTCTCCTTACCCTCTCAGCTTATAACTTTGTCTCTTATTTCACTGAAAAAAAATGAGGCCATTCACCAAGAGCTCCCTCTTTCCCCCTACTCCTTAAATTACTTCACTGAGATGCTTCCCTCCCCTATATGCCTTCACTCCTATTTCACATGAAGATGGGGTCCTTCTGCTTGCCAAAGCTAACCCCTTTACATGCACAAGAGATCTTATTCTATCTGTCTTCAGTAGATTTCCTCTTCTATCATCCCTGCTCTCTCACTGGTCTGCAGTCTCGTCTACTCTTGCTTCTACCTATCTGTAAAAATGTCCATTCTCCCCCATGCTCAAAAAAATCCTCACTTGATACTTTGATTCCCTCTATCATCCCATATATCTCTCTTCTTTTCTTAGTTAAACTTTTTTTGAGAAAATTGTCTATAATTAGTGCTTTTACTTCATATCCTCTCACTCTGTTCTTAACTCTGGATTTTGGTTTCTAAAGTCATCGTTCACGTGAAAATGCTGTCTTCAAAATTATCAGTTATCTCAATCACCAAATGTAATGGTCTGTTTTTGATCACTTTCTTGATCTCTCCACAGCCTTTGACACAGATGATTGCTTTCTTCATCAAAATGTTCTCTTCTGTCTAGGTTTTGTTGGCATAACTCTCCTAGTGCTTCCCCATATATCGAATTACTTTTCAGTCTCTTTTGCTAGATCTTCATTGAAGTCATGCCCTGTAATCATGGGTATTCTAAGCTCTCTTCCAGGTCCTCTTCTCCCTTGTGATGAATAAAAAACCCCTGAGAAACACAGTTTCTAGGTAATTAATAATTAATTTTTAATTAGGCTAGCTAAAAATCAATAAAGTGATGGTCATTGGTTTCTCTTAGTAACCAAAGACCCCAAATAGAGAGACTGAATGTCTTAAATATTTTTTGAAAAGGAATGCCCTTGACAGGAGAAATCAACCTGCATTGGTGGACATTTAAATGAGGAGGTGGGCTAAAAGTCTTCAGCTCCTTCTGCTGAGAACATGGCTGGATCATGAGACTCAGCTGCCTCCAACAATCTAGACAGAGGAATCTGTTTCCACCCAGAACATTCTAACTGGTTTTCTCTTTCATGAGTTGGGTCACCCTAAATTCCAAGGGATGGAAGGACTGGGGCTTTATTCCCTAAGAGCAAGAGTACACCTAGATTAGATTCTGTTTACACTCTAAATAAAGGATTAGGGCAGACTCATCTATCAACCATGTCCTTCAAAGACTGGCTGACTGACCTACAGGGGCTGGTCCTTGAATGAGAAAATAAAAAGACTCCATCTTAATTGATAATGGGTTATTAATGTAATAGAAAATAATAATTTCTCTCACCCTCTATACTACTTTGCTTTGTGATATCATGATGTCTCATAGATTTAATTATTACTTCTATGTTAATGATTCCAGATCAACTTTCCTAGCCCTAACCTCTTTCCCGGCCTCTTGTCCTCCATTTCCAACTACTTATTTGGTATCTCAAACTGGATGTCTTGCAGACATTTAAAACTCAACATGTCTAAAACGGAACTAATCATCTTTCTTCCATTCTAAACTTTTCTATTACTTTGGAGGACACCACCATCTTCCCATTTACCCAGCATCATTACCTAGGTATCATCCTCAGTGCTTCACTCTCTCATCACTTTCCCGTATCTGATACATTGCCAACTTCTATTGATTCTACCTTCATATATCTTATCTCCACTGACAATACCACCATTCTGGTTCAAGGCCAGAGCTCTATCTACTGCGCCACCTAGTTGCCCTCTTTTGTATTTTCTTCAGAGCTAAATTATTGCAAGATTTTCTCCCTTCATATAAAAAGTTTATGAGAAAAAGCATATAGAATACAAGCTGCATGCAAGGGCTGAACATTGATTGTTTTGTATAGGTGGTACTGAAAGGGAACAGATCATCCATGAGTCAGCAAGGTGTTAACACAATCAAGTTCCTTGGGTACTGTCCTCAGGAAAACTCACTGTGGCCAAATCTTACAGTAAGAGATCATCTGGAGGCGTATGCTGCAGTGAAAGGAATGAAGAAAGAAGATGCCATGATTATGATTTCACGGTACAGTGTGGGGAAACTCCAGTTCTCTGTAAGAGGGGACAGGGAAGAGTATGGCCATGAAAATTTTAAATACTGTTCTCAACTTCTCATCAGTCATGAGACATGGACTAGCACCTAATTTCCTATATCTCAGTTCAGAGATATTTTAGATAACCTAATACGATATAAATCTGGAAGTATGAAACATTGATCAAGGGAAACTGGAAAGAAAAGATTGAAAACAATAATGAGCAAATTATAAATGCAGGTTTTTTTTTTCCCATGGAGTTTCCAAGAAGCAACAGAACTTTTTTCCCTAGGTCAAATGAGCTTATGGTAATTAATACTTGTAGTTTCAGAATGATCACGACCAGCTCTTCTATATCATAATTACTCTATTTTTTTTATTACACTCTCTTGATATTCCTCATTGATCAGTGTGACTGATAAAACATTCTGTGTGTTTCTCCTTCAGATTAGCAAATGTTCTCAAGCTACAAGAGCACATGAAAGTTTCAGTCAAGGAATTATCAGCGGGCATAACTCGAAAGGTATGTGTTGGGTTTAACAATATTTTAAGTGCTGCATTGTGAGTATGGTAGCAAATATTGTTTGTCTTCATTTCAGTTGTGCTTTGCACTGAGTATCCTGGGTAATCCAGCTGTTGTGCTTCTGGATGAACCATCAACAGGAATGGACCCAGAAGGACAGCAGCAAATGTGGTAAGCAGTAGAAGCCTTGTACAAATATATGTTTCTTTTGGAACCTATGACAATTAGTCCTCAGAAGGGCTATTTCCTAATACAATTCATGTGGTCAGACCTAGGGAAATTAGTACTGTTCCTTTCATTTCCTATCTAATTTTCATTCAGAAAAAATACTTCATCTAAAAGTCCAATAAACTTTCTGAAGATTTTGTTGAATTTCTACATTATGCTAATTAAATTTTTTCTACTTTCTATGTTTTAGAAACATTTTTACTAATTTAATGCTGTTCTCTTTTCTCCTAATACGTCTCTTCTACAGAGCATTCTGTCATTGTGTCTTCTCTCAGTGTTTTTAACCTAACTCCTCCACTCCATACATTTAGAGTCATCTAACAGGATGTGGCTCCTTTCCTATCTCTACTATCTTCCTCCAAAATCCTACCCTTAATGTAATCTTAATTCTTTACTGTGTCTGTTCAAATTTATTTTGACAAGTTCTCTCAAAATGTCACTATACTTCTCATAGTCACAATCACTTTTTTTAAAAATGAAATTTTATTGCTTTCACACACACACGCACCCCATATGTATATATATGTGTGTATACATACACACAGACATTATATATTATATATATACATATAATATGTATGTATGCATATGTATATATAATATCTATATAGATATAGATAGATACATATAATGTGTGTACGTGAAACTATACTGAACATACTTCTATTTATCAGTTCTTTCTCTGGAGGTGGATAGCATCTTCCTTTTTAGTTGATTTGAGTATTTATAATACTAAAAATAACTTAGCTGTTCACTGTTGTTCTTTGAACAACATTGTTGTTCCTGTGTGCAATGTCCTCTTGGTTCACTTTCTTAACTCTATTTCAGGAAGGTGATTCGAGCAACATTCAAAAACAAGGAGAGTGGTGCTATCCTGACTACACATTACATGGCAGAGGCTGAGGCTGTGTGTGACCGGGTGGCCATCATGGTGTCAGGACAGCTAAAGTGAGTGAATGTACTGGTAGAACAATATATCCATATGACCTATGACAACACAGTAGAAAGGAAAATTTCTTCAGGGGAGGAAGAATGTACAAATCTATTTATCTTGTGAACAGCTGGATTTATTCTTGACTTAAAAGTGAAGGCTAGTCTCCTCCACTCATATACCAGGAAATAATAGCAATGGATTAAGTTGTAATTGAATATATTTTTTTAACTTCTCTTTCTCTTTTCCCTCCCTCTTCTTTCCCTCTGTTTTTCCTTCTCTCCTCTTCCTGCAGATGCATTGGTTCTATCCAACATCTGAAAAGCAAGTTTGGCAAAGATTACTTACTGGAAATAAAAGTGAAGGAACCTGAGCAAGTTGAGCCCCTCCATGCAGAGATTCTGAAACTTTTCCCACAGGCAGCTCGGCAGGAAAGGTGAGCACAACTTTTTTTTTCCCTCTTTGATGGGAATGTAGACTTTAGCCTGCCATCAATTATTTTTCCTTTGTGGTAGGTTTCAATGCAGTGTAGATCTCAAGGAAGAGAGCCAGGAAGCAAGGGCTTGGCTTTTCAGGCCTCAGGAGAACAAAAGAAATAAATTAATCCAGAATCCCTAGATCTCAAATTTGAAAACTACCTTTGTTTTTTAAATATTTATTTATTTTTAACATTTAAAAATTTTTTGAGTTCCTAATTATCTAATTCTCTCCTTCTTCCATCTCCTCTCCCACCCACTGAAAAGACAAGCAATATATCAATTATTCATGTGAGATAATGCAAAACATATTTATGTATTAGCCATGTTACAAAAAAGGTAAGAAAATAAAGTAAAAAAAATTATTCTTCAATTTGCATTCAGAGTTTATCAGTTCTCCCTAGAGGTGGATAGCATTTTTCATCATGGGTCCTTTGGAATTATTCTTGGGTCATTTTATTGCTCAGAATACCTAAGTCTTTCACTACTGTTCATCCTTATGATATTGCTATGATTATGTACGATGATATCCTGGTTTTGCTCACTTCACTCCACATGAATTCATACAGGTTTTCTTAAACCATGCTTCTTGTCATTTCTTATAGCACAATAGTATTCCATCATAATCAAGTACAACTTGTTCCTCCTTCTTTGAACCAGTTGAGGTTTAAGCATTACTTACTATGTCCCCTCCTCACATTTTCCCTTCACCGTAAAAGCTCTTCCTTGCATGCTTTATTTATAGCCTGAAGGATTAGACTTAGTTTTGCTGGGTAGGTTATTCTTGGGTTTAATCCTAGCTCCTTTATTTTTCAGAATATCATATTCCAAGTCTTCTACTCCTTTAACATGGTAATTGTTAAATCTTATGTGATCTTGACTGTGGCTCCATGGGATTTGAATATTTTCTTTTGGCAGCTTATAATATTTTAACCTTGACCTGGGAACTATAGAATTTGGCTGTAATATTCCTGGGAGTTTTCATTTTAGGCTGTCTTTCAGGAATTGATTAGTGGATTCTTTCAATTCTATTTTACCTTCTGGATCTAAGACCTTGAAGCAGTTTTCCTTTATAATTCCTTGAAATATGATGTCTAGGCCCTTTTTTCTTTCATCATGGCTCTCAGGTAGTTCAATAATTCTTAAATTATTTCTCCTCAATCTGTTTTCCAGGGCAGTTATTTTTCTGATTAGATAATTCACATTTTCTTCTGTTTTTTCATCTTTTGACTTGATTTTTATTTTATTTATTTTTATTTTTGTTTTATTGTTTCTTAATATCTCATGAAGTCATTAGTTTCCACTTTCTTAATTCTAATTTTTAAGGAATTATTTTCTTCAGGGAGCTTTTGTACTTCCTTTTCTATTTGGCTAATTCTACTTTTTAAGGAGTTCTTTTCTTAAGTGAATTTTTGTGCCTCTTTTACCATTAGACCAATTATGTTTTCTAAGGTGTTATTTTCTTCATTATTTTTTGTGTGATTCTTTTACCAAGCTGTTGATTCTCTTTTCATAATATTCTTGCATCACTCTCGTTTCTTTTTTTTCTTATTACCTTTTTCTTTAATTTTTGCAGGAATTCTTGTTGTGCTTTTGTCCAATCTTCATTTTTCTTTGAGGTTTTACTTGTAGCTGTTTTCATATTGTTCTCTTCTCCCAAGTTTGTGTCTTATTCTTCACTGGAACCATAGTAGCTTTTTATACAGTGGGATTCTTTTTTTGTTATTTGCTCATTTTTCTAGCCTATTTCTTGACTTTGAATTTTATGTTAAAATTGGACTTTGCTCATCTGAGGGTGGGGAAGCATCATTACAAGCTTCAGATTTTTTTTTTTTGGACTGCTATTTTCAGAGCTAGTTCTTGGAGTCTGCAACTTTTGCAGGGTTTTTGAAGTGGTGTTATCTTGGGAGAGGTGTGTTCATTGTTACTGTGTGAAATGATAGTGTTGTGTGTTCATTGTTCTCCTTGTTTGTGCTCTGGACTTTACCTAGGAAGGGTTCCTGCTCCCCTGCAACCGTAAGTACTAGTACTTCTGTCTCCTCATAAACTGTGACCAGGGCTCCTGATCCCTTGTAACCAATCCCAAACCCTCCTGTCTGCTCTGACGCTGCAATCCAGAGTCATGTAGACAATAGAGTTGCCAAATAGTGCCCAGTCCTATACCCAGGGTCAGCTCAGGGTCCCCTGTAATCTCTTTTTGACCAGTTGTGCAAACTTCCTGATAGTCTATGGGATGAGAGCTGCTTCTTGCTACTGTCACAGTGACCTCCAAGGCCCAGCCCTCGCAATACTTCCAAGTGCTCTGTGCCAGACTCCAACTGCCAGTAATCAGCACTGTAATATATTCTACCCACCTCCTAAGTTATGTTGGGCTGGAAAAATGTCTCATCTTAACCTTTGCTGGCTATGCTGCTCCAGAATTTGATTTGATGAGTTATTTTAAAGTTATTTGGGAAGGAACGTTGGGAGAATTTGACTGATTTGCTACCTCTATCCCATCCTTCTGGTTCTACCTTTGAAAGCTACTTTTTTTTTACATTTTTTTTTCTTTTTATAGGCAGTTGGGGTTAAGTGACTTGCCCAAGGTCACACAGCTAGTAAGTGTCAAGTGTTTAGTCTGAGGCCAGATTTGAACTCAGGTCCTCCTGATTTCAGGGCCAGTGCTCTATCCACTGTACCACCTAGCTGCCCCTTTGAAAGCTACTTTTGTAGTGAACTAATGCAACCTACCCTTAAACCAACCTAACCTCTCTCAAACATCTCTGAAGAGCTGTCATTTAGCTCTACTTAAAAAGATCTGGGGTGGGCGGGTAGGGGTGGGGGTGGGAATCTATTACCTCCTGATGTGGTCCATGTAACATTTGAACAGCTCTCATTGTTAAGAAGCTTTTCCTTCTATTAAACCTTTCTGCAACTTTTATCCAGCTATTTACAGCAGCTATTTTAAGAGGTTGATTCTCTGGACATTGGAAGGCAAAAGGCAATATCTCCCTTCAAGAAAAATAAGGGGCTGAGAAAACCTTATGGTATAGTGTGTAAGGCCCTAAATAATAATTCTGGTTCACCTGAGGCAATGATGGGGTGAGGAGAAGTGACTTAAGGAAATTATCTAGGATATGGGGACATAAGGCCCAATGGGAGAATACTACCAGTCCCAGAATACTACCCTCAAAAAGAGAGATAGAGGCTGCTGCCCAGCAAGAATATGTTTGTAGTGTGACAGGCTACCCAGCCTCAGCAGAACAGAATAACAGTTGTCAGGGTCATTGTGGGTGCTAGCCAGGTGGAACAAAGGCAATTAATTAATGTTGGCAAGGGGTTTGGAGAGCAAGACGCAAGAGGCCCAAGAGGCATGGGAGGATTACTGGGGGATCTAAGTCCAACCCCACCCCCATGTGCCATAGGACAAAGCTCTGGTTGCTCCACCCTGTTTACAATCCTGTTAGACTGGAAGGTGGTTGGAGAAGAGAAATAGAATGGAGAAAAGCCGGGACCTGGGGGTAGAGCACAGTCAACTACATTTGCATTCCAGTGTGAAGTGTAATATCGTAATGCATTGCACATTGATGAATTTTAAATTGGGAGATTTGTAACAGAGTATCATCCTACTGCTTATGGAGAGAAGGTTGCACCATAGATACTTAAATTACAAATACGAGAATTTTATTCACTTAATTTTTTTTTAAATTTGGGAGCAGATTGCCTTACTATGTGAATGATAAACTATGACAGCTAAGCAGATGTGAATTATAATAGTTCAAGTGCTTTCTTTTTACAATGGTCAAACTATGCCTTATCGCGTGTCTAGCACCTTTTCCACCATACCCTTCTGTTGCTTACCTTTGAAGTAGCTCCTGAGTGTTTACTATAATTTCAGAATATTTCCATTCCCTTTGTGGTAGGTCTTTGGAAAACACTTTTGATTGGGATCAGAGGAGAAGTTGTTGGGAAGGAATAAAAAAAAGAGTGAAGTGATTTTGGAACACTAACTGACTGAGGGGCTTTAGGAAGAAGAGCTGAGCAGGGTGTTATAGCTGGGGGCTTTGAGCAACCAAAATGCAGAGTGAGTGATGATGAGCTCCTGACTGGAGGGAAAGAGGGCAGAAAGTTAGAGATTAGACAAGGAGGTGAGAAAACCCGAATCTTTGTATACGTGAGTTGTATGAGTTTCATATTTGTCAATCTATAAAGCTAAACCTTTTTTTTTAATAGACAGAAAATCATTACCAACAGTGTTGTGTCTTTTCCAGATGTTAAAATGAAGAAACAAACCTTATTTTATCTTCTTCCTAGGTATTCCTCATTGATGGTCTATAAATTGCCTGTGGAGATTGTACACCCTTTATCTCAGGCCTTTTCCAAATTAGAGGCAGGTAAGAGTGATGATTTCAAAAATGGGATTCTGTGTAGTAGGTAATTACAAAACAAAGATAAAAATAATGATGAGCAGAGTTTCTGGCACATAGAAAGTGCTTATTCATTGATGGTGATGGCACTTACATAACACTTTAAGAATCATAAAATGCTTTCCCCACAGCAATGCTATGAGTTATGTAGTATAAGTATTGTTATCATCATCATTTTACTGATGAAGAAGTCAAGGCTGATAATATCTGAAAGTTAGAAGGTGTTAGAGCATAAGCAAAATCAAAGCAACAAAGTGCAATAAAGTGTAATTTTTAAATGTTTTTTAATGTTTTATTACAACAAAGTGCAATAAAGTATAAGCAACTGAGGCAAGTAATAGAATGATAAATTTTAATTTAATTAATATAAAGATAATTAACATTAATATAATAATATATAATTGTATCACAGGTAATGTTAATATAATTACATAAATATTAATGTCATCAAATATTATGTTAGTATGGTAATGCTATTAATAACATACTATTACTTATTATATTGATAATATAAACATTAATATCTAATAAAACAAAAATCAGAGAGCTTATGTTCATATCCTTACTTGATACTTACTATACTAGTATGACCGGATACAAGGTACTTAATCTCTCTCGGCCTCAGTTATCTCATCTGTAAACTTAAGGCGTTGGACGTGTGATAAAAGGATCTGTATTTTAACTTTTTCCATGCAAGTCAGTCAATTAGCATTTATTAAATGCTTATGGGATGTCAGGCACTGTGCTAAGCATTGGGAACACAAGTGTTTGAAAGAAAGGTAATGACATTTTCTAGCTATGTGACTTTGGGCAAGACACTTAACCTTTTCACCTCATTACATTTATTGATAATCAGATGAGATGATCGTGAAGATCTCTTCCAGTTCTGAATCTATGATCCAGTGACACTAAGAGGAGAGTGGTAGAATTTTAAGCCAGTCTAGCTCCATGTTTTGAGCTGACAGGTGTCTTTGCATGTAGATATAAGCTTAAGCAGAACTTACCACTGAGTTGTGTATTGCCTCAAGACAGAACTTCAGTATGAGTGGAGAGGGCTTAAAAATCAAAGAAGTCTCAGAAGGAAAAGAAAAGAACCAAGAGAATAATGAAGAGGGGGAAAAAAAACCTGGTATCACTTCTTGGATTCTATACAAGAAGGAATTAGCAGCAGTGTTATAACATAGCAAATTATTTATTGTTCAGTCATTTCTGTCATATCCAACTCTTTGTGACTTCATTTGGGACTTTCTTGGCAAAGATACTGGAGTGGTTTGTCATTTCCTTCACGTGTGTAAAGTGCTTTAAAAATCTTAAACTACAATATAAATGTTAATTGTTGATTATATCTTTATTAGTCATTTCTTGCCAAAAACCTTTATTAATTGTAGCAATGCAGATTGACTTAGTATAAAATAAAGAAAATAGTAGTATTCTTATGTCTCAGGAAAGCAGATTTTTCTGTCATTAAATGTATGTCTCTATATAGGTAATATTGAAAGATTGCCCATTATATTGCATCCCTGACAGTTAATTTTGGCATGTATGTCTCTGATCTCATCTCTGCTTCAAGGAAGTTGCTTATAGTCTAATTAGAAGATGGAACAGATACATACAAAAGAACTAAGCACGAAATGGGCAGCTAGGTGGTGCAGTGGCTAGAATGCTGGGGCTGGAATCAGAAATATTTATCTTTCTGGGTTCAAATCTGGCCTCAGACACTAACTGTGTGATCCCGGGCAAGTGATTTAACTGTTTCCTCATCTGTAAAATGAACAGGAGAAGGAAATGGCAAACCACTGCAATATGTGAGAAAATCCCAAATAAGGTTAGGGAGAGACAGACACAACTGAAAAACAACTGAACAAGAAGACGCAAAATGTGAAATTATCTATTTATTTAAAACTTTAAATGTAAACCAAACACTATACTTTCTTTAACCATATAATAACTTTTGCCTCACACCGTGAATTTTGTGTTTGTCCTATGTGTTTTTTTAAGTTCAGAGAGAAACACAAATTTCTGATGTTTTTTTTTTTTTCTTGTGCAGCTAAATCTACCTTCAATCTAGAGGAATATAGTCTCTCTCAATCTACTTTGGAGCAGGTGTGTGTATGGTTTTGTTTTTGGTTTTGTTTTTATTTTTGGTCTTAATTTGCCACCTATCATTAATACCTCCCTTTTCTGTTCACTTGTGGATAGAATACCCAAAATTTTTATTTCTTTTTTTTTCTTGCTCTTCTCTTTTCCTCTCCCCCTTCAGGTATTCCTTGAGCTCTCAAAGGAACAGGAGCTTGGAGATTTGGATGTGGAATTGGATACAACAGTAAAATGGAAACTGCTTCCTCAGGAAGAGCCTTAAAGGCCCAGACTGCTTACATTTATTTTCAATTCCATGACTAATTTTAGTCCCATGAATTTGCATTATTAAGCCTCTGTATCATTGCAGGAAAAGTTAACCAAGCATTTAAAAATATTTTATATTTTTAATTAGTAACTAAATAAATGTTATAATAATTTTTCTGTTTAGAGTAAGGGAAGGAAGGCTTGTAGTCAAAGCAGTTACTATCACTGACAATGGCATTGACTGGATTGAGTCCAGCGTGCAGTGGTTTCTTGTGTATTTGCATACCTTCCTAAGTAAATTTTCTGCAAAATATGAATGAACTATAGATTTTATGGGATTATTTTAATATGCATAGCAGTGGTGGTAATGTTTCTAATAGTGTGTGGGGTAGAAGGTGAGAGATTGATGAGTAGAGCTAGTTACTACCTTTTTCTGGTTCCCACCCGTATGTGAATAGTGCCCTTCTTTCCTAACTTGTCTCTTTAGGCTAGACTTTTCCTATAGTCAGTGCCTCTGGCTCTGCCCCTTTGGGGGTGGTTTATCTTTCAAACCTGTAACATGAACAACAACAACAACAACAAAAAAAAAAAATAAAATGTTCTTGAGGCAACTACCTCAGAAGGCTAGTCCAGTTCATTTACAACCCCTCTGCCCCCTACAACCAGAACTACCTTGGATTCATTGGTTCTAGATATTGATCTGGATTTATATATTATTTCTGCTTTGGGAAAATTTAAAAATATCTATCAATAAAATCTCTTTTGTTGCTCCAGGTCTCTAAATTTCTGTGCCAGCATTCCTAAACTCTATCAATCTCTTGTGTAGTTCACTGACCATTTACCACCTTCTCAGTTGTACTTATTTCAAGGACAGAAACAAATTACACTAAACAACTGAATTGTCTTAAAGCAGTGGTTATAGATATGTTTTCTAGGGACTCCCGGGGATCTTTGAGACTCTTGGGAGAGTTCATAAGCTCAAATTAGTGTTTTAATTTCTAACACAGTAGATGTTGATAGGTATAACCCACATAAACAAAAGTTTTTTGGGATCCTCACTAATTTTTAGGAATATAAAGAGAAGACCAAAAGTTTGAGAAATGCTTAGAGAACCCAATTTCTTTTAGAACAAAGGGCACAACAGAAAACAAACAAACTCACAAAGAACAAAGAGTTGTAAATGGTTTATCACTCCTTCAAGAGAACAAAAGGATGGAGTAAGAAGAAATGTATGGACAAGCAGAATTCACTGGATTCTTTCTGAACAGCATAATGCATATTGCATCCTCCATGTCTTTCTACGGGTTCTTTTCACCCCAGTCGCACACTCTCTATTTGTGTATTCTCCTCTCCTCCTTCTGCTGGCCTGTGCCTTTCTTATGCTGTGAACCTCATAACTCACACTCAGCCACAGAGGATGCAGAGGGGGCAGTAACAAACTACTCTGGCTTCTTTCTTCTTAGTGGTTTTGGTCATACCCTTGATGATCTGACATCCTTCCCTTCATGCATTTGCTCGCTTTCTACCTCCTCTGAGGTTTCAGCTCTCAACACTTTCTTAAGGTTTGTGTGTGTGTGTGTGTGTGTGTGTGTGTGTGGAGGAGAGAGAGGAGAGAGAGAGAGAGAGAGAGAGAGAGAGAGAGAGAGAGGGAGAGAGAGAGAGAGAGAGAGAGAGAGAACTATAAGAGGAGGGAGGGAGAGAAGGGAGGGAAGAAAGGAACGAAGCAGACAGGCTATTTCAGGTCCAGTATCTTTAGTGCTGGGTCAAAGTATGCTAGGATTTTTTTTCCCTGACTTTCAGGGTCCACTCCAACTTCTTGACCATCCTTAATGTGGGACTATATATGTGTTAGTGGTCAGTTTTCTGATACATACATACATACATACATACATACATATATACATTATATATGGTGTGTGTGTGTGTGTGTGTATGTGTGTACGTATTGATATGAGAAACGAGGTGGCACAGTGGATAGAGCACTGGACCTGGAGTCAGTACGATCTGAGTTCAAATCTGGCCTCAGACATTTACTAGCTGTGTGACCCTTGGCAAGTCATTTAACCCCGTTTGCCTCAGTTTCTTCATCTTTAAAATGAGCTGGAGAAGGAAATGATAAACCACTTCAATATCTTTGCCAAGAAAACCCCAAATGAGGTCACAAAGAGTCAGACACAATTGAAACGACTGAACAACAACAAAAATATACACATGTGATGGTTTATGGGGTCATAAAGAGTCAGACGTGACTGAATGAGTGAATAACAAAAATGTGCAATATCTATGTCCATATCTATATATACATATATGTACATCTATATATGTGAAGGCTTAAAGAAGTATTCTCTATGTATGCATACACAAACAGGCATAGCACATGTCTTGGGATTGGTTTTTCAATATATTTCAAATGTATTATTTCCTTTTAAAATTTAGTTTAAACAGACAGATAAAATGTCGGCTTTAGGAAGAGATGGTCAATTCAAAGTTATGAGACACGTTCCATATTCCCTCTTTCAGCCAGTCTCCAATTTTGATTAATTCATTGGATTTCAATTTGGTCCAATAATAGTACAAATATAGGCTGAATTTTCCACATAAAACTGATTTATATGAAACCTGAGTATGGTCTGAGTAATCACTAAATTTTTAGTGTATGTGTGTGTACAAATTTGCATGTATACATATATAGGATGTATGTGTATGTGTGTATACAAATGTGCATCCATATGTATATGTGACATGTTTATATGTGTGGATATGTATGTGTGTGCTTGCACAAATGAGCATGTGTGTGTGTGTGTGTGTGTGTGTGTTTCAGTGTGTGGTGGGAAAGGGAGATAGAGAATCTGTTAGGGAAGAATCCAAGGATTGCCCTGCTGTACTGAGAGCCTGGTTGAAGTTGGATAGCAAGAATTTAATTTATAGCATAACTAGATTGAAAACTAAGAGATAAAAGGTCAAAGGATTTGAACAAATGATTCTAGAAAGAATGGCTAAATATTAACAGCCATATAAGAGATTGCTCTAGAAGTACTCCATAGGTATAGTGTAGCTTTCTTTTGGGGTCCATATAGGTTCCTTAAGCTGTCTTCCCTTAGGTGTTCATAGTTTATCCTTGGCTATCAATGCAGATAGTACCAGTCATCACTGCTAATCCAGCGACACGGCTAAGAGGCCAATAAGAAGTCCGAACCATTCAGCCCTTAGAGATTCGCAATGTCTTCCTCTGATTAATGTGTGGGGAAGAGGCTACTGAGGCTCTTCTTTCCCTACCCCCAAGCGTGGCTGGGAGTGTGGAGAATAGTGCCCAAGGTTGGGTCCCAGGACAGAGCTCAGAAAATAACAGTAAAGAAGAACCTGGGGCAACATTACCTACCACTCAGGATTAAAATTTGATTACAATAATAAGCTGCTAAAATAAAATAAAACAAAACAAAAATGAAGATGAGCAAGCAAAGGAGAAAGAACCCAACTGGAGATACCTACTATGGTGATAGAGAAGATCTGGTTTCATATTCAGAGGAAGATAGTGGAACTAAAAAAAAAAAACTGCTCCTTTTTCAATGAGAAATGTCAAGTGGTCACAAACCCCTAAAGAGTTCTTAGAAGAACTTAAAAATCAAATAATGGAGATCAAGGAAAAATTAATAGAAAAAATAAGAGCAATCAAAGAAAATCAAGAAAATTATGAAAAGAAAGCCAACCAACTGGAAAAAGAGAATCAAAAACTTAAGGAAGAAAGTAATTCCTTGAAAACTAGAATTGGGCAAGAGGAAGCTAATGATGTTATAAAGACACCAAGAAATAATAAAACAAAATCAAAAGAATAAAGAAGTAGAAGAAAATGTGAAACATCAGAAAATCAACTGATCTGGAGAACAGATTGAGGAGAGACATTATAAGAATTGTTGGACTACCTGAAAGTTACAAATACAGGCAGTGTAAAATACCTGAGAATATACTTGCCAAAACCGACATAGGAACTACATGAACATAAGTATAAAACAATTTTATACAAATAAAGTCATATTTAAATAACTGGAGAAATATTTATTGGTCATGAGTAGGAAAAGCTAATGTAATAAAAATGACAGTTTTGCCTAAACTATTTTTTCAATGCCATTTCAATTAAATTACTAAAATTATTTTGCTGAGTTAGAAAAAAGATAACAAAATTTATTGGAAGAACAAAAGGTCAAGAATTTCAAAGAAACTAAGGGGAAATTGTAAAAGAAAGAGATTCAGCAGTAGCAGACCTTAAACTATATTATAACACGGTACTATCAAAGCTATTTGGTACTAGCTAAGAAATAGGAAGATAGATTAGTGGAATAGAGTAAACATGCAATACACAGTAGTAAAGGACTATAGTAACTTTGTGTTTGACAAAAGTAAAGATTTAAGTTTTTGGGATAAGAATTAGTTATTTGTTAAAAATCATTGGGAAAGCTGGAAAGCAGTCTGGCTGGAATTGGGCACAGACCAAAGCATTAAACCATGTTTTAAGATAAGGTCAAAATGGATACATGATCTAGATATAAAGGGAAATAACACAAGAAAATTAGAAGAACATGGAATATATTACCTATCAGATTCATGAATAACAGAATAATATATAAAGAAAGATGAAGAGCATTGTTGAAATGTAAAATGGATGATTTTGATTATTTTAAATTAAAAAAATTATTGTATACACAAAACTGATTTAACCAAGATTAGAAGGAAAGCAGAAAATTGGGAAAAAAACATTAATGGACAATCTCTCAGATAAAGGTGTAGTTTCTCAAATATAGGAAGAACTTTGTCAAATTTATGAGAATATGAGTCATACCCGAATTGATAAATGGTCAAGGGACATGAAAAAATCAAATATATATATATATATATATATATAATATACATATATATTCATATAAAATGCTCTAAATAATTATTGATTGGAGAAATGCAAATTAAAACAACTTTGAGATATCATTTTCCACCTCTCAGATTGGCTAAAACGATAGATGCCCTTCAGTTGGGGGATAGCTAAATAAGCTGTGGTATATGATTGTTATGGAATACTACTGTGATATAAGAAGTGATGAGATGGTTGGTTTAGAAAGACCTGAAAAGACCTAGACCTATGAAGGAAGATGCTATCCACCTCCAGAGAAAGAAATGACAAATAGAAATATGCACTATATGGTCTTACACATATGTATTTGTGTGTGCATGTGTAAGTTTATAGATATGTATGTATATGTATATATATATATATTTATATTCACATTTAATTGTAGCCTTCTCTAAGGTGGGGAGGAGAGGGGAGAGAAGGAGAAGAAATAGGAAAAAATGCATAGCAGAAAACAAAAGAAAACCTAGAAGGAAGAACAGAAAAGCTGGGTAGCTTTGAAAACAATGTGTAGTATTTATTACATAGGTTTTCTTAAAATGGAAATTTATTGTTTTATATTGAAATCCTCTCTGGAAATGTCAATATTTCTCATTTTATATTCAAGTTTGAAATGAATAAAAAATTTTTAAAAAGGTTTAAAATGGAGTATAATAGATACAAATCTGAAATGTATTTTTATATATTTATGTAGATTTGTCAATGGTTGAACAACCA